GCCCGAACACTCTTAGTTCATCACTAGAAGGTCCAAGAGTATGTTGAACGGGCGCCATGGTTGAATCACGGGGTTGACCTTGTGCTTAGGGTCCTCCACTGTCGTAGTTGCTCCAAGGCGCTCTGATACCACATGTTATAGTCACAGTAGACTTCAATGTGCCTAAAACGAAAGATAGGGTGCACAGTCCAATTTCTGCACAGCAGATTTAAACGATCATAGCGTTCTGGTCACAGCTGTAAATAGCCTGATTCAAAATTGATATGGAGCTTCTTAACGTCGTCTACAATAGGCAAATTAGATCGCACGATTTTACTAAGTATTAACGACACAGCGTCGGTTTGAACGAACGGCACTATGGCAGCCACTATACTCTTAGAACACAAGATAAAATAGTTACGAATTGGGAATGACTCTCAGCTCCTACAAACCCCAAACGCCGAGGTGCAATGATGTGGAACAGTGCCACACTGACCCCAACCCAAACTACCATTTACAAGGGCCTACTCCAAGTAAAATGTTACACTACACAAAGTAATGTAACCGTAGGGTTGCACCAACAAATGAAACAGCTGTGCATGCACAGTGCTCAGCACTGCTGAGTCCCGAATGTAATATCTTAAATGCTTGCATTTGAACAGATTAATTTTCATAAGGAAATTTTTTAAACAGCAGCTTATGACTTGGAGTGTGTCTGCCCTGTCACGGCCGCAAATAGGTGTGCTTGAAGCCATAATCATGCGGTCTTCGCAAAATAAATACTCATTGGTGCGAATCTGGTGGGGGGGTCCCACTTCACATGGTTTAGAGGGAAGCCTCTGTGACGAAACTCCAATATACTTCTTGTGAAACGACCCTTCACCGCGAGTGGGCTTCTATGTCCCTAGTGGGCTGGCCTCATGCTTAGCATGCGCTCTACTACTCAAACAAGAAAACATCTAAAACTGGTGAAGGGATGAATAAGAGGCACAGGATGAATCCAACTCTGTCCAATCCAAAAGAGGAAGTTAAAATGAATTGTCTTAAAACTGACAGGTATTCAAGGCTGCTCATGTTGCCGAGGGTGGATGGAATAGACCCAATCAACATGTTGCCATGTAAAGACCTGATGGTACATGCACACGAAGGGTTACATCGAAATGAGAGAAAGATAGAGTAAGTAGTCGGGCGAAGACAAGAGTAGAAACGGAGTTTGAAAGTTCACGATCTGGAAACACATAATAAGGACATATGACACAAATACTACTAGGCGATTATGGGTGGCAAAGTGAAAAGGTGTCACGTTAAACTGTGTATGTGACACGAGGTACCTACCTTTCCAGGTGTGAACACAAACAGGATATCTGTACACTTGAACACTGAAGTTGTAAGACGCATTTGTAGACAACATATATTACAAGAATGGACAAGAGATACCATAAGGGGCGCTGTTCTGAAATGGTATGTGTGTGAGTACACAAACATCCATACAACAAAGCAGCGGCAAAGGGTAGAGCATTCAGATTTAAGATGGCTAGTAGCCACAGTGGATAATCGGGTATATACATGTGCTGATAGCAATGTGTCTGGATAGCCAGGTGTTGGTATTTAAGCTTTGATTGTGTCATGGACACTCTGACAAACCCTTGAAAGATTATGACCATGCACGTAATAATAATATTTCTAGAGGCTCTGTAAGAGAGGGATCACAAACAATCCAGGGTTTCTCTATACTTTGAGGGTAAGTATGAGCAGATTACAACATCCCTCTCCTTTTGCTGGGTTTAGAGGAGAGTGGCAGCTGTTTCTAGATCTGGAAGGCATATGTATAGTATAGAATCGATTCTGGGGTTGCTTGGATAAGTCTATGCTCAGCTGGCATGAGAGGGCGTTCGAATGAGACAAAATATTTCCTGAGAGTGAAAGGTGACGTCGCGATTACGGTTGACCAATTTTGAGGGGTGGCTGTGTGCCTGTGTACCGCCTGGTGCTGTACAAGTCAGTGTTGAAACGCTGCAAAACTTTCCCGCCCTGCCCTTCACCACCCTACCATCCCCGCCCTTTCCCATGTGTGCCCCGCATCCCCTCGGTGTGCTGCAGGTGTGTGAGGATTGCATGCCAGCACACCGCACGTTTCTGCACAAGCTTGTATTGCAATGTCTTGAAACACCCCCTTTCATCCTCGCGGCAGGTGTGTGCGAGTACCGTGTCCCATTCTCCCCACCACCCCTCCAACCACCCTCCATTCTCCTTACCCCCTCCTTTTCCAGTATCTATTCTACCACTCTCTCCCTGCTATACCCCCTTATCTCTCTCGTCTTTAGGTTGTTTCTGCCTTGTTGTCACCTCTCGAAAAGCTTTAGCTCGTTTCTAACTTGGCACCGCCAAGTGATATGTTCCATCTTGTAGTGATTCGTGACAACGGCGTGATTTCTCTCTACGCATTTCCAGGTCGACTCAACGTTGACACGCCAGTTGACTCGTCAGGGCCGACTCGAACCAAAAAGCCGAATCCGAGAGGGTCATGACTCGACTCGGGTCGAGGTGATCTACTCTTTTTTGTTCTGAGCCTGAGTCGCCTCGCCCTGTGCACGTGTCTAGGCTAGGCCAGTCAAATTAGGTCAATCACGGGCAAGAACATTCACGGGCTGGGTCACTAACAGAATTGGTTGGTCACAGGCTGGGTCTGTCACAGGCTGGGTCTGTCACAGGCTGGGTCACGTTGGTCACAAGCCGAGGTGGTGGGTCACAGGCTAGGTCGGTTAGAAGTAAGGTCAATGACAGTTCGGGTCAGTGAGACTCCATGAACGTTGACGAGACGAGGGAAAGCAGCATGGAAAGAGGCCGGAGAAATGCTACCAGGGGCAAGGATGCGTCACGGAACACTGCTAGTTTCTTGGCGGTGTGAAAAAATCGCAAGGGACTCGTTTGTAACAAAAAAATGCACATTTACCTGCTCTGACAAAACTACGATCACCTCGAACTGTATGATGTGAGCCTCAGGCTTAAAAGGCTTTGCAATGCAGAGGGACGACCAGGAAAAACAGAACAAAACCTACCTCGATTTCGGGTTTCTTAGACTATCGCGTTTCCGTTCACGCAACCTTCGCGCCGGTATCAGGGGCGACTTTCAATCTAACCGCAAAGTCCGTGGCCAATGATCGGCACTTAAAAGTTTGGCCATGCGAAAATCATCGAGGCGGTGCCAAAAGAAATCCCACTGTCACACACTCTTTCCCTGCTGGATCGGCGCCAGAACGCCTAGAGCAGAGCTCGGCTAGTATCTTGGTTTGCCTGGCGACTATGGAAGCAGTAGTGCTAAGGGCCTATTCAAAATCCGGATTAGCAAATTCGGCTCACATAGAAATCGAGTCGGTTCAGGCATGATGCGCAAAATAAGGCAATGTGACGGTGTTCCCTGTTGGAAGAAGTTTATCGCGACTGTGTAACACATTGTTACCAAAAACTGTAAATCAGAACTCAAACCATGAAGAACGGCCCCTGAAGTGTCAACCCTAATTTTGTGCACTGATTCACTCACAACCGCATACAACCATCGTCGACCGAGGGATATGAGACACCCCCGACACAGATTTACAGCGCTTTGGCAGGCACCTTGGGCAAAATCATACTTTTCCAGCCTGTACTAGGTGGGCTCTATGGCTAGCGTCTGCCAATAGTCGCGGGTCGGCTGAACTAGAATAGTTCATTTGATGACGATGATCATGCGCGGGTGAAGCACGGCAACTCCAAGTTGGCGATCTGTCGGAGAGCGACCTTACGATGATCAGTTGCGCAAGGAACTTGTTGGCTGGCTGAGCAAACGCAGTGTCGGCAAACTCATGACAGCGCGCGCGTTTTCCAACCTTGGTCCTGTACACGCATCGTATTAGGTCGCGTGTCCGCCGCATGCACTGGAGGGCTTCTCGACCATGATGGAACCTCCATGCTGACGCCGCCAAGTCATCCGCCAGAACCTGCCGCCTCGCACCTCGCGTCGCGCGTTAGTGAGAGGGCAATGGATACCCTTTACTGTATGTCCCATCAGTGTAACTGATACTCAAGAGCTGGTAACATAGCTATTTGCTCTCTGCCGTCGATTGCTTTCTCGCCGCGCCGCTGCATTTGTGTTGAGAGAGTGGCATGACTTTTCTGCCGCTTTCGCCAGAGTCGCAAGCTCTGCTCGTCGCCTCCTTCGCGCAAATCCCACGCGCATGCTGGTCCCAAGCTGGACTGGTTTCGAGTGGGTCTTTCACAGTAGCAGCACTGGTAGGAGCAGGGCTGTAAGCAGCGCCAGCGGCGATAGAAGCGGCGGCGGCAGCAGGAGCAAACGCAGTGTCGGCGACAATCTGTCGCTGGTGCACATCGTGGTCGTGGCGTCTGCGAAAGGCGGCGCCAGCAAGTCCACCACTGCTGGTGCGCCTCACCGCCTCAGCACCATGTCCCACGCCACGCCGCTTCTTCCCCCAACACCATATTCCCCCCTCCCTCCTTCTCTCCCTCCCCGCCACACTCCCCTATCCCCACCACGTCCCCGTCCCTACCCCCTTACCCTTCCCCCGCAACATCCCCCTCCGCTTCCCCCCACCTTCCTTCCCTTCCTCTCTCTACCCCTTCCCCTCCACCTCCTCATCCCCCTTCCTTCACCTTCACTGCATGTGCGCAAGCTCTGCTCACCCCTGCCTCCTTTCATTTTCACCCTGTTCCTCTCCTAAAATCCCTCTCACCCCTTGCGCGTGACGCTGTTTCTCCCCATAAATGCCTCTCGCCCCGTGCCTCTCAATCCATGAGCTTGATTTGATCCCGTCCCCCCCCCACTGCATACCCTCACCCCATGCCTCGAATCCCATGCCTCTAATCTGCCTCTTATCCCATCCCACTGATATCATACCTCCTTATCCCCCCATCCCCCCATCCGCACATTCCCCCTATCCCCCCCTGCCCCATTTCCTCTATCCCCCCTCCCCCATTCGCCACCCCACCTCCCCCCACCCCTCACTCCCCTCCTCTTTCCCTAGCAGTGAACCTGGCAGTGGCACTCTCTCGCCCGTCACATGCGCATGCAAGTGGGGCTGCCGGACACCGGCATGTTCAGCCCCTCACTTCCCAACCTGCTCGGCCTCCACACTGCTCGGCTCATCTACTGCCGGCCACCCCCTGCTCGCCTCGGCCACTCCCGCATGCTGCCAAGGTGACGGGATGGGACGGGATGGGACGGGATGGGACAGGATGGGACGGGACGGGACGGGACGGGACGGGATGGGATGGGATGGGATGGGATGGGATGGGATGGGATGGGATGGGATGGGATGGGATGGGATGGGATGGGATGAGACGGGATGGGACGGGATGGGACGGGACGGGACGGGACGGGAAAGGATGGGATGGGATGGGATGGGATGGGATGGGATGGGATGGGATGGGATGGGATGGGATGGGATGATTCGACACTGCAGGACCTCGCACTGATGGTTGCGCGGCGGGGAGTGACCATGTTCCATAGGGTGGTGGGTGCTCTGCTGGTGCCACGGTGGAATGGTGGGTGATGTGGTGGTGGTTAGTTAGTGTGCCAACATGTGAATGTTTCGATGGGAGACAGGTTTGGTCACATCCCTTCTTCGTGTGACTATTGATAATAGTGCAGGACCCGATTGATCATCTCTTCTCCCACCTGCCTTTTCATGACCGCCCCTCCTTGCTGTGCCCTTCCTCCATCAGCCCCTTGCCTTCAGGTGCACGTGGTGGTGAAAAGCGTGAGCTTCTTGTGACTGTGCAGGCTCCACGTGACCACCCCATCCCCCACCTGCTTTCCTTGTACATGCATGGCCATGACCGTCCCTCCTTGCTTTCAGGTGGTTGGGGTGGTGAAGCGAATGAGCTTTTTGTGAATGTTCACATTCCAATTGAGCATCACTTGCCCCACCTGCCTTCCCCGTGACCTCTCTACTCCTCGCGTCCCTGCTTGCACCTGCGCTCTGTGACCGCCCCTGCCTGGCAGGTGGTAGGGGTGGCAGAGAGCATGAGTTACTTCACTTGCCCGGCCTGCTCCCACCGCGCCACCATCTTCGCCCATGGAGGCGCCCGCCAGGCTGCTGCTGACTTGGGGATCGACTTCCTTGCACAGGTGGGTTGCTGGTACTGGTGTGGTCTGGACAACTGCAGGGTATTTTCTTTGTCTCAATTGTTCCTCGGAGAGGTGGGATGGTGGCAAATGTGGTTTCCTGGCTGGGGTCATGGCATTTGTACGGTATCTCTTGGATTGGACATGTATGTTCTCAGCAGAGGGACGTTCTTGGGTTTATTGGAAGCGGTTTCTGTCTACCCCCAGTCCTGCCTCTTTTACTTCCCTTTTGTTTGATGCGCCCACACCCGTCATCCCACCCCTGGCCACTTACTCCCCTCCACCATCCCCTCTGCCTTCTCCACCAACCTCCCTCTCCCTCCAACCCCCCACACCGTGCCCTCTTGACTATTGTTTTTGCCCCTGCCCCCCATTCCTCACCCTCTTGTGTTTTCCCCCTATGCCACTGCACATGCACGCACAGCCACTGCCATGCCACCTCGTCCCTCCTCACCACACCCATGTGTTAGCCTCCCTCTCCCCACCTCCTCCCCATGTGCCACTTGCAGCGACTCCGCCATTCGCCAGTCACGCGTGCAACATCTTGTTACACTCGTCATGTTATCGCTTTCCATTCTCTCTCCATCCGTTCCTCCCGTCCCCCCTCCTGCCGTCCATCCACGATCTCCGACAGAGGCCGACCCATTGCTGCTGCTGCTGCTGGTGGTGCACGTGGGAGAGAAGGCAGGGCCACGATAGATGGCAGAGCAGAATGTGGGGTGGCGGAAGGTTGGATGGCAGAAGGTAGGGTGGCAGAAGGTTGGGTGGCAGAAGATAGGGTGGCAGAAGGTTGGGTGGCAGAAGGTGGGGTGGCAGAAGGTGGGGTGGCAGAAGGTGGGGTGGCAGAAGGTGGGGTGGCAGAAGGTGGGGTGGCAGAAGGTGGGGTGGCAGAAGGTGGGGTGGCAGAAGGTGGGGTGGCAGAAGGTGGGGTGGCAGAAGGTGGGGTGAGTTTTCACCTCTCGCCCGGCGCAGCGCTCTGGTCTGCCCCGCGCCTCCCCGCAATAAATGTGTGGCGAGCGCGGTTCTGGAAGGGCCAGTGTGTCCCCAATGTGAGTCAGACCTTTCACTGCAACTCTCAAGGGCCACTACTGGTGGCAGAACTACTGTTGGAGCAAGTGATGATCGCTCGGCCAGCCAGCTCACCACCTTCCCCTTCCCTTACCCTTTCCCTTTCCCTGCCCCCGTTTCCTTCCCCATCCCTTACCCTCCACACATACCCCACCACCTCCCACTCCCACTGCTCTCTTCCACCAAGCCTCGCACCATCCCACAATGCCCCTTCCCCTACCACCTCTCCCCTCTCCCTTCTCCCCTCTCCCCTTTCCCCCCTCCTCTTTCCCTTCTTCCCTTTCCCCTCTCCCCTCCCCTCTCTTCTCTCCCCCCTCTTCCCTCCCCGCTCCCCTCCCTTCTCCTGTGCAGTGGGTCGTCAAGGAAGGAGTCTGCTTGTGTAAATCGGAGGCTGTCGTTGCAGCCTACAAGCCCCACATTGTGATCGCATGCTGTTTGCTGGATGGTGAGTGCGCCTCCCCCTACCGCTTTTCCCGGTTTCCACCAGAAATCAATTGCCAGGCATGCAATGAAATTCTCCTCAAGAGGCAGTACTTTCTTAATCTTTGTCCATCCTCAGTCATCAATAGTGTTGTGCTTTTTGTTGTGCTTCTTGCACTCCAATTGAGCATCTTGTCTTCCCCTCTTTTCCATATGCTTCACTCGTCTCTTGCATCTCTGTCCATCGCCCCATCTTCTCCTCGTAAGCACCCCTCTCTGTCCTCCTCCCCATCTTCTCCCCCTATCCTCACTAGACGGCACCAATGAGGGGGCAAGCGTCAGTGTGAGAGTATATTGGCGCACTTATCCTTGTAAGTGCTGTCTCTGTTCTCCCCATCTTCCCGATATTTCTCATACTCATGCATTGAGCCACTTGGAGTGGATTGGACCGCAGCCATGAGGCGGCAGCCATCCGCGAGGGAGTACATTCTCGTGGGGGGGGGGGGCATCTGTGATCATCACCTGCATACATGGCGCTTCCCTGACTTGCTGGGGTGGCAGGCTGAAGAGGAGAAAACAGTGGACGTGAAGAAAGAGAGGAGGGGGAGAAAGGAGTGGATGAAGAGAAGGAAGAGAAAGAAGAGATATATGAGGGGGAATAGGAGGGAGAGGAGGACGAGGGGGAAGAGGAGGGAGAGGAGGAGGGCAAGGAGTGGAAGCAGGATGACAATGAAGTGGACAGGAGCGGGGGGGGGAGGAGTGCACCCTGGGACGATTGAGCCACGACCATTTGCAGGAACACGGCGAGGTTCACAGTGACAGGGGAGGGAATGCACAGCTGACAAGGGAGCAGGGGTGAAACAAGCACACTAGAAAACCAGTCAAAAGTCTGAGAAGCAGGCATGGTGCTGAGAATGGAAGTGCAGTGTGATTGGAGCAGGCAGTGGCAGATAGGGCGGACGGACGAGCCCTGGAGCTCCACCCGCCACTCGTTCACTGCGTCATTCCAACGATGCATTGTGGAACGATGAAGAAGCAGTGAAGCAGTGCAGTGCGGTGCGGTGCACTGCAATACAATGCAGTCCAGCGTGGTGCAGAGCAGGGTTTAAGGTGCACATCACTGAAGGCTGCTGGAGGGTGATCACCAAATTAATTTCTGCACCGAATCTGGGCTTTCTTCCCACTCAAGTAATTGTGTAAGCAAGTGATTGTGTAACCAAGTGATTGTGTAACCAAGTGATTGTGTAACCAAGTGATTGTGTAAGCAAGTGATTCTGTAACCAAGTGATTCTGTAACCAAGTGATTGTGTAACCAAGTGATTGTGTAAGCAAGTGATTCTATAACCAAGTGATTTAGAAAGCTTGCTTTCTTGCATGTAGCAATTGGCATCGTCTCGTTTCAAATGGGTTTAGTACAATTGAAATCCATGGAGTGACATAACAATCATATGCCTCTATGTTACTAAGGCTATCCTGCTTTCGAGGGGGGGGGGGGGGCGGGAAAATCGGCTAAACCGTTTGAAAATGAGAGACGTGGGTGGAGGGAAATGACCTCCAGCCCACGTTTTGTACTCCAAAACGGGCGTTTAGCGCGGCTCGACGCTGCCAAATCCTACATTACAAGCAGCTTCGCTTTCAAAATACATAATTTTGAAAAGCGTTACAGCTTTTAAAAATATACATATTTAGAAAGCTTGCTTTCTTGCATGTAGCAATTGGCATCGTCTCATTTCAAATGGGTCTTCTGAGACATGTGTCGCGCTGGTTGACGATGTCGTGTCAGCGCCGCAGAGTGTTGCGTCGGTGACGAGGCTCTCGCCGGATCTTGGACGTGTCGAGATGCTCCAACCAACTGTTCTATCGCCGGAGTGATGTACATCTCCTTAGCCGTATCGCTGCGCCACCTCCCCAGCTGTTTCAAAATGCGATCGGGTACTCCCGCGTTGGCGGCGACGGTTGCTGCGCCTTTACAGAATGAGTGGATGCCGAGGTGCTCGAGTCCTAAGCCAATCTTTTGAAATGCCTCCTTGCACCAGTTGCGGATTGTTGTGTAGGAGGGTGGTGTTGTCGGACTAAGCCACGGTATGCCATCGCCGCCCCTCTCCTCCCCAGCCCCCGCCTACCCCAGCTTCGTACCCGCCAGCCACACCATGCCGGTAGGGCCTTCCGCACCCCGGGGCCACGCCATTCCCCCCTTCATCTCCGCTCCCCCGGCTGCCCCCATGCCCGCTCCCTGTGCGGCCACTGCTCCCAACGCCTCTCCACACACAGCGCGTTACAAGGCCGGCCAGTGGCAGCAACAGTGGCAGGTGCGGTGAGGAGAATATGCCTGTCAATACCACAGCAGCCGCAGCAGCCGCGGCGGGTGCTTGTGGAGGCAAGCTTACCACTCTCCCACCACCGGCCCTCCTTCTCTTTCCCCTTCCCCGTCGCCCGTCAAACCCCTTCCCCCACCCTTCCCCCACCACCACCCCCCTGGTCCCTCCCGCGCGTTCCCCATCTCCCCGCCGCCACGCCTCTCCCAGCCGACATGCCCCTCCCCGCCGATTCCTCCTCAGAAAGGATCCTTTCTCTCCCACCCCTGTTGGTTCTACTGCCGCTCGTTGCAAACCCCACCTCACCTACTTGCATTGATGTAAAGGTGTGATGGAGTGTCAATATCTAGTTCACAATGAGCAAACTGTTGTTTCAAGAGTCTTCAAATCATATAAGTCCCATCTCCCTTTGCCTTTCTACTTTTCTTTTTCTCTCCCCTCCTTTCTCTTGCACAACAATACCCTTTACAGAAACCGTTTTTCTTCTACCACCGTTGTTTCCCGGGACCTTCCGGCCGCTCTGCTCACTTCATTGTACACCACCTGCGTACCAGCCCACTCTCCATCCTGGTCATCTTCGACCTGCTGGAGGAGCGCCTCAAGGCCGGGCTGCGGCGTTCTCAGCGCCATGGCTGTAGCCTCCTCCACCTGCTCCTCATCCTGCGGCAACTTGCCGGAGCGAAGGGGAAGGCGAGAGGGCATGGGAGACGGCGGCGGCGGCGGCGGCACCGCGGTGGCTGATGGACGAGCTGGCAGTGCAGGGCGTGGACAGCGGAGAGAGAGGGGAGGTGGGGAAGGGGAGTGGGGGAGGAGATGAGGGGGAGGGGGAAGGGGAGAGCGCAAGGGAGAAGGTGCGCAGGAGCGGGGTGTGCGAGTGAGTGGGCTGGAGAGGCAGTATATCTCCCTCGTCTCGCCATTCAACTGCTCGTCTCCATAACTCTCTGAGAGCAGTATACCTCTCTGAGAGTCGCTCAGCGAGAGCCTGCGTTGTTTGGCCTCTGCCTCACTTCTAATTCATACGCATGTCATTTCATCGAGTGAAGCTCACAGCTAGTACTGCGCATTTCAGATCGTGACGTGGCATTCGGATCTGATTGCGGAGCTCAGATTCAAGCGTCTACGCCTATGCGTCATAGCCTCACAAGGTTTCAATATGCGAAACCCTAGAAATAGGCCTGATGTAAGGCCGGTTCTGTCATTCCATTCTATTCGGCTTGCATATCGGAGTTTCTCACTTTCCTCCTTTCGCCGATGCTTTCGCGTCAGTCGATGCTCCCCACCCTCTGTTTATCTCATCCGCGTATCATCACACATCACCATCTGGCAGTCACGATTGCCACATCAGCAGCAGCGTGTGTACAGCGTGTGCGCCAAGGCGCACCACTTTGACGTCGCACGCGTGTACCTGTCATACAACGGTGGGTACCACCCGTATCCTCCAATCCAACAGGGGAGGGGAGCTCAAAGTGCGAGTTTTCCTCCTGCCGCCATCCCACGGGCTCGCCACAGCAGCCAACCCCACAGGGGCAGACGGAAGCTGCGCAGGGTCCGGGGATATTGCTTTCGCGGCGGATGCGAAGGGCGCAAGAGGAGCGGTGCGGTGATGAGGGGTGACGGCGGTGACGCTGGCGGAACAGGGCAGGGGCGGAGAGGAGGGGAGGGCGCGGAATGGATTGGGGGGTGGGGGGGGGGGGGGGGGGAGGGTCGGGTGGGGAGCAGGGTAACGAGGGCGGAGTACTGAGACAGGCAGGCAGCATTGGGCAGTTGACAGGGTGCGCGCTGTCTCCGTCCATTCCCCACACTCCCGCCGCCACCCCTCCTTCACTTTCTGCAGCAGGTTCTTGTGCAGGCGTGACAGCTTACCACTCTCCCACTGCCGCCCCTCCTCTTTCCCCTTCCCCGTCGCCCCTCCCCCCCACCCACCTTTCCGCCCCCCCTCCTCCACCCTGATTAGTACCCTGGTCTCTCCCGCGCGCTTCCCGCCTCCCCCCCACCACGTCCCTCCCCGCTGCACCTCCCCCGTTGGTGACGGAGAGCGCCCCAAGGGAGGGCTGTTCCAGGGCTGCGAAATCAGGCGTGGCGGCACCGAATGCCATGGCGCGGTTGCCTCAGGCGTTCTCAGCGCCATGGCTGTAGCCTCCTCCACCTGCTCCTCATCCTGCGGCAACTTGCCCGAGCGTTGGGGAGGGCGAGAGGGCACGGGAGGCGGCGGCGGTGGCACTGCGGTGGCTGACGGACGAGGGGCGCACCACGGTGGGCGCTGGGCATGGACAGCGGGGAAGAGAGCGGGGGAGAGGGGTGTGCGAGGTGGGGATGAGGGGGAGGGGGGAAGGGAGAACGCAAGGGAGAAGGATGCACGGGAGCGAGGTATGTGAGTGAGTGGGCTGGAGGGGTGTCAGGTGAGCCGACAGTCGCCGTCCAGAGGGCAGTGAGGGGGCGAGGTGCTTCTGCTGTTCCAGCGCCGTCACCTCAGGCGCGGCGGCACCAAGGAAGGTTACGGTGTTGTCGGCGCCATCACTGTAGCCTGCTCCCCGCCCCCACTGCCCTCATCTCACCTTCCTTCTCCTTCCGTCCCACCGTTCTTGCCCTTCTTCCCCGCTTCTCCCCCTCTCGCTTCCCCGTGTCGCTCCTCCTGTTCCTTGCTCTCCTTGTCGCCGTCCGCCCAAGTGAGCCCCGCAGCATCCGTGCTCGCCGTCTGCTCCTTCGTGGGACCACTTCGCCTGGGTGCCGCAAGCGACGGGGCCAGACAGGCAGTGGGCGCAGTGGAGCAGCAGCGCGAAGGAGGGGCAGGCAGAGGGAGGAGTGAGAGGCAGCGAGCGTGGGATGGGGTAGCAGGGGGGGGGGGGGGGGCGGGCTGGTGAGAAAGGGGAGGAAGGAAGGGGGAGTCAAGAGCTGCAGGTGGGGACGCGTATATGGGCGTCCGTGGTGGCGCAGATGGTTGGTGGGGTGTGTCCAGCACGGTGCCCGCCCTCTCGTGCTCCTTGGGAATGTTTCACTCCCTCCCCTCTCATCTTCATGGGCGCGATCATGCTCACACTCACCTCCTCCTCCCTGCGCTTCCCCCAGCGCCTGCAGCATGGCAGCATGGCAACGGCGTTGGCAGTGGCATGGTGGGCAGCAGCGTGGAGTGCAGTCACAGCATCAGCGTGGTGATGGGACGGCGTGACCTTAACAGCAGTAGCAGCAGCGGCGCGGTGCTGCAGAGACAGGGCAGCGTGGCACTTAACGACAGGGCAGCAAGGCGGAATGGGGCAGGCCGGCATGGGGGCTTTCAGGAAGCTTATGTGTTTAAAACACTCATGGCTTACCCTATCCTACCCTCGTGCCTTCTACCTATCAGCACCTCACTCGTGCATCTCCATCATGCCGTGCCCATCACTTCACCCCATGGCACACGTACATCAACCGATCTTCTTATACATCCATCTCTGACCCTTCCGACCCCTCCCTTCCCCTGCCACCCCCCTATCTCCCCTCAGCAGCTCCTAGCAGTGGCATGGCCATGCGCCAAACATCAGCCTCCATGGTATGGCTTCCCTCAGTTGCCCTCTCCACCAGCCTCACCTCCCTCCACGCCATGCCACCTGATTGAGGGCATGGCGCTGCCACAAGCAGCTTCTAGCACAACAGCAATGGCCACGGAGATGGTAAATAGGAATCCAAATCGGTAGGTCCACAGCTTATGGCGATCCATGATACATGAACTGCCGTGCTTGTGCGACCTATCAGAAGTGATGCCACAGGTGTGCACGCGCATCTCCTTCCATAGCTCATCCCATGGTGGGTACCCTACTTCTCTGTTCTTTCCAATTTGCTTCTGCTTTTGCGAATCATCAGTGCTGTGCCCTCTCATGCCTGCACTCCGCTCATTTCCTATATTATGTTTTGAGCTTAAAACCCGGGGTCAGCATGGTATGGGAAGGTGATGCTCGGGGCATGTGCTGGAAATGCTGGAAGTCTGAAGGTTGGACTGGTTGTTCTCTGCACATCCCGTTCACCTCCTTCCTGCCAGTTGTCTTGACTCCCCCCCCCCCTCCCCTCTCTGCAACATTTCCAAGATGTGTTTGCAGCCCCTGTCACCCTGCATCTCTTATTGCCCAATCCCCTCTATCCTTGCATCACCTCCTTCCTTGTGGCAGCATGATGCATCAATAGGCCTGCTGTGGCCTATGTCTTATCCTGGTACGACCCAGGGGCATACGTTATTGCATACCTCACTTAATACTATGCATCCTACTATGCCATTCCCAGATCGCTTCTGTTTTTGCATATCGCCAGTGCCCTGCACTGCCATACCTGCCCTCCACTTGTGCTCCCATCCCAGAAAAATCATCTTCAGTTCTGAGGGACACAATTAGGTTGCCTTGTAGATGACTGTGGGTGAAGTGTGGGGCTGGAATTTGGGGGTGTACTTGCACAACCTATCGTATGCATTGTGCTATAATCATTTTGCACAATACACAACCAGCCATTCCAGATAAGATGTTCTTTCATTGATGTGGTAGTAATCGCCAGAGGGGTTCTAAATGATGCTACAAGTCACATATTCCCTTACTATGCTAGGTTGTATACATGAAAAGCCTTGCCAAGGCAAGGCTTGCATGCTCATGTACATCCATCCCATGCAACCCCACCCTGTGTACCATGCCAATCGGTCAAACCCGCCAGTCACAGTCCACTACAGTATGGGCGGGTAATGCAGCAGCATGCTAACCAGCCTAGCCAACACAATGCACTTGAACAGGCCATACACCCTCGTGCATGCCCCCTCCATGGTCTAACATGCATAAACACCCCTGTTATTTATATACAAATCGCACGTAAGCCAGTCTAGGTTGTACGCAGAAAAGGCTTTGCCAAGTCAACTTGCACACTCCTCCACACCCCTTTCCCTCCGCACCTCCCCTCACTATTGTCCAAGCAGTCAATTCCACCCCTCCCTCCATCACACCCTGTCATCCTACCTGCCTATCCAACTGCACACGTCCTCATTGGAAACCAGATTTCCATTTGGCAACCGGAGAGATGCCAGCTTGGTCAGGGCAGTCAGCTGCTGCAGTCCATCATCCGTGACTGCCGTGCCACCCAACCGAAGGTCCTCCAGCCCTGTCAGCCTTCCCACATGCACCATGCCAGCATTTGTCACACCGCTGCACTCAGAGAGAAATAGCACTCTGAGAGAGGAGAGGCTTGTCAAGTACGCCAGACCAGCATCAGTCATCTTGGTCCTCCAGAGATAGAGGGTTTTGAGGCTGATCAGATGCCCAATGCCTTCCAAGGCACTTTCTGACACATCTGTGCTTCTGAGATCTAGCGTCTCCAACAGTGGCAGCCTGTAGAGGTGCTTGATGCCCTCTGCACTGAAGCCTGAACTACCGTACAAGTTAATGCTCTTCAGATGCCTCATTGTGGACACATGGGCAAGCATGGCGTCTGAGAGCATGCTGAGATTCTTCAAGACCAGGTCAGTTCCGTGTGATGCTGACTTAATTCGCTGGAGGAGAAGGATGAAGAGGGAATGAATGACAAGAAAAGGAGACCATTGTTGTGACAAAGGAAAACACGTCTGCCACCATCCCTGCCCTATGAAAGAGTTCAATCAGTACGCACCTGCCATGCCGTCTTCTGATCGCCTTCACTCTCTCTGAATTGCAGGTCAACATCCAACTTCACAAGAACATTCTTCTGTTCAGCCAGCTCCCCCTTCACTGCTGCCAGCTCTCTCTCCCTCTCCTCCATCTGCCCTCTCATCTCCATCAAGTCTGCTGCTCTTCTCCTCTCTACCTCCTGCACCTCCCACCTCCTCTCCTCCCTCTCCCTTGCCAACTCCGCCCTCATTTCTTCCTCTCCCTTTCTTGCCTCCTCTCTCAATTCTCTCAAAATCGATTCTCTCCTTCTCTCAGCCACATCCCATTGCTCTCTCATAGCCTCCTTGTGTTCGGCCAGCTCCCCCTTCACTGCTGCCAGCTCTCTTTCCCTCTCCTCCACCTGCTCTCTCATCTCCCTTATCTCTACCACTTGTCGTCCCTCAGTCTCCTCCAGCTTCTCTTTCACTGCTCCTAGCTCTCTCTCCCTCTCCTCCACCTGCCCTCTAAACTCCCTCCTTGTCTCTTCCAGCTGCACACCAAGCGCCCTCATTCTCATCCCCATCGCCTCTTTCAACTCGTGCACTCCAGCGATATTTCCCATGACAGACACAACAACCTCACCCACTTTCTGTTGGTGCAACCCTACGGTTTGCACTCGGCTTGTTGTCCGTGTGCGTGAATGTGTGTGTGTATGGAATGGTATGAGGGCATGGGATAATATATATTTCATGCTTATAATTGTGTGTGAATGTTGAGTCATGATGTCGAGTGTGTGTGTCGAGTCAATAGCGAGTTATCGCTAGACGCGTGTTACGCGGTCGTTTGTGTCTCGCGCGCGGTTTCTATTTTGTCGTGCGCGGTTTCTATTTTGTCCTGTGTCGAACGTTCGGCGTGTCGCAGGTGTGTGCAGCAGACCCATCAAGAACTCAAGGATGAGTTTGTGATGAAGAGCCCGAGCCTTGGTGTCAAGCCTCAAGTGATTTCGAAGCTCACCAAAAGGGTACACCTCAAGATATTGAACATAGTTACATTACTTTGTGTAGTGTAACATTTCACTTGGTGTAGGCCCTAGTGAAGGGTAGTTTCGAGACCCTTCGTGGTTGGGGACAGTGTGGCACTGTTCCACATCACTATACCTCGGCTCTTGGGGTTTGTAGGAGCTGGGAGTCATTCCCAACTCGTAACTCTTCCTATCTTGTGTTCTAAGACTATAGTGGCTGCCATAGTACCGTTCGTTCAAACCGACGCTGTGTCGTCAATTCTTTATCAAATTGTGCAATCTAAATTGATAATTGTAGACGACGTGAAGACGCTCCAGATCCAATTTGAATCAAGTCATTTGCAGCTGTGAGCAGAACGCTATCAACGTTTGAAGCCGCTGTGCAGAAATCCGTCTGTGCTCTCTATCTTCCGTTTTAGGCACATTCAAGCCTATTGTGACTATAACAAGTGGTATCAGAGCCCCTTGGAGCAGTTTCGACAATGTCTGGACCTGAGGAAAGGGGTGGCAGAGGTGCTGGTGGCAGTGGAGAAGCTCAAGCTCAAGGCCAACCCCGTGATTCAGCCATGGCGCCCATGCAACCAAGTCTTGGCCCACCTAGGGATGAGCCTAGGGTGTTTGGGCTTGACAAGTTCAACGGTGACAACTTTGCTGAATGGTCCTTCAAGATGGAGAACATCTTTGACCACTATGACCTGCTGGAGGTGATGGAAGGAACGGAGAAGCGCCCCGAGAACGACCCGGAGAAGAGCCCGTGGGTGCGGAAGAGCGCACAAGGCTATCTCTTACTTGGGCAAGCGTTGGGGAGCAGTCAGATCCGTCACATCAAGCCATTCCAGCGTGAACCAGAGAAAGGACCAAAGGCATGGGCTGCTCTCAAGGGTGTACATGCTCCTGCAACAGCGGCGGTAGCGGTGGTGTTGGAACGGCAAATGGCGGCACTACGAATTGAAGAAAACGAAGCGGTTGAAGAAGGGGTGCATAAATTCTTCGACTTGTTGACGCGGCTTGAGGGAGCTGATTTGAACTACAGTGAGCTCCAAAAGAAGACCAAGTTGCTGGCCTTACTCCCAAAGTCATGGTCCTCGCTCATCATCAACCTTAATCGCGACTTGCCCCGCCTCTCGCTTGAAGACGTGAAGCGAGCTATCCTTCAAGAGGATTTCCGCCGCCGTGAGTTGGCGAGTGCGGATGGCGCTGGGGCAGCGAGCATCGGCCGTGGATATGGTCGAGGAAGAGGCAGAGGACGAGGGGGAGGAAGGTTTGGTGGCAGCAACTTCGGCGGAGGCCGCAGGAGTGGCGGTTACGGCAGCGACGACAAGAGCTACGGACGCGGTCGCGGCCGATTCGACGGCGAGTGTCACTATTGCCACAAGAGCGGACACATGTGGCGCGACTGCTACAAACTCCCTGATGGTTGGACCCCTGCTCAAGGCTAAGAGGGTAGAGGAGCAGGAGGAGGGAGAGGACGAGGCCGTGGAGGCCGTGGCGGTCGCGGTGGCGGAGCTGCAAACATGAAGAGCGGAGACAACGACAAGGACCCGAGCGACGATCGATACCCGGGTCTATTCTACTTCGTGTCGACGCAAGTACCGGCTGGTCCAGAGAAGGATGAAGGCTTTGAGGAGCCAGCAGCTGTGGGGAAGGTGACCCTACACCCCCTGGACTATTGGGTGATTGATAGTGGCGCTACCTATAGCATGACACCTCGCCCGGACTTGCTCACCGAACTCGAGCCGTCACCGGTGAAGCATGTCACATCGGCTTTGGGGCAGCGAGCAGAGGTGAAAGGCATGGGCAAGGCCATGTTCAAGGGTGCTGATGGGAAGATGGTGGGCCTCAAGAACGTGCTTTGGGTGCCCAGCCTTGCTGCAAACCTGATTTCCGTGCGGCGGTTGGCAAAGGCCGGCATGGACACGAACTCGAAGGGAGCCAAGACCTACACCGCAAGGCTTGGCGATCGAATTCTTTGGGACCTTCATGAGGACAGGGATGTCTACAACGAGATGTGGCAGATCCCAGTGGTCCCTATGCCTAAGGAGAGGCAAGTGGCAGCAAGCATCAGCACCAAGGATGGAGCGGTCGGTAGCGACGATGGCGCGAACGGTCGCGCTAAGGAGAATGAGCTCAAGAAGAGCAAACCTGGAGGGACCAGCAAGTTCAGTGAACCTAAGGAGAGTGGTGCAGCAACCAAGGAGCAGCAAAAGGGTGAGGAGAACCCAGAGGCAGCAGCGGAGGAGGACTACGGAGAGAGTATGTGGGGCGCTATTGCGAGCGCGGCATTCTCCAATCCAACTTCGGCTACGGGGGAGTGTGATTGGCTCACCTTGCATCGGCGCATGGGGCATGTGGCCCTGCCCATCTTGCAGCAGCTAGTGAAGAATGAGATGGTTGCTGGCATACGTGTGAATGGGGAGCCCGATGAGGTGCTTGGCTGCCCGACGTGCATTCAAGCCAAACACCCGGTTTCCGTTCCCTAGTTCGGAGGCAACGGCAAAGGCACCGCTTGATGAGGTGGTGATGAACGTGGTGGGCCCCCTGAAGCTTGGAGCTGCTGGAGCTGAGTATTTTCTCACCATTGTCGACGTCTACACCCGCATGACTTGGGTGTACGTGCTGGCCAAGAAGAGCGACGTGGCTGAAACGTTGAAGACGGATTGGTTCCCGATGGTGGAGCGGCAACAAGACCGTCTAGTCAAGTCAATCCGCACCGATCGAGGGGGAGAGTTCCTGAGCAAGGAGTTTGGGTTGTGGCTGAAGAAGAATGGTATTCGGCACTCCCTCACCATGCCATACTCCCCTGCAATGAACGGCATCGCCGAGCGAGCGAACCGCACAATCACGGTGGCGGCACGCGGGTTGCTCATTGAAGCCGGGCTACCCGACTATTTCTGGCCTGATGCGGTGCGGAGCGCGTGTGTGGCCAAGAACAGAGCCTTGACTCATGTGGGAGCAGACAAATGGGTGCCCTATGTGGAGTGGCTAGGAAGGAAGCCAAAGGTGGATATGCTTCGGGTGTTCGGGTGCATGTGCATGGCGCTCGTGCCTAAGCATCTTCGGCACAACAAGCTTGGTGCCAAGGCGGTGTGGGCCGTGCACTTGGGCATGGCTCAAAACAGCAAGAGATGGCTTCTTTGGGACCCATTCACCAAGAAGTTCTTGGTGAGCAGGGACTGCAAGTTCATGGAGAACTTCATGTACAAGGATTGGAAGGCGGAGAATGAGGCGAAGATAGGCGTGCGGTTTGGGGAGGTGAAGAGTTCCGGTTTGGAGCATGTGGAGCTGCCTTTGGAACTGAGCAGCGGCAGCACAACCACAAGGCAACCCTCCCTTGTGAATGGGGGAGAGGAGGCCAATGATGCAGAGGAAGAAGAGGAGGAGGTGCAGCAAGTGAGCGAGCGCGCACCGTCACTTCCTTCCCGTACTACGAGTGCTCCACGGATTCGAGCCACACCGCAGCAACGCCAAGGCCTTCAAGTCCCTGCAGCTGAGGAGGAAGGAAGGGGGAAGAGGAGAGTTCAACCCCCTAATAGGCTGACCTATGATGCGCCGGGAAAGCAGGGCAAGACAGCCCTGGCCGGAGCGGCAATGATGGTCGGAGACGACGAGGAGAGTGACTACGAGGAGTGTGCCTTCGCGTTCTTCTCTCCGGTGGAGATGCCGGGAGAACCAGCAACTCTCAAGGAGGCTTTGGAGAGTAGTGATGCTGAGGAGTGGAAGAAGGCCATGGAGAGTGAGCTGAAGAGCATCGAGGAGAATGACACGTTTGAATTGGTGGAGCTACCGGAGGGGCGTACGGCGATAACGTCCAAGTGGCTCTTCAAAATCAAGTCGGATGCCGACGGCAAGATCGAGCGCTACAAGTCTAGGCTTGTAGCCAAGGGGTACCAGCAGAAGGAGAAGGTGGACTTCAAGGAGCTGTTTGCCCCTGTGGTGAAGCCGACGACGCTGCGAACCCTATTCGCGGGAGCCGCCATCAAAGGATGGGTAGTAAAGCAAATGGACATCGTAACGGCATTCCTTAACGGCATCCTTGAGGAGGAGATTTTTATGGCGCAGCCAGAGGGGTTTGATGATGGTAGTGGCAGAGTGTGGAAGCTGAAGAAGGCCCTCTATGGGCTGAAGAAGGCCCTTAGGCAATGGTACATAAAGCTGCGCGAAGTGTTGGAGGGGATCGGCTTCACTCCCTCAACGGCCGATCACTCCTTGTTCATGCTTGGCGAGGGGGAGCAGAGGAGTTTCATGGTGGTTTATGTGGATGACATCCTCATTTTCTCACCCTCTTCTGACCTTGTGAAGGAGGTGATGCTGAAGCTTCAAGACAAGTTCAAGTGCAAGGCCCTTGGTGACGTGAGCTTCTACCTTGGGCTCCACATCGAACGAGATGTGGAGAAGCGGTGCATGCGGGTGCATCAACGAAAGTACCTGGAGGCATTGGCAGCCAACTTTGGGCAGAGTGAAGGCCATGTGGCTACACCCTTTCCCTCTGGGTTCAAGTGTGTGAAGGGACCAGAGGAGGAGAGCGTTGGTGAAGAGGAGAGGCGCCGATTTCACTCGTTGGTGGGCAGCCTCATGTATGCGGCGGTAAACACCCGACCGGACGTCGTTTTTGCTACCGGGCAGCTGGCTAGGGTTGTGCAATGCCGTAATGAGGAGCAGGTAGCAGCTGGAATGAGGGTGGCCAAGTATCTTGGCCAAACACCGACCGTTGGGCTGCAATACTCGGCGGCGGCACAAAGGCGCCAAAAGGGCGCGGATGGTGTTGAGCCCGGGCGTTTGTTCCTCACCGCCTACTCGGATGCTTCATATGCATCAGAACCAGAGGACATGACAAGTGTGGGAGGCTTCATATGCTGTGTTGGTGGAGGCCCAACTGCTTGGGAGAGCAAGAAGCAGGTTGACCAAGCTTTGAGCTCGGTGGAGTCCGAGTACATGGCACTCTTCCGTGCCGTACGGGAGATTGTGTGGCAGCGGCGTTTGTTGGCTGAATTGGGGGAGGAGCAGCAAGGACCTACCCCACTGTACTGTGACAGCCAGGGTGCCATTGCTCTTGCTAAGAACCCTGTGTTGCATGGACTCACGAAGCACATGAGGGTGAAGTGGCATTGGACGAGGAGCATGGTAACCGCGGGTGAAGTTGAGTTGCGCTACGTGAAGACCACGGGGCAGCCGGCTGACATGCTGACAAGTAACTGTGGCATTGGACTGAAAAGGAGCAACACATCCATGCGTGCAAAGGGGGACACACACATGCACGCACACATGCCCAGACATGCACACATAAAAAGAAACACACACAGACTCAGTGCGAAAACTTTAATTGAGCATCCCGGCTTCATCCAACGGAGTAAACTAAAAAGAAGGTTGCAAAAAAACAAGGGACGGAGGCAGAGGATTTGCTTACATGATTACGAGACGCAGGAGGGGCCGTGAGAGGGTGATTGACTGTCTGGTTATCGGTGTCACGTGTAAGCTGCAGTAAGAGCACACACGCATGCTCAGACTCGAGCCATGGCTGACTTGCAAGGGTTTAATCTGGCCAACATCCCAACCTTGCCAGGGCGGCCAAACTTGCCATGATAGTGACTCACGTCCTGTGTGCTGGTGGCATGCCAGGCATCCCTTGCGAGCGGCGTGATGCTAATCACTGAGATGGCAGTGCCGATAACAATGCCGGCCAGCAGCCCTGGCAGCAGCATGGCCACTGCAGTCATCCGAGCCATGGCTGACGAGGCGAGCATGGGGAGGAGCAACAACAGCAGAGGAGGGAGGGGAGATGTAGCAGCAGCAGTGGAAGGAGGGGTAGGCAGCAACAGGATGGAATAAGGGGCAAAGGAACGGACATAGAGTATCCGAGTTCTCTGCCTCGAAATGGTATAGATGGAGATGGACTGGCTACGGCAAGTAAAGGATCACGTGGAAGACCAAGTGATCGCCAAATATGAAGGCGAAGGCAAGGAGTAGCCAAAAAGCGAAGGTGCACTAGCAAGGAAGCGGGCAGAGAAGACAGCTGCACTGGCAAAGTGAAAAGGCGATGAGGAGAGGTGAGGGTCTGGTGCTGAGGGGCGGGAGAGTAGAGAGAAGAAAACAAGGTTGCTGAACTGAGAAAGCATCATAGGGTAAGTTGGGTGGAGAGAGGCAAGACCTCTTGAAATATGATGATGATGCATTCTGAGCCTTGTGAGAGGCGGATGGAGCTATGCACGACACTGAAGCGCCAGCACGAAAAGAATATTGGATATTCCGAACGAAGACTCCTACCTCACGTGAGATTGAGTGCAGAGTGATGGATTGAATGAAGTGGACCTCACGATCTGCCAACAGAAATCCAGCAGGTAGGGACAGGGAACAAGACGCACGAGATGCAGAGTGCAGGAAAAAAAAAAAAAGCAAGTTGAATGAAGGTGCAGTTGGAAATCAAGGCAAGGGAGACAGACGAGTAGCAGGACTCCTGGGAAGAGAGTGGGAGGCAGGAAACGGATTTAGAAAACGAAGTGCAGCAGTGGACGACCGGTCACAGTGGACTGGCCGTGCGTACCTGGTGGCAGTTGGTAGCAACGAGCTGCCAGTTTGAAAGCATACAGGTCGACAATGCTCCACAGCAGGGGGTGGAGGAGGAGAGAGGGTAACGAGGAGAGACGCTACGAGAGGAGATTAGCAAATTTGCACTGAGTGGGGCGAGAAGCAGGCATAAGAGGAAACGAGATGAGCAAAACAGGACACGATGGATGCATTATGCTAGAATCTCGCGTCGCACTCCAGCCATCATCCATCTCACCGTTTGCCTCTCCCAAATCTCTCTCTCCCAGTCCTTAGCACGTCCCCATTTTTCAGGCATCACTGTCGCTCGTCCGCTTTCAATCCATGACCTCGCGTGCTACGCGCAGCGCGCAGCACCGCATGCCAGGCTGCATCCCAATCCGTTTCCTGCCAACTGCCACTTGGGAAAACGCGACGCTCGGATCGATCGCGAGCCCATGGGGTTCCAGCCGCTGCGAGCGCATTGGAAATCCATCAAGCTCTCTGCTGAAGCGAGTCTCTAGGCCTAGCTCTTCTAACCCTGTCGATGGCCAATGGCTGCCGAATCATCTTCCTCGGCGGATTAAGTAAACGCGGCAAACAACGAATTCTCGGAGCTGCGCGTGGCGGCATCGACACTAAGGCGCGTTGATCGTGTGGCGACACACTAACGAGCCACATCAATTCGAATCGTCGTGGAGCTCAGAGTGCTAACATGCAGGAGTTTCTCACGACGCGTGGCGATAGTATCGAGTGTGCTCAGCAGCGACCGTGCTTGCTGGCGCATACCTAAGTTGCTGGGGAATGGGGACTTGTAGTAAGGAGCTAATATTTTAGCGAGAAGCGGAGATGATTGTGTGGAGGAAAGGGCGACAAGGTATTACGATGCGAAAACCGAACGAGAGCGTTTCGTGGGTCAACCATGTTCGTAAATCTCGGAATCTGCTCGCCAAACGAGCACTGCCGTGAAGCTCAAGACCTGCCCGAATTTGCGAGTCAGCTGTTACACAGCTGCTGAGTAATTCGCCTTTCGAAATTTTTTATTTCGCCCGAGTGACCTACCTGAAGCATCCGTTACCTCCCTGATTGTCAAAACCATTCGAGGTGGAATATCCTGATACAATGCCCTTTCCGCACTCATCGGTGCATCGGAAGCACTACGAGTATCGAAGGCCAGCGCTACTTCTAAAAAAACGCTTTTATTCTCCGAACCCGTGTCGCAACTAGCATAATCATCCCGCAGTATTTTTCCCTCGTATCGGTTCGTCGGTTCGTCTGTTTTCATCTGTTCGTCTCTATACCTCTCCAAGAGTCGATCAGCGAGAGCCTTCATTGTTTGGCCTCGTCCTCACTTATATCTCATAAACATCTCTTATTACCCTCAAGGGAACTACTGCGCATTTCGGAACGTTTAGAGTGACCGACGCTCATTGCGGAGCTCACATAATAGTGTCCACGCCGACGTCATAGCCTCACGACCTTTCAGTCTGCTAACCCTACTAGAAACAGGCTTGAGGTAAGACTGGTCGTGGCATTCCATTCATCTTTGGCTCACACTCGGACACTACCCTAATTTCAATATTCGTCGATGCTTTTGAGTCCATTAAAGTTCCCCACTCTCTGTTTCTCTCACCCTCGGACCTATGCCTCGCCGCCGTCGCCTTTCCATGTCCCCAAAGCTCAGCACAAAAACGAAAAGCGCAGTGAACAGTTTCAGTCATGCATGGAGGCGTTACGATTCCACGCTCTTATCTTGGAAAAACTAACCGCCCATCGGTATTCACAAATGTGATGTGTGAGGCTACTGAACAACAGGCAGCAGCAAATCCCAAAAGCACAAATCCGTGCATTTTTCCTGCCCTATTTTCCGTCAATTTGCAGTTTTTTTTCTGCTAGAGCTGTGCTAGCTCGCATTTCCTTTTCCAATTTTTTTCTTGCTCCGTTAAAGAGGTGTGGTGTGGCGAGTGTCACTCTCTGCCGCCTCATGACTCTTCTTGTGGAGTGAGTGATTCTTGGCCTGGACGAGGCAAGCAGCACTCTCCTCGCCCGCAACATCCTTGCAAAAATCCACCCTGCGCTATAGGAGTATCCACTCTAACCCCCCACCTGAAATCCACGCTGAGCAGGTCATTTTGAACTTAAATATATTTCTTCTGAGAAGTCTGTGCAAGGGTCCAATAATTAGGGTCTACTCGCAAGTAGTTTTGCCCCGCCCTTTCGGCTCCGAGTAGAAGTGAGTACTTGGCCTCGGTCGAGTAATTCAGATGAGGCGAGGCCTCAGCCTCGACCATGTTGACTATTCAAGCTCGGGCGAGTATTTTCTCGCCGCCCCCATCAAAATGATTCAAATGTTGCTCCCTTCTGCTCCTTGCTATCTTGTGCCTCTCCCTCTTTATTTCCATGCGTTCTAATGCTGATATGCCAGTCTCATCCTCTAAGGGGGCGATCTGTAGTAAGGAGGAAGCTGGCTGAACCAGCGCCGCACGTATGGCTGTACGGAGGGAGGCAAATGAGATTGCTGAAGCAGTGAAAGAGCTGTTTGGTTTGGTGAGGGGGGAGTTGGCAGCAGTTAAGGGGGAGCTGGCCGTGTTTAGGGAGGAGGTGGGCCGACAGAATGAGCGAATATTGATGCTTGGGGAGAGGAATCAGGTGTTGGAAAACGAGGTGAACACGTTGAGGCGTGCACTGGGTGTTGTGGAAGAGGGGAGTGCGGTGACTGCTGCTTTGGTGGAGAAGAGCGAGAGAGAGTTGGCAGCAGTGAAGGGAGAGTTGGCAGCAGCGAAGGGAGAGTTGACTGCAACGAAGGGAGAGTTGATTGCAGCCAGGGGAGAGTTGAATGCAGCAATGGGAGAGTTGAATGCAGCAAAGGGAGAGTTGAATGCAGCAAAGGGAGAGTTGACTGCAGCAAAGGGAGAGTTAACTGCAGCAATGGGAGAGTTGAATGCAGCAAAAGGAGAGTTGAATGCAGCAAAGGGAGAGTTCAATGCAGCAAAGGGAGAGTTGAATGCAACAAAGGGAGAGTTGAATGCAGCAAAAGGGGATTTGAATGCAGCAAAAGGGGATTTGAATGCAGCAAAGGGAGAGTTGACTGCAGCAAAGGGAGAGTTGAATGCAGCAAAAGGAGAGTTGAATGCAGCAAAGGGAGAGTTTAATGCAGCAAAGGGAGAGTTGAATGCAGCAAAGGGAGAGTTGAATGCAGAAGAAGGAGAGTTGAATGCAGCAAAGGGAGAGTTGACTGCAGCAAAGGAAGAGTTAACTGCAGCAAAGGGAGAGTTGAATGCAGCAAAAGGAGAGTTGAATGCAGCAAAGGGAGATTTTAATGCAGCAAAGGGAGAGTTGATTGCAGAAATAGGAGAGTTGATTGCAGCAAAGGGAGAGTTGACTGCAGCAAAGGGAGAGTTGAATGCAGCAAAAGGAGAGTTGAATGCAGCAAAGGGAGAGTTGAATGCAGCAAAGGGAGAGTTGAATGCAGGGAAGGAGGAGGTGACTGAACATAAGGATGCTATGGTCAAGCAGTTACACATGGCTGAGAGCAAAAGTGAATCGGGTTTGAGAGATCTGCAGGAGGGGACGAGGAGCGGAGGGGATGAAATGAGCGCGGAATTGGCAAGAAAGAGGGAGGAGATGAAGAGGGAAGTGCAGGAGATGAATCGGCCATGTGCCATGGATGAAATGGCAGCCTGCAGGAACTGGGTGAATGTTGAAGGCGATCAGAAGACTGCATGGGAGGTGAGTGCTGAGTGATTTGTTTGCACCAAGGTTAAAAAATACGACTGTATGTCTGAGAGCGTGCTTTCTCTGCTGTTGCTGCGATAGTCACCGCTTCTCTTGTTAATCTTCTCTTCTCCCTCCAGCAAATCATGTCCGCATCACGGGGTACTGATCTGAGTCTGGCGGGTCTCCACGGCCTATCAGACGCCATTCTCGGCCATGTGTCCACCATGACCCACCTGACGAGCATCGACTTGTCCTACAGCTCAGGCTTCAGTGCAGAGGGCATCAAGCACCTCTACAGGCTGCCACGGCTGGAGACGCTAATCCTTAATGACACAGACGTCTCCAACAGTGCATTGCAAGGTATTGGGTCCTTGACCAGTCTCAAGAAGCTCTATCTTCATAAAACCAAGGTAACCGATGTTGGTCTGCCATACTTGACAGCTCTGCCCTCTCTCAAAGGGTTGAGCCTTGCTAACTGCAAGGATGTGACAGATTTCGGCATGTTATCCGTGGGGAGGCTGACAGGGCTTGAGGACCTTTGGATGTATAGCACAGTAGTCACGGCTTATGGGCTGCAGCGGCTGAGTACCCTGACCAAGCTGTCATACATCTGGCTGCCAAATGGGAATCCAGTTTCCAATGAAGACGTGCGCAAGTGGATAGGCAGATAGGGTGGCAGAGGGTCGTTAAGGCTAACTAAAGTGACGACATGAGGGCATAATTGACTGTGACTGTCTAGGGGAGACCGAGGAGAGGAGTGAAGGCAAGGGGTGTGGAGAATCAGGTGCAGGTGCAGGCCAATTGGGGAAGAGACCAGGCGCCTGAGGGGAGCCATGATGTTGTGGTTTGGGTGCCTGCTGTACAACCGTCTTCACTTACAGGAAGGGAATAAACGGAAAAACACAGAACCTTTCGGCTGTGTACCGTATGAGAAATTGCTTTTAGGTTGTGCTGCTGGTACTATATATTCATTAAACAGTAGCTTGCATCAACATTTAGAAGGCAACAACAAAGATGAGTTTCTTATGAAGCTGCAAATCACTCGTCTAAGGTAGTGTACATGAGCAGCAGCAGCTTGCTAGAGGACATTCTGTTGGCTGGGTGGGTGGCATTGAAAGGTGAAGCTGGAAGAAGTGGGCCTGTGATGCATGCCTGGTGCGCACTTAGAAATAGGATTCATTCTTGGAATAAGTGTCGGATAAGGTATGCCTGCGCAGCTGCCCCAACAACATAAGGAGGGGAGGAGGAGGGGAGTGGGCAAGGATGGGGGGAGGAGTGTGGAGAAGGAGAGAGATCAGGGCTGCAGAGGGACAAATGTATGAGCAGCACAGTAGGGCACGAGAGGCATAAAGTGGGGCATAGGGTGAGAGCATATCGGGTGGTCCTGCTGTGGTGTTGGTGATGAGGGAGGAAAAGAGAGGTGGGGCAAGAAAAACTGATGGCTATGGAGCTGCTGTTTTATTAAAATGGGAAGAGAGGAGCAGATGGGAGGGTGATCACGGGCAGAGAAGGACGAACTGAGATGGGGAGGGGCAGTTGGTTTATGTACAGGTGAATGGCAAGAAGGGGGATGAAAGAGGGTGTGTTGGCAAGACAGGATGTACGAATGAGCTGCTGTCAGCTGGAAGGCACGCGGGTAGAAAAGGGGGGACGAACGAAGGGATGGCTTTTGAAATGAGAACGGGAAAAGGGGGATGACAGGGAGGGAGTGGTATGATTTACCGGTATATGAGATGGGATGCACAGAAAAGTAGAAGGGGGGTTTGTACGACACCTGGCATGATTGGACAGGAGGGTGGTCAGCTCCTTGTGCTGATTCGCTCTCATTGGGCCCTGTCAACCCATATCGAACCGGCCTGGGTTCGGCTCGGGCCAAATGAACCGGTCCAAGTTGCGCGGGTTTGACAGAGTGAAACGATTTTGCAGGTCTGTCCCTAGGACGAACTCAACCAAATCTGCAGGCTTGACACACGACTGTGACCCGAGGCAGGACATCGCCATCAGTATGCTGCAAACATTTTCCACACAACCTGAGCTGTGCGGGTCCATTTTGAGAGGCAAAAGAGGGAGGTTGGAGCTCATTCTGGTGCCCCAGTTTGAGCTTACTAGTTTAGCCTGCTCCCCTCCTGCCCTAGCACCTCTCTAACATTTAGCTTCCATTCCATTTCATATTTACCTTGGACAATAGAGATTAAGGGTTAGGAAAAACTCTAGCCAGCCTGATCCGAACCAAACCATGTGCTGTCCACATTCAGCCCGATGAGAAGCCAGCCAGGATTTAAACAGCTCGGGTCGGGCCAGTTTGGGTCCAGCCCCACTAGGTGTCTCGATCATCCTCGTTCGACATGGGCAGGTGTGGGTAGGTAAGACCCACTCTTACCAGTAAGGAGTACAAGAAGAGTAAAGATCGTTAAATGGGCTGCTGGGGGAGGAGGAGTGGGTTCGGGGAGAAGGGGGATCGAAAGCGGTTAGAGAAATTGAAAGGTTTTGGATTGCGGTAATTTTTTTGCAAAGTCGCGAGCAAGTAAATCTCTTCTGCAGAGGCACCCCGTTCCCCCCAACCCTCACCTGTTCCACCTTGCCCTGGCAATTCTGGATCCTGTACAATCACAAAGTCACCACGCCCTCCTCTACCCTCTCTCTCCCGCTCCACGTCGTCCCTTTGCTCATCCCACACCTTTCCCAGTGCCTTCCACTGCCACGCCCAACCATGCCAAGTGCGGCCGCGGGCACATCTACTTGAACCACGAGTTTTACTTGACTTGGTTGAGTTGTTTCAAAAAGAAAAAAAAAAACTCGTAACTCGACTCGTATGCCCATGTATAATGCGGTTGGTGTGCGTAGGGGAAAGCAGTGGGGGGGATGGTGGAGAGGGCGTGGGAGTAAGCAGTGCTTAATTTCGTTCTATGAGGATTTCTTTGCAGTGCTTGAAGTGCATAAGTTTCCGAAAAGCCTGCCGGCCTGCTTCATTCCGCACTACCGCAGCTGACCTGCCCTTTGAGAGCCACGTTGCCCTGCCTCTGCATCACCAATCCGCTGCTTCTGCTGACAAGGCGGACGTGCCTCATCACCACGCTGATGCTGTGACTGCAATCCACGCTCCTGCCCACCATGCCACCGCCGCAGCCGTTGTGGGCACTGCGGTGCTGCCATGGTGGCAGTGCTGGGGGAAGCCCAGGGAGGAGGCGGCGTCCGTGAGGGCATCAGCTGTCAGCTGTCAGCAGTGGCGTGGCGTACCACATCCATGCTCGCGCTCCTCCCGCCTATGCTGCCCGTGCCCGTGCTGCGTGTACTACCTACCAACGATGCCTGTTCCTGTTGCTGGCCGCCGCACTCCCTCCATACCCGGGTCACCCTGTCTCCCCGCCCCTACTATCCCACCTCCTGTGCGCAAGTTTGTATTGATCAAACTGCCGCTCATGCTCCCCCCCACGTTCTGACCCAAGGCCCCCCACCAACCCCCCCTCCCCCCCCCCCCCCCCCCCGCCCCTTCCCATGCTCCCACGTGCTCCCGCCTGTTTTTCCGCCTCTGCTCCCGCCCATGCTGCCCCCAAGTCGTCCCCTCGGAAGTGTTCAGCAGAGGAGTTGGTGCTGCTGGTGCGGGTGAGGTGTGCGGAGGAGGGGCTGGGGCGAGGGGCCTGGCAAGGGCAGCGGGGGAAGAAAGAGGGGAGGCGAGGAGCAGGTGGGACGAATGTGAGACAATGACACGTGGTGACGGATGGAATGGCGTAGGGGGGGAAGTCACAGTGGGCACGCATGCGCGAAACATACCCCCCCCCCACCATCTGCTCCGCACCACCACGGCCGCCGCCAGTATGGCGTCCCCTCGCCCAACCCCCTCCTACCCCCTCCTACGCCACCTGCCTCTCGCTCTTTTCTTTGCCCGCCCTTCACCCTGCCGCTCCACTGCGCCGGCTGCCCATCTGCCCGCGGTTCTTGCGAGCCCAGTCGAAGCGGCCCCAAGAAGGAGCAGTCAGCGGGTGCGGGTGCTGCGAGACGGTGGCACGGATTGGCTTGGCAGGGAGAGCAAGGTGCACGACAGACGGCTGAGATGACGATGAAGCTGCAGGGACGGGGGAAGGAGGGACAAGGGGAAAGAGAGAGGAAGGCAAGCAGGGAGGAAGGGCAAGGAAGGTGGGGTGGGAGGGAAGGAGAAGGAAAACAAGATGAGGGCACAGTAGTGGGGGCGGGGGAAGGGGGCTGGAGGCATAGGGTGTGGCGCATAGGGCCGAGACTGTGGCAGACAGAGGGGGGAGACAGCAAGCTGGTGGGGCATGCAAGTGAGCGGACTGGAGAGGCGCGTGGTCTGGATCCGGCCTCTGCCAGTCGACTGCTCTGATCCAGCAGACGACGACCAGAGAGCAGTGGGCAGGCGAGGCGAGACCCTGCTTCTGCTGCACCTGCTTTCACCGCCGCCGCTGCCGCAACTGCTGCAGCTGTAACTGAGAGCGCACCGAGAGCGCCGCAGCCCCCGGCGAAGCCGCTGCCCCCAGTGCCACTGAGGCGCTCCTTCACCACCGGGAGAGGCGTGGTGGGGAGTGGAGTGGTAGCGGGGAGGGGCGTGGTAACGGGGAAACCAGGAGCACGCGGGAGAGACAATGGGGATCAGGGTGGGAGGGGGGGAGGGGGGAGGGGTGGTGGTGACGGGCGACCGGAAAGGGGAAAGAGAAGGAGGGGCGGTGGCGGGAGAGTGGTAAGCTGTCACGCGTGCACAAGAACCGGTTGCGGCTACTGCGGTATTGACAGGCATATTCTCTCACCCCACCTGCCACTGTTGCTGCAAATCCACAATCTGCCACATGCACTCTGCTATTGGCGCAGCTGCCAGTGGCGTGGTCCTCGGGTTCCCCGCGAACGACTGCCTATCCGCTAACACACGTCCTTGCACATGCTGTTCCCGCTCGGCTCTACAAGCAGCGCCATCGAGCGCCCCTCTACCCCACGGCGCTACAGCGGCATGGCAGAGCTCTGTGCTGTGAGTGCCACTGCGCACTTCCGCCATCTCCCCCACCACCCTGCCATCGCCTTCCCCCGGCCCCACCCTGTCACCACCGACCTCACCTCTCATCACCGCAGCCCGCTTCTCCTGTGCCCTTCGCATCCGCTCCGCGGAAGCAATCTCCCCCGCCGACCCTGAGCAGCTTATGCCTGCGCCTCTCCCCACTCCCTCCGCCTGCCCCTGGCTTTGCCACATCATCTGCATCTGTGGGGTTGGCTGCTGTTGGCGAGCCTGTGCGATGGTGGCAGGAGGAAAACTACCTCTTTGACGTCCCCCTCCACTGTTAGATAATACGGGTGGTACCCGCCGTTGGATGGCAGGTACACGCGTGGCGCCGAAGCACACGCTGTACGCTGCTGCTGATGTGGCAATCCTGGTGGTATGTGTGATGCTACGCGGATAAGATAACAGAGGGTGGGGAACACAGGAGCATCAACTGAATTAGAAGAATAGGAGAAAGGAGGAAAGTGAGGGTACTGCGAGCCGAATCCATTAGAATGACCGCACCGGCCTTACCTGTTTCTAGGGTTTCACATATTGAAACCTCGTGAGACTATGCGGCGTAGACGCTCTAATTTGAGCGAGCTGCGGACACTCCAAACGACCTCAAACGACGCAGGCTCTCGCTGAGCATCTAGCGGAAAGATATAATAGAGACGAACAGATAAAAAGCGAGACGAAGGAGGAATACTGCGGAATGACTGCAAGTTGCGACGCGGGTTGGGAAGATAGAAGGCCTACTATAGTAGTAACGCTGAGCCTAGATGAGGATGCAGAGCTCATCCTCGACATTGTATCGGAGAAATACACCATGAATGTTTTTGCAAGTTGAGCTTCGATTCAAAGGTGTTGAATACAATTCAGGGAGGTAACCGCTCCCTCCAAAGATCCGCGATGTGAGCTAGCAGGGTTACCTGTGTCTCGCAAATTGGGCCTGGATTCAAAGCTTCACAGCGATGCCTGCTTGGCGAACAGATATGGTGATTTGCGAACAGATCATGATCATCGCATCGAAATACCTTGTCGCCACTTCCCCCCTTACAATCATCCCCGATCATCGCTAACTAACATGGTCCGACTATTACTAGCGGCGCTACTAATAGGTCCTATTCGCGAACAGCTAGATATGCGCCAGCAAGCATGGCTGTCGCCGTCCAGATTCGGTAGCCGTCACTATCGCCACGCGTCGTGAAAAAAATATTGCATGTCAGTACATTGAGCGCTGCGACTGGCGGATCCGAATTGATGTCCCCCGTTCCAGTGTCGCCACGCGACTAGCGCGCCTTGGCTGTAAACGACGATGCCGCCACGCGCAGCTCCGAGGGTTCGCCGTTTGCCACGTTCAGTTACTCGCCGAGCAAGATGATTCGGCCGCCACTGGCGAGAGACTGCGTTAGAGGAGCTAGAGACCTAGGGTAACGACTCGCTTCATACGCTTCATGATTGAGCTTGATGGGTTTCCAATGCGCGTCGCAGCGGCTGAAACTCCATGCGCTCGACCGATGCGTCGCGTTTGGCCAAGTGGCGATTCGCAGCTAACGAGCTGGGGTGCTGCCTGACATGCATTTCTGCGCGCTGCTCATCGCACGCGAGACGATGGGTTGAAACGGACGAGCGACAGGTTTTCCTGACAAACGGGGATGGGCTAAGGACTGTGATGGAAAGATCTGGGAGGGGCGACTGTGAGATGATTGATGGCTGGAGTGCGATGCGAGGTAGTGGCATGATGCCCTCGTGTTTTTTTGTTGATCCTTTTTTCTTTCTAAGCGGAGCGTTGTCGACCCGTCTGCTTTCAAACTGGCAGCTCGTTGCCGCCGCCACACAGCAGGTACGCACGGCTAGTCTACTGTGGGAGTGGTCGTCCACTGCTGCACCTCGTTTCCTAAATCTGTTTCCTGCCTCACTCTTCCCACGTCTCTTCTCTCTCTTCTTACAAGTCCTGCTCCTTGTCAATCTCCCGTACCTTACATTTGAACAGCACCCCCTTTCTACTGCTTTGTGCTTGCCTGTCTTACTCTTTTCAGCTTGCGTCTTTTCAGTTCAGCTTGCCTCGACCTTCATGATTTTCTTCCCATCTGCTGCCCTCCAGCTTTTGATCCTTGTCGCCAGCTTTTCGTTTTTTTGTCCCTTCTACTGTACTCTTGCTTGGCCCAGGACTGTCATAGTTTGATTTCGGATGAAACATTGGTCTAAATAGACGACCAATTTTTCTTCACACTTGCTTGGGCATGCATTCACATTTGTCCACATCATCGCAACTTTATTTCATTTCATCGTTCCACTCTCTAAACTACACCACCCCATTTCTTCGATCCGTGTGACTCGTGCGTCTCATTTGCCGGCCTCCTGGGTATGTGTTTCCAGATTGCGCTCTACTCCACTCCATTCGTTTCTTCGGTCTGCAATCTTCTCACTGCTCTCACCTCACAAGGTAAGTATCTTCCTTCATGATATATCAATCTCCCTTGTGCATCCTTCCCATGCGAGAGAGTCAGTGTCGTGCATACTTCCTCCATCCACCTCTCGCACGGACTCCAAATGCGCATCTCCTTGTCCTCGCAGTCCTACCATTGTTTACCCTTAGCCCTCGCATGCTCTCTCAAACCATCAACCATGCTCTTCTTTCTCTCTACTCTCTGCCACCTGAGCTACATTTCATCACTTTCCTCTCTGCCCTTTCCACTTCTCCAGCCCTACTGCTCTCTATGCCCACTACCTCGTAACTGCACCTTGCCGTTCTCCTTATCCTTGACGATGATGCCTCAAACCTGACTGTCCTTTCGTTCCTTCTTGTGATTATTAACTCGCCGCAGCTATTCTCATCTCCATCTGTTCCATGCATGTGGCCATCTTTATCCAACCGTGGCCTGGTGACTCTGTGCACTCAGACATGTCCTCCTTCATTCTGTTTCCACTTATTCACTTCACTCCTTACTGTTGTTGTCTCCCTTCCTTCCTCTGCTGCTGCCACTTCTCCTCTTCTTCCTTTGCTACTGCCGCTGCCCCCCTCTTGCATTGGACTCGCCCCATCAGCCATGGCTCGGATGACTGCAGTGGCCATTCTGCTACCAGGGCTGCTGGTCGGCCTCGTTCTCGGCGCGGCCATCAGCATGATGACACTTGCCAGGGATGACTGGCATGCCGCCACCGCTGAGGACGTAAGTAAGCACTTCAAATAATAAGGTTGGTTGGCTCTTTGTCATGTTGACTAGTCCATACACTTTCAAGCTGCCTTGCCTTGAGCCTCAGCATGCACCTGTGCTCTCCTTCTTTTCTTGTTGTTTTTGCAGCTTCTACGTGGGACCATCAGCCAGCAGGTCAACCACCCTCTCATGCTGTCCGCCCCTTCCCATGATCATGTAAACAAAACCTCAGCCTCTGTCATAGTCTTGTCAGAGCAATGAATGTATTTGCACTTGATCTATGTGTGTTTCATGTGTTCATGTCTGGGTATGTGTGAGGTGCGTTCATTTGTGTTACCCTTTTACATGCGTGGATGTGGTGCCTTCCTTTCAGGCGAATTCCACTGCCACGTGTCAGAATGCCACAAGCGTGCCTCCCACTCATGGCCACGCAATTGGCGACTCACTTCACCATGCCCGCGCTCTCAGTGTGCCTCTTCACTCCCTCCACACCCTGGTGCGTGCTTGGATGACAGCGTCTTTTGCACTTCCTACCTTGCATCAGTCAACCATGCTGTCATGATCTATCAGCTCAGTTGCCCCCGTTTTTCCAAATGCCACCATGCCTCGAGTGTATCCTTCCCATGCATCATTGTTCCGCTCTTGATGTCTTCTACCCGCAGTCCCCAGGTGCAACTCATCTACTCGTGCTCTATTCTGCCATCGCCACTCTCATCGCAACTCTGATGTCAGTGCTGTGGGGGATGGGCGTGACCCACATGCAAGTTAGAGCATGGGTGCATCAGCAGGGCTTGGCTGTGACGGCTCGGCTGATGAGGCTGACGAGTGCAAGCAAGTGCCTCGTGGTATGCCATGCACTTTGCCCTCCACTCTAACCCTTTATACTGAAGTGCAGTGATGCAAAACTCGCCCTCATCAAATCCAAGGTTGTGAGTGCCTGCACAGCTCTCTCATGCTCACTGCTTCAAGGCAATGTGTAGGGAGGGTGGAATGAGGTGGTATAGGATGAGGTGTGCTTGTACAGCTGTCCCACCACCATACCGTAGTTTTCCACAAGGTTGGAACATACAAACATGGCTGCTCATGTAGTGCACAAGTTTCCATCATAAGCTGATTTTTCCTTTGTCTCATTGCTACTTCAACCCTCTTGGTCCAGTTTGTGCCCCAAGCATTACCTCCCTCGTCGCCAAGCCATCATAACGGCGACTCACATGCCCGCTGAAAGAAACAGAGGAATGACAGGGTTGAGGAATGGTAAAGGAAGGTGGGGTTGGGGGTTAGAGAATAAATGAGGAGTCTAAAAACTTGAATGGAGTGCGTGAGGCGCCTGTTTGCTGCCACCATCAGCCATCCACCATGGATGAGGGGGAGGTGAGAGGGAGGAGAAGGGCGGGGACGGGGAGGAAAGAGGTTGTACAATGCGAGAGAGGAAGAGAAAATGTATGAGTAGGATAGAGTGGTGAGATGGGCATGGAGGGGAGAATGGGATGACAGCAGGAAGTCATGGTGCGGGTGATGTAGGAGGTGGGTGAATGTGGCAATTTGCAACTAAGTGATTCATTGGGTATGGTGATGGAGATGCGTTGGGCTGAGGTGCAGAGGAAGGGGGGGAAGGGGGGGCAGGGGGGAATTTAAGACTGGTGAGGAGACTGCCTTCACCAGTCTCAAATGACCACATCGCTCTGCCCTGTAGGTGTAGCAGCATTGACATACTCAAAGCACTCCTTCACGCACGGGATGTGATGATGCCATGCCATGCGCTTGCACCTCTTTTTTACCTCACGTGCAGCCCAAAAGCCTCGCATGACCAGCATGTAAGGAGCCTGCAGCTAATTGCATGCTGACACGAGGTCATAGCAACCACAGCTTCTTCCGCCTTGCACTTGCCTGCCAGACCTCCCTCCTGCCCGCTTCCAACATCGCGCAATAAGCAGCATGCAGGTAAACCTTTGGCGGCACAATGTCACATCCACGGGGTCCGCTGACTCTCTCTGCATACCTCAGCCTCTCCTTCCTGCCTCCACTCCACCTTACTCACACACAGCTGACCTGCTTCACCGCCGCCACTGTTGCTGCTGCTGCCTTTCAAGACTCTGCCCTGTTATACTACCCGCCTTTGTGTCGCAACTAAGCGTTGGCTGTGTGTAACTGGTCCAGGGCAGGATACACTGTGTGTATATTGCCATCCAGTAGAGTGATCAGCTCCACGTGCCACTTTCATGCATTGGTGGAGCGTGCAAGCACTTTTTAAGGTTGTGATGAGTGTCAAGAACGCAACGTAAGCTGTTAAGTTTAAGACACAGACGGCAGCTGGGATTTTGGGGGGGTGGACAGAGGAAGAGGGGGGAGGAGGGGAGGAGAAGGGGAGAAACAAGGGGTCAAGGAAAAGTTCTTTGAAAGAGGCGAGGAGGGGATAGACATAATAAACTTGAGTTAACAGTACAGTTAGATGGGAGGAAACCGAGCGCGGTGGCCAAGGGTGGGTAGAAGCATGGGTCTTGCAGGGGTGGAAAGACTCGGCAATTCTGCAGCTAAGCAATCCAATACGTATGCTCACCGTGGTGGACCCACACATGAGATGTGTCACTGCAGTGCATTGCAAAACAGCCACATTTTGTGGCGGCATACATACGACATTGTATAGCGAACGTGGCAGGGAGGAAGTAGGAACAACAGTGGTCAAGCAAGCTCATGCTGATTAGTTTAGTACTGAACATGCCTTAACACACCTTCAGGAACGGCATAAGCTTGCACCACTTCATCATTTCGTATGGCGCCTAATAGTAGCGCATATTCAGCGTGCAATGAGCAGCACGCAGTTAACCCCACTCTGCCACATTCTCATATCCACGGCTTCAACCTGCCTCGCTCGTCCCTGCTATGCCTCTCTCCTGCCCGTCTCCACCCACTCCCCACCCACTGACCAACTTGACCGCCACCACTGCGCCACTGCAGCCCATGGCTCTGCCATGCTACCCGGCTGTGTGTCGCAAAGCAAAGACGAGTTGGTACAGGGAAGTTGCTGTTGGTGTGGGAAGGGGGAGGGAGTGCGGGGGAGTAAGTGAGAGGGCAAAGGAGGTACAAACGTAGTGCTGAGAGAGGAGGAACAGGAAGATTGCTGACGATGGCATTGCATACAAGAAAGCAGTGATCACATCATTCACCCATCAGTACACTTGTGCCTGAAGCACCATACTGGATGGGCGAGGTGCAAAAGGAGGAGGCATGTGAGCATCGACAACGGACGGAAGAAAGATAATGTGAGAGCTCGATTTGGATCCCTCTGCATACTTGGCTTTTCTTGCCTCCGTGTTCGTATGTCACCCTACCAATCAGGTGAGGAGGAGCCATCCGCACTGCCATGTGTTTGCTTGCGTCTCATTTCAGATTTGCCATCCCTACTTGAGCAGCATGCAACGAGCAGTGTGCAGCTATCGACCACTTACATGGCTTTTGCTACCTTACTCTTCACTGCCATTCCTGTCCCTCCCCACCATCATCTCCTCAGCAGAAGGAGGGGCACATTCAATACCTGCCCCTTCTCGCCCCCTCCTTCTGCCACAAGGCATGCGTCCCCCCATCTCCCATGTGCATCTCCCATGTGCATCTCCCATGTGCATCTCCCATGTGCATCTCCCATGTGCATCTCCCATGTGCATCTCCCATGTGCATCTCCCATGTGCATCTCCCTTGTGCTGACATGCCGATACCTGACAATGCGCCAGCACCCGTCTGCTTATGCCTCTGCCCCCTCTCTCGAATCGCATGTGCCGACATGGAAAGACGAAAGCGAAACGCGGAGGGGGGGGGGGGAACGAGAGAGGGGAGGGAAATGGGAGAAGGAGAGGACTAGTGTGGGCTTGGCACGGAAGGGCAGTCGAGTCATGAGGCAACAGACGCCTGCGATCCCGACCGACCGCCAAGAGACTTGGGTGTGGCATACGTCACAGATGGGCAGTCGGGTCAGGAGGTAAGGCAGCAAGGTGCAATGTGTCACATGTGACAGGCAGGAAAGGTGGGCAAGGCAGGAAAGGTGGGCAAGGCAGGAAAGGTGGGCAAGGCAGAAAAGGTGGGCAAGGCAGAAAAGGTGGGCAAGGCAGAAAAGGTGGGCAAGGCAGAAAAGGTGGGCAAGGCAGGAAAGGTGGGCAAGGCAGGAAAGGTGGGCAAGGCAGGAAAGGTGGGCAAGGCAGGAAAGGTGGGCAAGGCAGGAAAGGTGGGCAAGGCAGGAAAGGTGGGCAAGGCAGGAAAGGTGGGCAAGGCAGGAAAGGTGAGGAAGGCAGGAAAGGTGAGGAAGGCAGGAAAGGTGAGGAAGGCAGGAAAGGTGAGGAAGGCAGGAAAGGTGAGCAAGGCAGGAAAGGTGAGGAAGGCAGGAAAGGTGGGCAAGGCAGGAAAGGTGGGCAAGGCAGGAAATGTGGGCAAGGCAGGAAAGGTGGGCAAGGCAGGAAATGTGGGCAAGGCAGGAAAGGTGGGCAAGGCAGGAAAGGTGGGCAAGGCAGGAAAGGTGAGGAAGGCAGGAAAGGTGAGGAAGGCAGGAAAGGTGAGGAAGGCAGGAAAGGTGAGGAAGGCAGGAAAGGTGAGGAAGGCAGGAAAGGTGAGGAAGGCAGGAAAGGTGAGGAAGGCAGGAAAGGTGAGGAAGGCAGGAAAGGTGGGAAGCGCAACGCAGGGAGGGGGGCCGCATACTTCAAAATCTGAGAGGTGGTGCGACGGGACAGCACGTGCAGAACAGAGGAAGCGAGGAGATGAACGGAAGGTGTGAGGTGAAGAGTGAGAGAGACACAGGAGGGAGCAGGCTGAGGGGAAATGGCCGAGGGGCGGAGTAGGGGCGAAAGCATCATGGTAACGTGGCGGTTATGCTATTAAAGGTCAACCCACCATCCCCATCCCCATCCCCATCCCCATCTTCATCCCCATCCCCATCCCCATCGCCATCCCCATCCCCGTCCCCATCCCCGTCCCCATCCCCAAGGCTTCGCCATGGCTTCGCCGAGACGCGGTCACATTAGGTTGACTCACCATGGTCATGATTTCGAGGCACAGCTGGCGTGATATTGCTCGCTTCGACTTGCTGGCCACATCCCCGTCGTTGGTGCTTTTACGAAGCTACCGAGAATCTCCCTCTTTCGTTCGTTCAGGTCTCCCGCTCCCTCCTCGCCTTCTCCTGCCGCCGCCTGCGCTCCTCCACTCGCTCCTGAGCATGCGGCTGCTCCCTCTATGCCGCCACGCCCGCGAGCGCCACGGCCCTGCCCCGTGCTGCTCATTGATACGGACAGGGTAGTTGACACACGCGCACGGTACGGATCTGCCAACAGCTTTCGCAAACGCGAAGCGTCGCATGACACCACTTTTGAGGCGCCTCTAAAGGCGTCGCGTGACACCAGGAAATAATATCACCTCGAAAGCCATCGCTAGCAGCGCAGCGGATCAAGTCACCGCCCAGCGTCGTTTCGAACGTCAGCCCGTCTCAAAGGGAACACCGAGAGTACTGATGAGCACGGCTAGTAAGGGGGGGTTCGTTCGAGCTAGGAGCAACGGCGACGTCGCTAGTCGTGTTTTGCGCATTTCGCGTCTGACGGGGATAGGTCGCCGCTCGCCATATTCTCCTACACAGACGACTCGAGATGGAGCTGCCAGGCGAGTACGAGGCACGTTACCCATAGCCGCCCGTCCACGCTCGTCGAAATGTCGGCCGACTCTTGGAGCTACTGAGATCCCCAGCTTCAACGGTACGTCAACGTGGCTACAGAGCGCTCTGACAGCTGATTTGCAGCTGGTGGCATGGACTTGAGCTGGCCTGGGCTGCACTCGGCACGCGCGCTTGGACCCTTTTCCAGCCGCTCTGCTGGGATGGCGAGACCCGAATTACCTTTGGAAATATATCGCGACGAAACAGCGCCGCACGACCTGCTGGTGGTGACAACTGACGGACAGACTACTACGTGATATAGGGAGGATGAATCATTTGGAGGCGAGAGTGGTCCACAGGCCTTTGAATCGGTTTCAAGTGTTACGAATGTTTCGCTCTTGTTTGATTTTTCACCTGTGCAATGTGCTGTAACAAAATTCGCACTGGAGGCTGATATTTCCAACGGGGTTGTACAATGTGCAGTGCAGGCAACCGCGCAAACCCTAGCTAGAGAGAGCATCATCTCGAGAATGGAGGGAGCAAACGCACAGCGGAAATCTCGTCAGATGGATAGGAGGAAACTGCTCCCGTCAGATTCACGATTGAAGTGTGAGCGTTTTCAGTGTTGCGAGCTGCGATTAGTATAGCCACGTATAGACTTGCAAAGGCTGCTGCTGGCAGCGCAGGTAGAGCGGAGTGAGTGTGCTAGGTGCTGCGCGAGCATTCTGCGGCGGCGACCCACGTTAGGATGCTCCAGGTGAGCGCAGCGACGGTCGCTTCTAGCTGCGGTTGACCTTAGACGCTAGCCTGCTCGTGGAATCCGTGGTGTGCTATCATACTCGTGTGGTCCAAGTCATTTAACTCCACCGAGGCTGCGTTCAACTTCACTTGAGCTGCCAGTTGCTGTACGCGGCTCTTATCATGGGCTTTACTCGGCGAACCCACGATCTCCCGGACGACGTCCTCGTCCGGATCCTGTGGCCGTTTACACAGTCGATAGTTTCTCGCACATCGGAGAACGATGATATATGGGATTATGTAGTGCTTAGGCCCAAGTTCGTTCATGGTCATGCTCCTCCAGGAGCGCCTTGGTGCAAACGAGACACTTCGATGCCGACCCCTCTGGCCTCCGCAGATGCCGCTCATAACCTTTTCATCTCGTCGATCTGCCGTCGCTGGCGGCGTGTCGCTCAGAAGCATGTCGCATCGCTCCTCGTCAAGGAGGACCGCGTCGTGTCTCACCGCGATGTGCTCAACGCAGTAGCTTGCTTTCCGAATCTTACCCATTTGCATCTGTCGGATTACAGTGTTGAAATGTTGGACGACGCGTTTCTAGCTGACCTTGCATCATCTTGCCCTGGGTTAAGAGCGCTGCACGTAGGGAAGTTGACGATGGAAGGGGACGAGGGACGGAACCAAAGGAATGGCCGTGTGATAACCGAATCTGGCTTGAACAACTTCTTTCGTCACTGCTCTCAACTGGAGCAGCTGTTGCTGTACTGTCTTCCGGAGGATATGAACCCTCCAGCGTCTATATTTCCGGTTCAACAATTGAGCATCCTCGCCTTGAGCAGTGCTAATATCTTAACGGCTCCAGATCTCAGCTCCCTTTCGTCTCTCACTGCACTCTCCATTGAAACCTTTTCCATTCATTACGACCAGCTTTCCAGCTTTCTTCAACTCACCAGCCTCACCCACCTCTCCTTGCCTGGCAAAATTCACCTGGTTCCAGCAGATCCGCCTGCCTTCTCACTCGCACAGCTACCGTTTCTCGAGTCACTCAAGTTCGGACTGTACGATGCACAGTTAAGCGCCGTTTTCCCTCTTGAATCGCCATACATGTTCCTGAAACGACTGCGGCTTAGCATCAACCAAGAGCGGCTTCCAGACAGTTTTGGTGAGGCCCTGCCCCGCCTCCAGGAGCTCAACATTCATGGGTGCAGCAACTTCAGCGATCTGACTGATCACTTCACCTCCCTCACCTGCTTGGAGATCTTGACCATTTCCCTATGCAACGTGTTCACTCTGCCCAGAAACTTTGGGGATCTTCCAGCCTTGAAGGTGTTGGTGCTGCACCAGCAGCCGCTTCTCAGTCTCCCTACTTCCTTCACCAGACTCGCATCTCTGGAGACCTTCATAATGGTTGGGTGCGGGAGGATAGAGGAGCTACCTGCAGGGTTCGGATGCCTCACAGCACTCCACACTCTGAGCCTTGTACGGTCGCCCTTCCTGGACCTTCCAGAAGACCTGGGGGGGCTGACGAATCTCCACACTTTTCATCTCAACAACAACAGCCAAGAGCAGCTGCCGTCGTCATTCTCGCAGCTGGTCTCGCTGACCAGGTTGGAGCTGGATGTGTGCAGGATTGCGGAGCTGCCAGAGGGCATGGCGGAGATGACAAACCTGCAGGAGCTCTACATTCAGAACTGCTCGGCCTTGAAGAAGCTTCCAGAGTTTGTCACGGCGCTTCTCAGCCTTCGAGTGCTGAGAATTGAAGAGTGTCACAGTCTCTCTGCGGTTCCCAGGAGGTTGGACAGCCTTACCAGGCTGACGCAGTTATGGCTGAGGGAGTGTTGGCTGCTGAACGAAGCCCCTCAGGCTTTGCCACTCAGTCTCCAAGCTCTAACATACAGAGGCAATCAGTATGGGGCGTCTCTGCCAGACATTTCAACACTCACAGAGCTGAGGGAATTGTGCTTGGACACTGTGGGTGCAACCTGTCTTGAGGCCATCGGTGCGCATCTCTCCGGTGTGAATCACCTGAAGCTGGTGCTGGGGGAAGATGCAGAGGTGTCTCTGTCCGCGTTGGCAAGGCTTCCTCTCCTTCGCACATTGACACTCAGGGAGGTCCGCAATGTGAATAGTCTGGTGGAATCTGACAGCTCGGCACTGCTGGAGTTACGGCAGCTGAACATCATCACCTGGTGTAAACAACTCACAGAGCTGCCTGCGGCCATCACCACTCTCCACCACCTCACATCCATTCAGATCCTCGCTCCGAAGTTATCCTCTCTTCCAGACGGCTTTGGGGCATTCTCAAGACTGCGCTGGCTGGACATATCCGACTGCTCATCCCTGACGAATCTCCCTGCTTCTCTGACACAACTCTCCTGCCTCCAACATCTAAATGTCAGCAACACCAGCATCCGGCTGCTTCCTCATGGCTTTGCTCAGCTTAGCAGACTGAGGAAACTCATTGTCCACAGCTGCAGGGAGCTGCAGGCTCTGCCTGATGACATACGAGATCTTGGAATTCTCGATCACTTTGCCACTAAGTGGTGTGAGTGACAGGCTCCAGCGTTGAAGGTGCCTATCTCCATTCATACGCTTAGATGAGTTGTCCGTGTCGTGTACCTGCATGCCAGCAAGGGCAAGCTCTAATGTAGCATACTCATGGTTCTCATTAGTTTTTTCTTTTGTTTTTTAAAGCCCGGGGTCAGCATGGTAAATTATCAAGTTATGTGGATTTGAAATAGGCTGTATGCGAGATCTGCGAAGCCTATTTCGGTTGGCTGCCTTTGGCGAGAACAATTATCCTCCGCCAACAAGTGAACATTTCGCACTCACCAAACCTGCGAATCCCACCAACCCAAAGCGACAAATGTGTCGCACACATCCTCTCTCACACATCCTCTCTTGCATCGAGCATGGAAAGTGTTGCTCACCCGAAGTCACCTCACCACTAAATCAGCTCGATGCTAACGGGAAATAGAAAAACAGAGCAAGCAACGCACGTGCTGGGTATCAGCGCCACCTACTCAACGCCACAACAGAAACGTGTTCGAGACGATCCTTACCCCAGATTACTAGCGTACCGACCATCGCAGGAGCTGGCAACAGCAAAGTGTAGGAACGTGCAAGCGCGATTGCACTTACGGGAAGAAGGCCGTGATGACAGACTGGAGACTACGGGTAGCTAGGCACAACAAGAAACCGGGAGTGTATTGGAGTCGTTGTGACTAGCCAGGGGGAAGAAAGCGGACGAGATTCGGCTCGCGCACCAAGCGCCGAGCAGCACCCGCTCGCCGCATTTAGCTGCTCGCGTTCTGTGCGACGCGGAGCCCCGCATTCCTCGCGACGCGGATCCCGCATTTCAGGCGGATCGGATCCCGCCCTCCAGTCGACGCGGAGCCCACGTTCCCGGCGACGCGGACTCCGCGTTCCAGACGACGCGGAGCCCGCGTTCCAGACGACGCGGAGCTTGCATTCCAGACGACGCGGAGTCCGTGTTCCAAACGATTGGCAGTCCGCGTTCCAGACGACGCGGAGCCCGCATTCCAGACGACGCGGAGCCCGCATTCCCGGCGACGAGAAGCGCGCCCTCCAGGTGACCTGGCTACGACCACCGCGCGCACAACTAAAGCGGATACTGCGCACTGACGGGGAGCAAGGGGCAGCACACGCCCCTGCGGCTCGCTCGAGAGGATAGACCAGGTGAGTGCCCAATTCCCTGCTACTGCGACTATAGTACAGTGACAATGGTCGCTGCTGCCTTGGGGGTCCTACCACGCTCACGTGTCACGAGGCAAAGGCACACAGCTGCAACCAGGACAGCTGCTGCCTTGGGCTTGCTTTCACCACTGTAAACCCACCTGTTCTGTCCCAAGGCAGCAGCATCTCTGGATGCTGCTGCCTTGGACCTGGTTTCAGCACCATGCCCCCACCTGCACCCTCTGTCCCAAGGCAGCAGCAACCATAGATGCTGCTGCCTTGGGCCTGGTTTCAGCACCATGCCTCCACCTGTTCTGTCCCCAGGCAGCAGCAACCATAGATGCTGCTGCCTTGGGCCTGGTTTCAGCACCATGCCTCCACCTGTTCTGTCCCCAGGCAGCAACAACCAGAGTTGATGCTGCCTAGGTCTTGCTTTCACCACTGTAAACCCACCTGTTCTGTCCCAAGGCAGCAACAACCAGAGTTGCTGCTGCCTTGGGCCTGGTTTCAGCACCATGCCCCCACCTGTTCAGTCCCCAGGCAGCAACAACCAGAGTTCCCTGCTGCCTTGGGACCGCTTTCACCACTGTAAACCCACCTGTTCAGTCCCTTGGCAGCAGCAACTCTGGTTGCTGCTGCCTTGGGCCTGGTTTCAGCACCATGCCTCCACCTGTTCTGTCCCCAGGCAGCAACAACCAGAGTTGATGCTGCCTAGGTCTTGCTTTCACCACTGTAAACCCACCTGTTCTGTCCCAAGGCAGCAGCAACCATAGATGCTGCTGCCTTGGGCCTGGTTTCAGCACCATGCACCCACCTGTTCAGTCCCAAGGCAGCAGCAACTGTGGTTGCTGCTGCCTTGGGCTTGCTTTCACCACTGTAAACCCACCTGTTCGGTCCCAAGGTAGCAGCAACCAGAGATGCTGCTGCCTTGGGCCTGGTTTCAGCACCATGCCTCCACCTGTTCAGTCCCCAGGCAGCAACAACCAGAGTTGCTGCTGCCTTGGGCTTGCTTTCACCACTGTAAACCCACCTGTTCTGTCCCAAGGCAGCAGCAACCATAGATGCTGCTGCCTTGGGCCTGGTTTCAGCACCATGCACCCACCTGTTCAGTCCCAAGGCAGCAGCAACTGTGGTTGCTGCTGCCTTGGGCTTGCTTTCACCACTGTAAACCCACCTGTTCGGTCCCAAGTTAGCAGCAACCAGGGATGCTGCTGCCTTGGGCCTGGTTTCAGCACCATGCCTCCACCTGTTCAGTCCCCAGGCAGCAACAACCAGAGTTGCTGCTGCCTTGGGCTTGCTTTCACCACTGTAAACCCACCTGTTCTGTCCCAAGGCAGCAGCATCTCTGGATGCTGCTGCCTTGGGCCTGGTTTCAGCACCATGCCCCCACCTGTTCACCATCCGCGTCTTCCACTCCATCTGTATGTTGCTTATAGGTGATGTGTCGAACCTCCCACGCTAAGCACCCAAGGCGAACATCAAGCGAGCTTTCAAACCCGCTAGAGGCTTGCTCGGCATCACGCAGAGCCACCACGACGCCCACCACAACAATCGACCCCCCCAAAGGTATTTGACAAACACCCATCGCCCACCATGCTATAACTTGGCCTGCTCAGCTCTCCCATTCCCTACCATGCCCTGTTTGGTCTCGCCTCGATCTTGTCTACTCCACCTCGGCATGCCACTCCCCATCTTCCCTGTCCTGCCCCGCACCGCGTTTCCGTGCTCCAACTAAACATGCCATGCTATACCAGGAGATGCCTTGCCCTGCCCTGTCATGCCCTACCCTGCCCTGCCCTTCCCTGCCCTGCCCTGCCCTGCTAGCCATGCCCTGCCCTGCCCTGCCCTGCCCTGCCCTGCCCTGCCGTGCCCTGCCCTGCCGTGCCCTGCCCTGCCGTGCCCTGCCCTGCCCTGTCCTGCCCTGACCTGCCCTGCCCTGTCCTGCCCTGCCATGTCCTGCCCTGCAATGCCGCCCCGCCCTTGTCTGCACCCTCATTTTCTGCCATGCCATGACTAGAGGGGCCATGCCTGCCCTGCTTTCTGATGGCCCGCCCCGCCCATGTCTGCACCATCCGCGTCATGCCATGCCTCTCCCATGCCATGCCATGCCCTGCGGTGCCCTCCCCTGTCATGCTCCGCTCCGCCCTTCTCCCTCCCCCCCTCCAGGCATGCCCTGCCATGCTCTGCGGATGAGATTATTCATAGCTACAGGCACACCACCCTAAAGTCTGGCTTATCCTCCTTCTCATTGGCTATAGCTGCAGGTTACCACTGTGAGAGGGATAAGGCGGAATTGCCATCGGATCAAGGGGATGATGTGGCAGACGCAGTGATAAAAGATGCGGAGGATTGGAGCGACGATAGTGATGAGTGGTGGGTAGCAGGCCACTATGACGGGGAGGAAGTGGAGGTGTGGGTGGCAGGTCAGGATGAATAAATGGGGTTGTGTTTCCATCCCCACTGTGCTAATGTGGTCTTGAACATGTCATGCTTGAATGTGTTTTCACCAACTTTGCCGTTCTGTCCTAAACCTAATCATGATAAGAGTGAAATAAACTTGCACATATTATAGCCCGGTGAAACTACTCCCATGCTTCGATTCTTGAGACCCTAATCCAGCTCATGTTCCATTCTGCCTAGGGCACTAGCTTGTTTGGTATCCCAAAAAGGATACATCCATGATGATGTGTAACAATTATCTTACTCCAAAGGTGTCAGTACTGGAATCGACACACCAGTTAGCCTGCCAACACATGGCAGATGCATGGGTGGGATAGAAGGCGCACAGCTTGAGGGCTAAAAAATGTACCGGTAGTAGCTCAGAGAAGGAGCAGACGAACCAGTGGCAGCTATAGGATCTCTGGAGGGACTTGCTGCTGCTCTTGAAGCAGAAAAGCAGGGGTGCAAGGGTGGAAAGCAGGGGTGCAAGGGGGAGAAGCAGGGGTGCAAGGGTGGAAAGCAGGGGTGCAAGGGGGAGAAGCAGGGGTGCAAGGGTGGGAAGCAGGGGTGCAAAGGTGGAGAGCAGGGGTGCAAGGGTGGAAAGCAGGGGTGGAAGGGTGGGAAGCAGGGGTGCAAGGGTGGAAAGCAGTGGTGCAAGGGTGGGAAGCAGGGGTGCAAGGGTGGAAAGCAGTGGTGCAAGGGTGGGAAGCAGGGGTGCAAGGGTGGAAAGCAGTGCATAGGTGGAAAGCGGGACCAGACGAAACAGTGACAATTTGAATTCACATTAGCGGTGGGTATGAGAGGAGTGGGTGATATGAAAGGAGTGGGAAGTTTGGAACGAGGGTGTAGGGATATGAGAGGAGCAGGGGGTATGAGGGGACTGTGGGGTATGAGAGGAGTTGGGTGTACGAGGGGAGTGCGGGGTATGAGAGGAATGGGGAGTATGAGAGGAGTGGGGGGAGTGGATGGTATGGAATGAGTGGGGGTATGAGAGGAGTGGGGAGTATGAAAGGAGTGGGGGGTATGAGAGTAGTGGGGAGTATGAAAAGAGTGGGGGTTATGTTGCAGCATGCTGCTGGCAATATGCTGAACGAGGCATTACTGGACATGTTTTCAAAATCATCAATGCAGCAGATTCCCCGGTCGCTCAGCACCTGGGCGCCGCTCTCCAGCACCTGCTGGGCGGCAAGCATGGAGGGGAATGGGAAGAGAAAAATAAGCACACATCTCAGCATTCAGCCCAGACTTTATCATCTCATCGATGCAGCAGGCACTTTTCGAACGTGAGCGTGTTCCTAAGTCTGCTGCGCTGCCCCCTAGTTGCACCTGCGTCCCCCCTCATCCTTCCGGATGTGAATGCAGTCCAAAAAGGTTTGCAAGAGAGGGTGAATGGTCACTGAGATTGCACACAAGTCTGCTGCGCTGCCCCCCTGTTGCGCGTGCGTCCCCCCTCCTCTTTGCGATTGTATATGGGGAGGGAGAGGATAGGTACAAGGGGAGGGATTGGAGAGGCACATGGGGAGGGACAGGAAAGATGGCAAGATCGAGGGAGAGGAGGGGCATGGGGGAAGCATTGGGGATGGAGGGGGGAAGCAGGGAGGAGGGAGAGGGAAAGCAGGGAGGAGGGAGAGGGAAAGCAGGGAGGGGGATGGGGGGGAAGCAGGGAGGGGATGGGGGGAAGCAGGGAGGGGGATGGGGGGAAGCAGGGAAGGGGATGGGGGGAAGCAGGGAAGGGGATGGGGAGAAGCAGGGAAGGGGATGGGGGGAAGCAGGGAGGAGGATGGGGGGAAGCAGGGAAGGGGATGGGGGGATTCTGGGTGGGGGATGGGGGGAAGCAGGGAAGGGGATGGGGGGAAGCAGGGAAGGGGATGGGGGGAAGCAGGGAAGGGGATGAGGGGAAGCAGGGAAGCGGAGGGGGGAAAGCAGGGAAGGGGATGGGGGGATTCTGGGTGGGGGATGGGGGGAAGCAGGGAAGGGGATGGGGGGAAGCAGGGAAGGGGATGGGGGGAAGCAGGGAAGGGGATGGGGGGAAGCAGGAAAGGGGATGGGGGGAAGCAGGGAAGGGGATGGGGGGAAGCAGGGAAGGGGATGGGGGGAAGCAGGGAAGGGGATCGGGGAAAGCAGGGAAGGGGATGGGGGGAAGCAGGGAAGGGGATGGGGGGAAGCAGGGAGGGGGATGGGGGGAAGCAGGGAAGGGGATGAGGGAAGCAGGGAAGGGGATGGGGGGAAGCAGGGAAGGGGATGGGGGGAAGCAGGGAAGGGGATGGGGGGAAGCAGGGAAGGGGATCGGGGGAAGCAGGGAAAGGGATGGGGGGAAGCAGGGAAGGGATGGGGGGAAGCAGGGAAGGGGATGGGGGGAAGCAGGGAAGGGGATGGGGGGAAGCAGGGAAGCGGAGGGGGGGAAGCAGGGAAGGGGATGGGGGGAAGCAGGGAAGGGGATGGGGGGAAGCAGGGAAGGGGATGGGGGGAAGCAGGGAAGGGGATGAGGGGAAGCAGGGAAGGGGAGGGGGGGAAGCAGGGAAGGGGATGGGGGGGGAAGCAGGGAAGGGGATGGGGGGGGAAGCAGGGAAGGGGATGGGAGGAAGCAGGGAAGCGGAGGGGGGGAAGCAGGGAAAGGGGATGGGGGGATTCTGGGTGGGGGATGGGGGGAAGCAGGGAAGGGGATGGGGGGAAGCAGGGAAGGGGATGGGGGGAAGCAGGGAAGGGGATGGGGGGAAGCAGGGAAGCGGAGGGGGGGAAGCAGGGAAGGGGATGGGGGGAAGCAGGGAAGGGGATGGGGGGAAGCAGGGAAGGGGATGAGGGGAAGCAGGGAAGCGGAGGGGGGGAAGCAGGGAAAGGGGATGGGGGGATTCTGGGTGGGGGATGGGGGGAAGCAGGGAAGGGGATGGGGGGAAGCAGGGAAGGGGATGGGGGAAAGCAGGGAAGGGGATGGGGGGAAGCAGGGAAGGGGATGGGGGGAAGCAGGGAAGGGGATGGGGGAAGCAGGGAAGGGGATGGGGGGAAGCAGGGAAGGGGATGGGGGGAAGCAGGGAAGCGGAGGGGGGGAAGCAGGGAAGGGGATGGGGGGAAGCAGGGAAGGGGATGGGGGGAAGCAGGGAAGGGGATGAGGGGAAGCAGGGAAGGGGAGGGGGGGAAGCAGGGAAGGGGATGGGGGGGGAAGCAGGGAAGGGGATGGGGGGGGAAGCAGGGAAGGGGATGGGAGGAAGCAGGGAAGGGGATGAGGGGAAGCAGGGAAGCGGAGGGGGGAAAGCAGGGAAGGGGATGGGGGGATTCTGGGTGGGGGATGGGGGGAAGCAGGGAAGGGGATGGGGGGAAGCAGGGAAGGGGATGGGGGGAAGCAGGGAAGGGGATGGGGGGAAGCAGGAAAGGGGATGGGGGGAAGCAGGGAAGGGGATGGGGGGAAGCAGGGAAGGGGATGGGGGGAAGCAGGGAAGGGGATTGGGGGAAACAGGTAGAGGGTGTGGAGAAGCAGGTCAGAGGATGGGGGAAACAGGGCAGGGGATAAGGGGTCACAAGGGATAGGATGGGGGAAACAGGGCAGGGGATAAGGGGTCACAAGGGATAGGATGGGGGGAACAGGGGCAGATGCCAGAGGAAGGTACATGGGGTGGGACAGGAAAGATGGTGAGATCGAGGGAGAGGAGGGGCATATGGGGAAAGCGAAGGCTCACCTGGTGCGTGGCGCTGACCTCTCTGAGGTCCTTCCCTATGTCCTCCCCCCTCTGTATCTCCCCCTCTGTCCTTCCCCTTCTGTCTCTCTCCCTGTCTCCTTCCCCCTCGATCTCTCCCCCTCTGTCCTTCCCCTTCTGTCAACAACCCTGTCTCCTTCCCCCTCTATCTCTCCCCCTGTGACATTCCCCCTCTGTCTCTCCCCCTGTGTCCTGCACCCTCTGTCTCTCCCCCTGTGTCCTGCACCCTCTGTCTCTCCCCCTGTGTCCTGCACCCTCTGTCTCTCCCCCTGTGTCCTGCACCCTCTGTCTCTCCCCCTGTGTCCTGCACCCTCTGTCTCTCCCCCTGTGTCCTGCACCCTCTGTCTCTCCCCCTGTGTCCTGCACCCTCTGTCTCTCCCCCTGTGTCCTGCACCCTCTGTCTCTCCCCCTGTGTCCTGCACCCTCTGTCTCTCCCCCTGTGTCCTGCACCCTCTGTCTGTCCGTGGGAAGGGCGAGGAAAGAGAGAGAAGGTGGGAAGGAAGGAGTGCAGAGAGATCGAAAGAGGCAGAAGAGAAAGAGAGCGCGAGGGAGATGGGAGTGTAAGAGAGAGCGAGAGATATAGGAAGCGAGGGGAGAGGGATAGATGGGAGGGAGGAAGAGATGGAGGGTGGACGGAGGCGGGGATGCAGGCGGGTACGGTGACGCCAGCGCGAAATACAGAGGCGGAGGCGACGAGGAGAAGCGCGCGCGAAATCAAGTGGCGGGGGCGACGATTTTGGTATCGCGCGGGCGACGATCTGAACCGCGCGCGGGCGACGAGAAGAAGCGCGCGAGGGCGACGTGGAAAATCGCGCGCGGGCAAACGGGCGACGCGCGCGCGGGCGTCAAGGATAAGCGCGCGCGGGCGTCAAGGAGGAGCGCGCGCGGGCAACCTGGAGAAGCGCTGGACGGTGGGAAGCGCGGGCGACGAAAGGAAGTGAGGGCGACGAGTGGTAGATATCGATGCTCGAGCAAGTGTGGCCGACGTGATGAAGCGCGGGAATCGCTTTTCCGCGAGTCTCACGAGGGTAAAGCGCACACGACATCCTACAAGCAGTGAGTGTGGCAACTCATGCCATTTTCGGGAGCCTTGCGCGTGTGGGGCACTAGCACGGACGTACCGTGTCTGGCATTCGAAAGAGGCACGGTGCGGGCGAGTTTGGCAGGCAGTTGTGCTACGCAGTGATTGGACAGACAGCGTGAGGGACTAGTGTTGGCCGAAAAAAACGCCTACCCTTGAGGGTGCTTTTGTCGCCCAGCCGCCCGTTTCCTAGTTACGTGTGTCATAGTGGACTAGAAGTACTACTTTGTCTTCAAGATATGTGAGAGGTGATCCAGGCAATATTGTGGGCGATGGACGGGTCTGTCGTGCGACTGGTCACTGAAACCAATCAGGAGTGAGGGTCGCAAGAGGTTTTCCCGGGGTCGCGAGTTGAGTTTCAAACCAAAGAGGGTTACCCTGTTTTTTTGCGACTTCAAGTTCAGGAATCTTGAACTTGAAATATACCATGTGGTACTCGGGCTTTAAGGAAAGTATAAAAAAATTGCATATTGTGCTGAGGATATAAAATGAATCTGACTGAATTAAACCTTGGTGGTATTACCGTGTGCATGCTCCATCTTCTCCTGGCTGAACTGATACATGTCATGGATCGTGTATCACACACGATCATTGCTAAACCGTCAGGAAAAGAGAAACATGGGTATGTATTTGCATGTATTACCTCATTCTATGTTCCCCTCTCCCTTTTGCCCTCCTGTAACTCCCTGTTTTTGTACCCATTACCTCTCTCTCTGAACCTCCTTCCCAAATTCCCCCCCTGGTTTTTGCCACCCCTGTTTTCCTCCCCACTTTCCATCATTGCCAACAGGCTGTGTCCTTCCAGCTGACGCCACTTCACTTGGTTCCAGTTTTCATGTTGCCACAATCAGGCCTGGTCAAGTGTACGCACTCAAGGTCACACGTACGTGACCACGCAACGCACCATCGTTCATGCATGCCTGTTACAATTCCACCATCCTCATGATCGTGGTACGCTTTCATGCATGCCCCGCCACACGTAAACACCGTCTTGCACACATGATGTCCATGACACGTCACATTTTTTTTTCTTGCACACATGATGTCCATTACCACTCACGTCATAACCCCCACTATCATTTCCCTCACTCCTCTCAAACTCCCCACTCCTCTCATCCATCCACTCCTCTTATACACCCACTCCTCTCACACCCTCCACTTGAGTTATACCCCCCACTGTGCTTCTACATTTGTCAACCCACTCAGGCCTTTTCAACCCACTCAGGCCTTTTCAACCCACCCATGCCTTTTCAACCCACCCATGCCTTTTCAACCTACCCAGCCCTTTCCAACCCACCCATGCCTATCAAAACATCCCTGGCCCTCTCACCCAACCCTGGAATCTTCAACCTACCCAGCCCTTTTCAAACCACGCACCCCCTTTTCAAGCCACCCAGGCCGTTCAAGTCACCCAGGTTGTATAAACCCACCCAGCCCTCAACCCACCCAGCCCTTTTCAACCCACCCAGCCCTTTTCAACCCACCCAGGTCGTTTCAACCCACCCAGGTCGTTTCAACCCACCCAGGTCGTTTCAACCCACCCAGGTCGTTTCAACCCACCCAGGTCGTTTCAACCCACCCAGGTCGTTTCAACCCACCCAGGTCGTTTCAACCCACCCAGGTCGTTTCAACCCACCCAGGTCGTTTCAACCCACCCAGGTCGTTTCAACCCACCCAGGTCGTTTCAACCCACCCAGGTCGTTTCAACCCACCCAGGCCTTGTCAACCCACCCAGGCCTTGTCAACCAACCCAGGCCATTTCAACCCATGCAGGCCGTTTCAACCCACCCAGGTCTTATCAAACCTTCCTGGCCCTCTCAAAGGTTTGCGTGCAAACACCTTTCACTATCTTTTGCCTAAACATCAGTTGCTGCTTCTTAAAGTCATGGCACTTAGATGTGGCCACTCCTTTTCGAACCTTCCTGGCCGTTTCATCCCCCGGATAAGCCCGGAAAAGGAAGGATATGAAGGCAGGTGTAGAGCGATGGGTGCTCATCGATCGCCACAGCCCCGTGAGGAGGAGGATCGCCAGGACACTTATGCGCCATGCGCATGATGTGGGAGTGCACCATGGGGAGAAGAAGGAACGCGCGCGAGAAAGGCCAGAGATGAGAGAGGTACCTGATGAGGAGAACGCAAAGAAGGGAGATGCCATTTCAAGAAGATTCGTTGATGTCAACGAAGGTGCAAAAACAAACCCAGTAGGGCAGCTTTTGACAAAGTATGTTGATGACGAAGTAAAGGAATTTTGTGAAGGAGTTTGTGAAGGAGTTTTGACAAAGGATTTTGAAATGGCACCCACCCAGCCTGTACGCACCAATCGGCACCCACCCAGCCTGTACGCACCAATCGGCACCCACCCAGCCTGTACGCACCAATCAGGACCCACCCAGCCTGTACGCACCAATCAGGACCCACCCAGCCTGTACGCACCCATTGGCACCCACCTGTACACGGAGCCCGGTGGGGAGAGATTGAGGGTGAGGAGACCATCACTCACAGCAGTGGACCCACAGACTGGGCTGAGAGGGACCACAGCCTTAGATGAACGCATCCCACCACTTGAACTGCACACTGGCTTCTGACTCACCTCACTGGCATGCCTCACGGCACTGCCACTCGCCCCGAGTCCCACAAGCCGAACCATCAGGCCTTGCCATGATGCGCTGGGAAGGGGGGAGAGGGAAATGGGAAGTAAGGAAGAAGCAACGAGCACGGGAAACAGGGAGAGTGCAGAGAATAAGTGCCTATGATGAAGTGCCGAGTAGAGCGAGCATGGGAGCCAGGAAATCTCGGGATGTGTGCGTGTGAGACAAGAGTTACACAATCCCGACCATGGGTGCATGGGATGTTCTTGCGTTTGATCAACCACGGTTGCACTCACCCCATTCATCATGCTAGTCCATCCGAAGCCACAAATGCCACGTGATGCTACAAGTGCGGACCAGATATCTGTGAGCTACAAATACTTTCCTTCCCCATGTGTGCTATCGCCCTCAACCATCTATTTCTGTGAAGAGGTGGGGCCAGAGGCGTGGGAATTTAGGACAAGATAAGGGGAAAAAAGGGAGGCAGGAGGGGGGGAGGTGGGGAAGCGGTGGTGTATCAGTGGCAGGTCAGTGGCAGGTCTGTCCATGAGATCGTCCATGCAGCAGCATCACGATCATGACTGTCATGTCAGAGAAAAATAGCTTTTATCTAAGCACCGGCCGTCTACTAAACGTCTAGCTGCTGTGACACCATGACGAGAGTACCCAGAGAAACACGGAAAGCTGCAGGTTGACATCAGCATCACCATCATTCCGTCCCTGCAACCCTCCTATTCTACTCCACTGCCACAGACCTGCTACCTCCCTGACAGAGCACACTCACTTGAGGAAGAAAGCTGGCGGAACCCAGCAACCTCGCTACTAGTGACCTGCTGGTGATCCATAATCCACCCACGTCCCCTCAACACACACCCACCTTCCTTTCCCTCTGTTCGTCCTCGAGAAGGAAACTGCCATAGGGCACCCAGCAGCCCCACCAAACCTCGCCACACCCGCGCTCTACTAGTGTCAAACAGCCTAGCCCACAACCCCTCATTCACTCTGAACGCATCTCCCTCCCCTGCTGCTCTGCTCCCCAAACAGCTTCGCCTGCAGCCTCTCGCACATCTCCACCATGTGCTCTGCACGTTGACCCCCCATGCTGCCATGAAAGTGCATGTTGACCCCCCGTGCTCCCATTTTGGACCCCCTGAAATGTCGTTCCCCACGGCGCTGCGGTAGAGGTGTGAGCAGTGTGCCTGCGCCATAGCTGAGGGGCTGTGGGGCAGGGGCTCCACCGACTCGCGCTGCTGAGGTCGGAGACGCACCGTCGCAGTTGGAGGGGCACGAGTCGGTTGGAGCAGAAGTCGGATTAGGAGGAAGCAGGTGCGCAGCTTGAGGGGGGGGAGGAGGGGAGGGGAGGGGGGTTGGAAGGGGGGTAGAGGAGGGGAGGGGGGTTAGAGGGGGGAGCGGGGGAGTGTGGGGAAGAGAAAGGAAAGAGTAAACAGGACAGTGGCATATGAGTGGGATGTGGGAAATGGTGTTGTAGGGGAGCTAAGTTGGTGGGCGAGAAGGTGTGGGAGAAGAAGGTACGGAGTGGAGCTGGTGGAGGGGGAACGGAAGAGGGTAATGGGATTGCATGAGGCGCCTCAAAAGACATCTCTCAATATGAGGCGCCGTGAAGGGGTCGTGGCCGTTGAAGGGAAGGTGCGCTGCAGCCTTGGCAAGAAGTGCACAATGCGCAGGCTCCTTATGACGCCAATCTAGGACTTGAGAACAGAGAGCAATCTCAGTGTCCCGCAGGCTCCCCGTGCATAGTGCTGCAGGGGCGAGAATTGATGAGCCAGAAATCGATGCAGGAGAATCAGGTGTGGTGCGGAGCTGGTGATGTGGCAACGGTTGAGGGAAGTCGGAGGGAGAGAGTAAGGGATAGTGCCTGGATCAGCAGGTGCAGGAATCCCTTGGGCAGACGTTGGCGTGGAAGAAGCAGGTGCTGGGCTGGGAGGGGTGGTGAAAGAGGGGGGGAGAGGAGGTATGGGGAGGGAAGGGGGTGGTGCCTTGGCGAACAGTGCAACCCCGCTGTGGGGGACCGTCCGGGCAGTGGGGCGGACGTGGGTGTAAGAGAAGCAGGTGCAGAGCTGGGGGGGAGGGGGAGGGAAGAGGAAAGGAGGAAAAGGGGCAGTGGCTTGCTAGAGGAATGTAGGAAACAGTGCTGTGGGGCCACGGACTGTGGGACAGAAGTCGGTATAGGAGAAGCAGGTGCAGAGATGGGGGCGAGGACGAGATGTGGGGGACATTGCCATAGGGCCGTGACTGAGTTCGTGTACAAAAAGAAGGTGCGCAGCTGGGGGAGGGGGGAGGGGAAAAAGGAAGGAAAGAGTGTAAGGGGAAGGGGAAAGGGGAGGAGAAGGGGGCTGTGATTCGGTGAGTAATGTGATTCTGTGGTAGGAACAGATATCAGGGAGCCACAATGCTTCGATGTGGACTACACACATGCGAGGCTGGCTGGATGGCATGGAGGGAGGAGGGGACCAGATGGGATACGTATGGGGCGTCGATGGGAAGAGGGGATCAAGAATCGAGACAAAAAGGGGAGGTACTTAGAGGGGGGATGGGGGAACGAAGGGGAATGAGTCTCACCTTGGCTGCAACGACCATCACAACTCACCTGGCCTGCCCATCAGCTCCCTCCACTCACTCTCACAGCCATCCCACAGCCACCCTCACCGAGTCCCCTCTTGGTAATACCCATCGCTCCACCTGCATTTCCCGACATCAGCTTACCGTGGCAATATCCAGCTTGTCGGCTGCCCCCTTTCCACCATCGCCAACACCAAATGCGTCCTCAGCGGCTCCGCCAGGATCAGCAGCCCCCCTTATCCCCTTCCTCACACCCCCATTTCACCCTCCTTACCATCCCCATCAATCCCCTTCACCCCCACTTCACCCCACATTTCAACCCCCCTTCACCCCCCCTTCACCCCGCATTCACCCCTCCCGTAAGTGGTTATCACACAAGCCCCTACCCCACAGTCACCAATTACCAAATCTAGGAGTTGGAGAGAGCCGCCACGAACGCAATGACAACAGCTGCTCTAGCTTCGGCCCTCCCCAACTCCTAGACTGGGGCCACGGGGAGTGGAGGGAGGGCGGGCATGAGAGGGATTGGGAGAGTGGGATGCGAGCAGGTGGGAGAGAATGGGAGGGGATGGAAAGGGGTGGGACGGGATGGGAGGGGACGGGATTACTGCCACCGCTGCCCTCTCCCCCTTGCCCTCTTTCCTTCCACACACATGCAAAGCAAGAGAAGAAAGAATGGGATAAGGGTCGAGAAATGGAAAGAGGAAGCAAGGGGGGGAGACAAAAAGACAAAAAGATCAGACAGACAGATGGACAGACGCACGGGCGGAGGGAGAGCAGGGGGTTGGTGCAGGATAGGCGGATTGGACCACTGTGATGGACGCTGCTGGTTGGAGGTGGGGATGGCAATGGGGATGGGGATGGAAAAGAGGACATTGAATGGGATAGGGGATAAGGGAGGAAAATAAAAAGAGGATGGGAGAGGAGAATGGGGTGGGGATGGGAAAGTATTAGGGGAAGGGGATTGGGGGGACAACGATGGAGCGTGACAGTTGTACTACGCACACCTGGAGGGCAATCGGAAGAAAGGGGGCCAATGGAAGAGGCCGGTGATGTGGGTGACAGAGAAAACCGGCAACTGATTTGAGGATGAGGGACAGAAGGACCAATGGTTCTAGGGTAATCGTCCCTGTTAGTCCTGAATCGCCACCTCGATAACTAGCACAGCCTCAGGGCATTCAGCAGCAGGGCATTCAGCCTCGGGGCATTCAGCCTCGGGGCATTCAGCATGAGACTGACCTGAGACTGCCACTGACCTATTTGTGACCCGCACGTCTGTGCGACCCACCGTAGTGGAGAGGGGGGACATGTGGAGGGATAGTGCTTTGGCAATCAGTGCGCCCACGCTCAGAGGGAGAGCGTCCGTGCTGGGTTGGAGGGTGGAGGGAGGGGGAGGGAGGGGGAGGGAGGGGGAGAGGGCTGAGGCAGGCGGGCGACAAGTGATTGTAAGGACGACTCGGAATGCATGAGGAATCTGGCAGGCAGGCAGGAAATACGTGTGAGGCGGGCTGGCGGGTGGGCGACAAGTGGGGGCGTAGGAGACGCAGGCGCACAGCTTGGGGGGCAAGGGTCAATCATTACGTTTCCGGCAACGGCGACGCTGGCGGTGGTGGAACGGCGAGTGCGAGACATCATCCCAGCGAGATGCGGCGCAGCGCAGGCATCGGCAGGCTGGACACCTGTGGTGATGCCTGCCCATCGCAGGCCCAGCCATTCCGATGTAACCGCGTGGACTTGACGGGGAGAAGTGGCGGGACGGGTCACGGCAGAGGCTGGTGTTGGGGTAGGAGGCTGGGGTCAGGGGAGGGGTAGGGGAGAGGTAAGGGGAGGAACGGAAAGCTGAAATGGGTACGGGTAAAGGGAGGGGGTAAGAGGACGGGGGGTGGGTAAGGGGAAAGGGAGGGGATAAGGGGATGGGGGGTGGGTACAGGCAAATGGAGGCGTAAGGGGAGAGGGGGTAGGTGAAAGAGAGAGACTGTGGTGTGACTGTGCGAGTGGGTGCAAGAGGGGCAGGGAAACAGCAAGCAGGAGCAGAGCTTGATGGGTCAGGGATGAGGGGATGGTTGGGTGGGAAGGGAGCGTTGCAGGGTGTTTTGGAGCATCCTCTTAAGCTCCCTCGGAGCTCCAAGACATGCTCTATAGCTTCCGCCAGCCCCATCGGCAGCCCCCTCTTCAGCGGCCTCTCACAGTCCTTGAAGTGGTTTTCACACAACCCTGCCCCACAGTGACAGCCTCACAGCCCCACGTGCATGGCATCTCGCACACATGACCTTCAAACCCCACCCCCCCTTCCTTCACCCCCCCTTACGTCACCCCCTCTTTCTGCACTCCGCTTTCACCCCCCCTTCGCCCCCTTCACCAGTCTCCTGCAAGAATCCCACACGCGCCTTAAACTCTAAGAGCATCTCACCTTGGCTAGCTCGAGCTTGTCAGATGCCCGCCAGCCCCATCAGCAAGCCCCCTTCACCGCCCCCTCGCCTTCCTTCCCGCTCTCCCCACCGGCAGCGCCGCCAGCGCCGCTTGGCAGTTGCCTAGCGCATGCAGCTTCCGCCGTTCTTCTCCCTCTCAAATGGTCCTTCTCTTTCTCCATATTCTTCTCCTGTCGTGCTTCCACTAGGTCGCTAATACCGCCAACAGCGCGTCAATGATCGAATTTCACGGAACCTACGGCTCCACTATCGGTCGCCAAGCCGCCACGAGTAGCAGAACACACTAAGTCCCAGCCTTCACTCGCACGATCCGCCTACTAGAGCGGTTCCGTCTTTCCAGCCGTTTTCCTAGAACTACCGCGAGTTTCAAAATTTCAGACTCGACTTTCGCTCGAGCATCGAGGCCGATTTTGGTGAGGTGCTGTTCGTGCGGAAAGGGGAAGGGAGTGCGGGAGAGGGCGAAGGTGGTCGGGGCGTACTGCTGAGTGAGGAGGTGGGAGTGGAAAATAGTGTTACGTAAAGCAGTGTTCACTGGGCCTATATCAGCTAACCCCACACGGTCACAATGTCATATCCACGGCTTCTGCTCACACGCCTCCCTCCTGCTCGCCTACACCCACTCAGAGATGACCAGCTTCGCCACCATCCCTGCTGCTGCCGCTGCTGCGGCTGCAGCTCTGCAATGCTGCCTGGCTGTGTGTCACAGCGACCAGCTGGGCTCCTCGTGGCTAGTACAGGGCAGTGCTGATGGTGTGGGAAGGGGAAGGGAGTGGGAGTGGGGGGGGGGGGGGGGTGTTGGGCGAGACCTAAGGAGGTAGGACGTACTGTTGTTCGAGGAGGGGGGAGTGTAAGATTGATGATGGCATTGCACTAGCACTCACATTCATTCTTCCATGCATACTGATGGGAAGCGCAAGGGAAGGATATCGAACGATTAAAATCGTCGTCGCCTTGTTGCTATCCATGGAGAAGTTGAAGATTGAAAGGCCTGGAGAGGGGCGTCAGCTGAGAGGCCTCGCGGGTTCCACCTACTGGGACAATGCATGCATCCTCCCACGGAATTTTGCGTCGATGAGAGCCAGCGCTGGGAATGGGAAAGATATGCTCAGATCCACTCTGCGGCATCAGCGGAGTAGCGCCAAAAACGCCATACCGGGCGCGGAGGCGATGACGCGCATTCCGACTGCTGCCACAGCGCAGCGGTGCGTCCACCCACGGCAAGTGGAGAATGCGGCGAGTGCTGGATTTTTGGTGCTGAGAGAGGCAGCGATGGAGTTGCGGGCGCACGCGAAAACAAGGGCACGAAGAGATGCCTTCGTCATCACGCTCCTAGCCTTCTTCTAACCTTGCAATAACTACATCGCATGCAACTAGGCTGAAGGCGTAGGGGTCTCGCGAAGAGGGGTCTATGCGTACCAAAGCGCGCTGCGACGCCGTTGAATCTCGCCCGCCAACGAACGCAATAAAACGGCGATTACTCGAAGCTGCACGGGGAAGCATCGCCTTCACGGCGGGCTATGGAGAGACTGGCGAGAGTGAAATCCGTGTTATTCGGATTGAGCGCAGCGTTCGACGGACTGAGATGCATGATTTTCTCACGACGCGAGGCACAACTGACTGCCGTCCAATGTGGACTAGCGTAGATTTAGCTCTGTGCGATACTACGTACTATGTCAAGAAGGATTTGCGAAGTCGACGAATGAGCTTTCGTGTATCCAACAAGACAACCTAAAAACAGCGCTGCTATGCGATACTACGTACTATGTCAAGAAGGATTTTGCGAAGGATTTGCGAAGTCGACGAAATGAGAAGCGCGTCAATTTTGTAATAGAATGTGCAGTAACGAGAGAATCTGGAACTTCGTTTCGGGTTACACGTGCTTGGCGAAAGAAGCGCATCTAGAATGAAGTTCTCGATTCTCTTCTTTTGTGTGTCTTCTTGTTCATTTGTCCCCCTAGCCCCTGAGATTGTCGAGCCACTTCCTCAGACCCTAGATTTGGCGCCAAAACCAACCGAACAACCCCAACGTCTCTCCGAAGCCAAACCAAAGCAAACCAGCCGAGCCAACCCAAGTAACCAATCAAAGCCCTTCGTTGCCGATCGGATTTCACATTTGACCTTGTTGCTTGACCTCCTGCTGTGTCCTCCTGACTTTCTGACTCAAACAGAATTCCCACACTCGCTCTTCGCACTCCATTTGCCGTAGCTTCAGTGAGGCTGGCAAAGCGGCGTTGTCGTCTAAACTCACAGCTTTGCAGGATGGTGTTTCCCTTACCACGCTCTTGCAATGCTAAAGATTTCGACAGCTGCTGAGCCAAGTCAGACGTTTGCAAACAAATAAATAAATACAATGATTCCGTGTTTCTTTATTTGAGCGGAAACGTACTAAGAATGCGTCGCCGGCATTCCGCGATCCCAGATTTTCTCTGAAACGGCGAAGGAGCCAGCCTTGAGGGAAGCATAGTGGGAATAAACCGCTCTTAGAGGAAGTTCTGCACGAAACCTGTTCTGATTGCATCAACTACAACCACTTACAGAGCTGTAGGCTCGTGACAGTGCGTGTACAGATTGTCGGAGGAGTCTCAGGATGCCGCATTGTCGACATAAATTCGTGACGGAACCAGAAACTCGTAAGACAATGTGTAGCACTGGATTCAAGTAGAAATTCTTAATCGATACGCACTTCCTCGAGTATTGCCTTCTCTGTCACACATGGTCTTCGAGAAATTCAGAGTCCCAGCTGACCTCATTTAATGCGACTTTTAAGGCGTCTCAGATTCAGGAAACCCTATCGATAGGCACTTCCTCGCTTTTTGGCTGCTTTTGTCGACATGGCATTTGAGGTCAGATTCAGAATCCCAGATGATCTGAACCGACGCGGATCAGACGACGATAGAAATGACGACAATAGTGGAGGGGGGTGCACCAGCCGTAGTGACATCACCAGCGATAGTGGCATCATCAGAAGAAACCACTATGGCTCCTCCGACAATAACTCATCCGCATCATCCCACATTGTCGTCCTTACAGTTTCCCCTACGGAGCTACTTAGGTCAGTCTTCAACAGACTGTTTCAGTCACATCTGCCACACTGCTGCTTACCATGCGACACAAATCAGCAGCAGCCAGGAGCACACGTAGGGGAGAAACCGTGGACGGATAATTTTATTCGGACGCAGCAGCAGCAGCAGCCCGTCCGCTTCATCGTTTCTGGGCAGGTAGCGTACCTTTCTCCGCAGACAACAGTACAGCGAGCCAAGCTCAAAACGGGTACAACCATTCTAGTACTCCCTGTGAAAGCAGTGGATCATGGAGAAGGCCCGGGTGAAGTTGAATCAGCAGGCGTTTCAGCCGGTGTTATTGGTCCAGCTGCGGCGCCTTCTGTGGGCGTACCTCGTCTTGCCGCTACCACTGCTGCTGCTGCTGCTGCTGCTGCTGCTGCTGCTGCTGCGCCACCCGTCGGAGTTCTCACTGCTTCATCGGCTGCTGCCATGCGTCCTTCTGTTGCTGCTCCAGTGACACCACTTGCTGCTGACGTGGCAGCACCTCCAGAGGAGGAGGAGGAGGAGGAGGAGGAGGAGGAGGAGGAGGAGGAGGAGGAGGAATATTCGGAGAAGCTTCAGCTGCTGTGTCGGGAGGACATGGTCCACTACTTGGATGTGAGAGAAGCATGGGACCTGGCCGTGTGTGAGTGCTGTTTCAACCGTGCTGTGAGCCAGCGCACACAGCACGCCCTCATCATGCACAGCCTCAAAGACTTTCGCTCCTACGTGCGATCGCGGCAGCCTGCGTCCGTCCAGCTCGCTCCCAACCAACCGGTCCAGGGTAAATATAAATTTTCATTGAAGGTTCCGCTGCCGGAAGCAGCAGCGCTGCTGGAGGCGGCGATGCCGATTGGGCACTTCGAACTAAAGTGCGAAATAGCCCCTTCGATCTGTGTGGAAGCCATGCTCCTCGAGTGGATGGCTGAGCCTCGTGTGGGCGTGCTCATGGACCTGGAGAGGATCAGATCTCGCCTGCCTGCCATCCTGGCTGCCGGAGATGCTTCTAACGAGGCCTCCACTTCTTACACTCCTGCTTCTGCTGCTCCTGCAGCCTCTTCTGCCTCTGTCGTTGCTGCTGCTGGTGCTAAGGCTTCTACTGCTGCAGCGTGGTCCGGCTGCTGGCGCTGCAGCAGCTGCTGGGCTGCCTACCGCCGTGCTCTCAGCTTTGCTGCCTCCCTCGTGCTCGTGGCGAGGTGCCCGCGGTTCGTGACTCTATGCAGGGCTCATGCGGCAACCTCGAAGGCTTATCCAGCCATCGTGGGTGAGCTAGGGGCAGGCAGGCAGAAGGACGATGACTCTTTTGCTTCCATTCTGGTTCAGATTCTTGGGGTGAAGGAAAAAGGGGATCTGGAGGAAGGCTTTGGTGCTCTCATGCAGAATCTGCTGTCAGGCGGGCTGGAAAAGGTGCATGGAGGGAGGAGGGGGGGAGCAGGTTGGGACATGAATGGAGGATTCAGTCGTCTCGTGAAGAGTCTGCTGTCAGGGAAGACGGCGCATGAAAAGAGAAAGGGGAGAGGCGGGAGAGGAGCTGCAGGAGGATGGGGTGGATGGGAGGGCAGATGGAGAAGGATGGGCAGGGCGGGCAGTAGAGGGAGCATCTGAAGGGGCCTGTGTGGGAGAGGTATGTGTCTGGCATGGTGTGGATTCTGGAGCATGGAGGAGGGGGAGGGAGGGAGTTCAGGTGCAGCCACTGCAGTGATGGGGACAGCGGTTGTGGTAGCAGCAGCAGCTACAACTCTAGTGGCGATGGCAGAAGCAGCGGCGGATGCAGCAGCAGTGGCAGTGGCAGATGCAGTGTGGGCGCAACAATATATCCCAAGGGCATGTATGTGAGTGGCGTGAATGCGACCGACTTTGCTCTTTCGGTTGCTGCAGTTTTGTCCAAGCCGCAATACTGCAAGGAGAGTGATTTCTACTTTCAGGATGGGAACACTGCGAGCAAGACAAAGGTGGAGGATGCAGCCATTGAGACGGCCAGGGAGAGGCTGAGAGGGAGGGCACGGAGTGAAGGGGGGGGAGCAGGCATGGGAACAGCAGCATCCGCTATACCTCCAGTATCAGCGCTGCCAGCATCATCTGCATCAGTGGCAGCAGAGTTTACCTCCACTGACGCTGCTCTGGTGCGATCTGTGCCTGTGAACACAAACCCTGTCGTTGCAGTCTTCACATATCGTGCTGCCTGCATTCTGGAATGGGCCCGCACGTATGGGTCTGAAACCATCCCCGCTAGCCAGTGCTGCAAAGACAGCCCCCAGGGGAAGGTTCGGCCCATGCGCCACCCGCTTCGGGACCTTCCGAGCCTGCTGGTCAGGCTTGGCGCCATCCCCAAGCCGCTGGACCAAGGCAGTTTTCCCTTGGAGTGGGAGGCGTGGCCTCAGGGCGATGAAGCTGTTGTGAAGCTTCCTGATGACTCCAGTGCGAGATGCTTTCACCTGGGGATTGTGGAGGACGCTAAGGGGACAGCAGGGCAGCGGCAGAGTGGGGCAGGAAAGAAGGGCGGACAGAGGACATCTTTGACTGCGAGGGGGCAAGGAGGAGACAAAGGGAGGGGCAAGAGAGGGGGAAGGAGCAGTGGGCTTGGGGAAGAAGTTAGAATTGAAGGATTGAGGACAAGCGACGATGAGGGGTTGCTGCGCAAGCTGCTCACGTCGCTGCTGCCGCTAGTGCAGAGGAAATTTCCCATCGTTCGCTGCACTGCCGATGCCGAGTTTCTGGTGGAGTTTGCCGGGTTTCTGGTCAGGCCACCTGCCTGTGCGCAGTGCAATGAGTGCCTTGGGGTCTTCAGCCGTCCCATGCCCTTCCTCATGCTCATCGCCAACTACGCCTACCGACCTGTCACCACCCTTTTCAACCGCTTTGTATCCATCTTCTCTCCCCTCTCTCCCGAATTCGAACGGCTCGCTGCTCGTATGGGTGTGCCTCTCGCTGCCAACGCGCCTGGCTATCTAAGATCGCCTGCGGTGCAGGCTCGGGCAGAACAGCTTCCTGTTCTCTTTCTGCTGACTGTGGCTCTAAACTGGGCTGCCCCCATCCTGGGAATCACGGACCTGAAGTTCCTACACAGGCTGCGAGACGGAAAGGAAGAGGATGGGAGGGTGTGGGAGGAGGTGCAAATGTGGTGCCTAGCGGTGGAGCTTGCGTGGCAGGGCGGCATGAAGCTGGAGGCTGAGGTATTGAGAGACAGGTGCAAGGGCAGCAAGGGGCGGGCCAGTTGGGATGGAAAGGAGGGGGAGGTGTTTGCGAGTGCAAAGGGGCATGAGTTGTGGAGAAGGGCTGCCATACCCAGGTTCTGTGAAGACATGCAGGATGATAGTGGGCCTTCCGGTGGTTTCACTGGTCGCGAAAATGACAGACGAAGGGGTGGGAATGAAGGGAGCAGGGGTGATCATGGAAAGGGCAAAGAGGGGGAGGAGCCGGCTTATCTCAAGGCATGGCCGGGGGGAGTGAATTTGGTGGCATGTCTGTGAGAGATGCTGCTGGAGGAGCCGTGCTACCGCCCTACCTTCCCTGCCGCCTCCTCCACCCCTGCTGCCCCTGCTGCCTCGTCTGCCCCTGCGTCCTCGACCACCCGTGCTGCCTCAGCAGCCTCGTCCAAACCTGCTGCCGCACCCACCACTGTTGTGTCAAATCATGCAAGTGCCCCCGTTGCCGTTACAGGGTGCACTGGTCCTGCTGCTGGTGGAGAGCGTGTGTGCGGTGCTGTGGGGTGTGGGACGGTGGGGGGTGGTTGTGGTGTGAAGCTGAGGAGGTGCGGTGGGTGTGGCAAGGTCGCGTATTGCAGCAGAGAGTGCCAAAAGGCGCACTGGCCCTCCCACGAGCTCACATGCTTTGGCAGGACCAGCGGGAATAAGAGTGGCAACAGCAGTGGCAAGGTGGGTGGAGCAATGAATGGGACAAGCACTAGTAGAGACAGCAGCTGAGGTGAAAGACAGGTCCGCACCGCAGTATGCTGAGTGGATGTGTGGCTAAGTCGATGCTACAAACTCCCTTACCTTTCCCATGCTCTGGATGGCACGTCTTCTCGTCCCTTTTGTATCATGTGCGTGTTGGCATTGTCAAGCATCTGCCTCACACATTGCTGGGGCTGGAACCAATTGCTGTGTATGTGTTTTGGCTTCCACCCTTAATACCGCTGAGTGCATTTTATTCCTCTGCTCCATATCTCCCCCGCTGTTCACTTCTCTTCTCGAAGTATGCAGGTTCAATGAGGATGACCGAGTGTGTACCCAGAGAGAGATTCCTCCCCCTACCCACCTGACACGCCTTTATGCCAGGGAGCCTGATGCATCCATGTCATCCACGGGTCCATAGCTAGTCTACACATACACGCCTTCATGCCTGTGTCCCCATGGAAGAGTACAATTCAGTGCGGTTGGGTGAGATGGGTTGCGCGGCAGAGTGGTTTGATTGCACTCTGAAGGTTGGGAGCGATAATTGACTCATCATGGCCAAACAATGGACTTCAGATGAATTACAGATTGGCAAATAGGTTCTCTTTTGTCTATTTATGTGACTCCCCCGAGCATCCCATCAAGAATCTCAAGCTCGTCCTCCATACTGCGCTGAGGTCCCGAACCTTGCCTTCGAACCTCTTTATCAATCTTGAGCAGCCTCGAATCCTTTGTCGACGCCTGAACTTCACAGAAATCCCTTCGCATTGCACCCAAATGCGCGACAACTTCAATCATATGCGGTCGTGATGAGGCAAGGATCGATGTGCATTGTAGAGCAAGCTCCGTCACCTTGAGTAGCAGCTCATCAGGTATCGAATCAAGATTAGGGTCTTTAAGAGCTTCTATGTCGCCCGCTTGGACAAGTTTGTCGACCTGGAAAGGTGGACAAGTAGGGATCATTAATGCTTACTATGGGCGAGGCAGGCAAGCAGCTGTGTAGTACTTTGTGAAATTGCAGTGACGAACGAGAATGGAGAATAGACAGCAAAACATGAGAGAACTCACAGTGAAGATTTTTTGCAAGAAGGATGATTAGGACATGACTAGCGATTCACCGACATGCGCATGAGGATAGACACCAACTATGTACTTGACTCGTATATTTTATTTGCACTTACCCAGTCTCGGATGTTGATTCCACCATTCTCTTGGATCACAACAGGCTTGGTCAGCATGATCCTAAGCATCATCACGCCGAAGCTGTAGCAGCAGGGGGGCGGATGAAAAAAAGGGAAAAAAAAAAGAAGCACGCTCTGTGGCAAGTACCTCGTGAAAAAGAATGCAACCATAGGCGACAAAGGAAGAGCATAGCATGTCACATGGAAGTGATAATGTGGGGCGGTTAACTATGTTCATCAGTGCAATCGGCCATGGGAGAGTCATTCATTCAATTCAACCCAACCCACCTATAAATATCAGCCATGGGCGTGGCCTTGTTGGTGCGCGAGTAAGCGGGGTCCACATAACCCGGAGTGCCGACCACTCTTGTGGGATTCACTGTGGTGCCCTCTGTCATGCGCACCAACCCAAAGTCTGATATTTTTGCCTGTAGATGAAGGGAGGAGAGATGAAAAACACAAGTTGTTGATGCCATGGCAGGGGGCAGTAGGATGTAGGCAGGAGCTGTCTTAGATGATAGCTGTGTTAGATGATAGCTGTGTTTGATGATAGCTGTGTTTGATGATAGCTGTGTTTGATGAGACTCATGCGCACCAGCCCAAATTCCGACAGCGTTGGCTGTGATACCAGGCACCTTCGCATGGAGGCTGGAGCAAAGTGGGAAAAAAGAGAACGGTGGTTTTGTGTGTTATGGCCCCATTCACGAGGCCAAAGCTCGAATGCTATCTGTTGTGTACAAATAGATCGCAAGTGGCTCCCCAACCGCACTACGCCGCACTCACCCGGCCCCTTAGTCCCATTTTTCACCTGCATGCGGAATTCAAGCAGTTGGCGGGCTTGATGTCTCCAACCCCACGCCTTCACCACAACCGCACCACACAACACTCAACCATCAAATAAACTCCACCTCCTCCCCAGTACCTGCATGTTAGCATCAAGCAACACGTTGGCGGGCTTGATGTCTCGATGCACGATGTCAAATTGGTGGAGGTACTCCAACCCCCGCGCCACCCCCACCAGCACATCCATGCGCTGCTGCAGCGTCAACTTGACCTTTTTGGATCCTGCATGGGGACATGATGGGGTGGTTTGTAGCATCAACAGAAAGAAAACCTCTTCAAAGATATCCATGCTTTGAGACGTCTCACAAGGAAACACCGTTCTCTCACAATGCAAAAGAAGAGAAACAGTAAGGGGCATCCACTGCAATGAGTGTTGCAACTAGCAATCGTAAGAACTTGCGTTGAAGTTGATGATACAAATAAAGGCGCTCAACACTCTTAATCTCTTCAAGAATGGAAAAAACAACGTGTGTGATTTTAGCGCGTATAGAACGTACGAGATGCTATCGCCCAAATGCCTCTTGAATTTTATCGCGTGCGGGCTTTAGGGAACCTCAAGGTGGCGAAACCATGTCGCATGTGCGAGGACGAACCAACGAGAAGAAGTGAAACTTGCAACCTAACATCACAACACTTTGGCCTTTAGCAGGGCCAATGTAATGCTCACTTAAAAACGACAGTCTACATTTGGCAGGACGAGCGCCGAGTGCTTTGAAACCGCCCTTTGTGGTTTCAGGTTTCGGAATTTCGCGAACAAAATTCCCTGCATTTTGAATTCACCTTGCCGAATTGTTGTTTCGTCGAACCCGAAACCAGTCAAATGTACACTGACGCTTTAAGAAACTTCTCTCACCTCTAGTGAGGTACTTCTCAAGGTCTCCGTTTGGGCAAAACTCATAGATGACGATCTGCTCGTGGTGGTCTGTTGCCCTGTCAATGTCCACACAGTACCCCAGCAGCCGCACCAAGTGCAGATGGCTCTTTGATGCCATCTCCTCCACCTGGCAGGGGAATGAAGGGACGAGAAATGTCAGACGTGGATTCGTGACAATGATTTTTTATGGCTCTTTGACGCCATCTCGTCCACCTGCTCAAGACGGGGAAAGTTAGCAGGAACACAAATGAGGGCGATGAATGTGCGTGAATGAGAGCCTCTGATGGCTCTTTGATGCCATCTCCTCCACCTGCAATGGAATCAAGAAGATGAAGGAATGCGGAAAGTGCTGCGAATGAGCACTGAGATTGCGCTGAAGGCATAAGGTATTCGACGACATCTCGTCCACCTGCACGGGAATCAAGGGGACGAGGAAATGCAACAAGGAGTCGACTCTTTTAAAACAAGTAGACATGGGCAAACAACTCTTTTATAACTTAAGTTTGATATGTGACACGATTCATCTTCTTCTTGCCTAGACGCCCAACACACCTCTCTTTTGAAGTCATTCGTGAGTATCTTGGCGCGTTTCACAGCCCACACAACCGAGGGATCTTCCGGACACACCCCACGATACACCTCGCCATGCCCCCCCGACCCAATATGGTTTGCCTCTGCCCAGTTGTCCGTTGCCTTGACTACCACTTCTAAGGGGTATCGCTGGCACATGAGTGATTGGGTTGGCACCGATGATTCTCCAACGCCTGTGGGGAGGCTTGATGGCTCACGTGCTGGCAATGGGTGTGCATGCATGGAGGCAACCAAGCATATGAGCATGGGGCATGGGTGGGCATGAGCAACCATGCTTAAGGGAGCAACTGGGTGGCTGATTTCACTCCCTCCTTCCATGCTCCACCGCCTGTGGGGTGGCTTGATGGCTCACGTGCTGGCAATGGGTGTGCATGCATGGAGGCAACCAAGCATATGAGCATGGGGCATGGGTGGGCATGAGCAACCATGCTTAAGGGAGCAATTGGGTGACTGATTTCACTCCCTCCTTCCATACTCCACCGCCTGTGGGGTGGCTTGATGGCTCACGTGCTGGCAATGGGTGGGCACGGTAGGAATCAAGCATACCGTGGTGTGAAAAACTTATAAGAAATATGAAAAGTGACTCACATGTTGAGCATAGGCTATGGGGATTGAGTTAAAGCTCGCGTCTCAAGTCTCATATTTACAAGCGTTTAACACTTGGTTGGTTACGCACGTCCGTAATTGGATTCTCCAGCTCGTCACAGATTTCGTCAATCGCCAACCAGTCACGGAGGCCCAAACCCAACCAAATGTTAAAACGGAGAAAATATGAGACGCGAGCTTTAAAGACATGGAAATCCGTGCTGAAAGGAACAATTACGATGCCTTGGTCACAGTTGCAAAGGAGAAGCACTGCCACATGAGGGCCAAGCTCGGCATGGCTGACCACTCCCGCCCCCTCTCCCCCTTTCCACCCTTTTTTACAGTCATTTCTGGAAAACGAGGGATAGGAACACGAGGTGGAAGGGTTGAGTTCAGTGCGCATGCTTGCATCCTATGACTTCTGAGAATGAATCCTGGGATCCTGTCAAAAACAAAAAGGCAAACATACACGTGCCTTTGAGGTTGCGGAATACGGCAACTTTTGAAGCGCCTCTAAAAGGCAAAAATGCCATGAATTACCTTATATGCGGAACAAGCAAAACTACGCAGCTCCCAAAGAACACGAGCCTTCAAGAGGAGAGACAACTTCTAGCAGAAGGAAAGTAATGTTCTTGTAAATGTAGCTGTAGCTGTAGATGTAACTGTAGCACACATGTTCACAGAAACGTCAACAGGAGGTAGAGATGAGCATCCGGCCCGGCCCAACCCGACCCGACCCGACCCGACATGGGCGGGCCACACGAGCTCCCGGGTCGGGTTGGGTCAGGCCAACCTCGGGCCAGGGTGCTGAAGGTTCTGGCCCGACCCGGGCCTACACACTCGGGTCAACTTGGACCCCGTTACGGGTCGGGTCGGGCCGGGCCAGGATGACCCGCCCAGGATGGCCCCTAAGAACCTCTACGAAATGGTTCAATGTTAGCTGCTGGCGCGCCTATGAGCAACTGCTGGCCTAAAACGAGGCGTGCAGCCTGTGAATTGAAGTATCGCTAGTAAAACGCGATGTTGTAAAAAAACGCCATTCCTGCATCGCGATTTTCCGTGTACAGCAGGATACGATAGTAAACTAGCTATAAAAGTCTGTCAATGAGGTTTGAACAGGTGGTAACCAAGTAGCTTCTAAGCTTAGGTGACTTGCTTGCTGCCATTAGGCAAGATTGAGAGCGTGGGTAGGTTCTGATGTCGAGACGACAACAATTTGACCTAGGGTTTCGTCCCCAGTGTGTCGAAATCGGGTCGGGCCAAAAGCCCGGTTTCGTCCCTGGTCTTGACCCGAATTCGGGTCGGGTCAAGCCTGACCCGAAACCCGACCCGACTCGGCCCGAGTTCCATGCTCGGTTCGGGTTTTAGACCGGGTCGGGTCGGGTCGGCCCGCACGGGGCAGGCACATGAAACCACTGACCTGAACCGGGCTAAACCACGGGTCGGGTCGGGCCGGGCCGGCCCGACCCGAGCGGGGCAAATGCTCATCTCTAACAGGAGGATTGTGGTGTGGGGGACAGACGGAAACAAAGGTGAATAGAGGATATTCATGGCGATTAGGCTACCAGCCAGAACTTCACCTTGGGGGGACCTTCGCTTCCAGAGCAGAAACAGGCCAATAACGAGGAGGACAAAAACGAGTACGCCTCCAACAGCAATGCCAATGATCGCCCCTAGAGGCAGGGCGGACGAGGAGGAGGAAGATGTATCTGTGGGGGGAAGAGGAGGAGTGCTATTGGCAGGCGGAGGAGGGGAGGGGCTAGCAGCAGGGGAGCCAGAGGAAGGGGCAGAGCTGTTGGAGCAGGAGGAGCAGAAGTTGGGGCAGTTGATGCAGAAGTGCGAGGAGGGGGTCTGGTACACAACACACGGCTGGCCTGCTCCTGGGCACACCATGCCACTCTCGTTGAGCCCTCTGGGGGGTGGGGGAAGGGAAGGAGGGAGACGGGGGAGGAAAGAAGCATCGATCAACGGAAGCGGGTGGGGTGCAGAACTAAGAGGAGGAGTTCTGCCACACCACACACGGCTGCCCGGCCCCTGAGCACACCGTTCCGCTCTCGTTGAGCTCACTGCAGAGTAACCGAGGCAGGGAAGGACAGGGTGAGATGGGGAGAGGGATGGAGGGGGTCTGCCACACCACACACGGCTGCCCGGCTCCTGAGCACACCGTTCCGCTCTCGTTGAGCTCACTGGGGGACAGGGGAGAGGGGTGAGGGGGAGGGGGGGGGGAGGGGGAGGGGGAAAAGGTAGCGTTCACTTACACCCTCCCTTACACTCACACCCCCACCTTACACTCACTCACTCTCTCCCCTACACTCATGACCCCCTTACGCTCACACCACCTTCTCACACCTCCCATTACAATCACCCCCCTTTTACACTCACAGCGCCGTGAGGAGCAGGAGATTCCCGAGGGTGGGTGGAACGATGCCCGAGAGAGCATTGGTGGCGAAGCCTCTGGAGGGAGGTGGTGGGTGGCAGGTGATGGCAATAGGCATGGTGGGTGGTGATGGGACGGCAAAGGGGCATTTTGAGTGACATTAGAGAGCATCGGCGGCGATGCAGGGAGGTGGAGGGTGGTGGCAATAGTGCATGGCGGGAGGCAGGTGATGGGATGGCAATGAGGCATTAGGAGTGACATTGGAGAGCATTGGTGGCGAAACCCCTGCAGGGAGGTGGGGGGTGGTAATGTAATGCGTCGCATTACACTGCCAACGTGGGATGGTACTGGCAATAAACCCGGGGAGTTTGAAGTAGGTATTAGTATTATTATGAAGTAACTCGAACAAGTTCGCACTTTTACCCTAAACTCCATCAAAGTTTGCACCTTTTGTAGAATATTCAAGGCAAGTAAAGAAAGGAAAATCCCGGAACCGTACAGGTATGTGAGATTTGTGAGGCTTCCCAATTGGGAGGGAATTTCTCCAGAAAACTGGTTATTGTCAAAGTTCCTGCACAACGGGGCGACATTCGCACTTTAAATGAATCTTTCGGTATTATGGGAATCTCTCCAAAAAACTGTTTATTGCCAAAGTGCCTGCAACAGGGGAAGGAGGTTGGAGTGGAGATAATGTGACATATTGTCGTACTTCCCTCGCAACAGTACTCTAATAACAAGAAGCACCTACTTCACGGGAGTCACTGTGGAGAACCCTAAAAAATGCATAAAGTAGCCTTTATTCCGCAACAAGGCTTGCGATGGAAATGTAAACCTACACTTGCTTAAATTCAGCAGCCATTATTTCTAATAGGCCTGTCAATTTTGATTCGGACGATCTAATGGCGGCTCAGGAAACCAACCTCTCAGTGAACTCAACATGCCATCACAGCACAATCTTAAGATTGTGCAGCAAGTACCGTAAGAAGATGCCATACGATCTTGACCATAAGGCACGTGAAATGAGAGCGTTTTTAAATGTCGCAAAAGAAGCGTAAGATGTGATAAGTGCATGATCGTAAGGTGCCTCAAGAAACGTAATGTACCATCAAAGCAGAACATACAGCACGTCGAGTTTGGTGAGGGTGGCGAAGAATGAAGGGATGGTGCCACGGAACATGTTTCGGGCGAAGTCCCTGGGGTGATGGGATGGTGGGAGGCGTGGTGGGAGGGGAGGGATGGTGGGAGGGATGGTGGAGGGGTGGATGGTGGGAGGGATGGCGGGAGGGGTGGATGGTGGGAGGGATGGCTTTTGAGTTGACAGAGGAAGGCATGGTGAGACAACGGAAGTCACTGGGGAGGAGGCAGAGACAATGGAAGGGATTGTGAGAGACCCTCTCAAGGGAGTAGTGGTGAGCGACTTTCCTGAGAACCACACCACACCACACCGCACCACACCGCACTGCATCACATCACACAACACAGACACCACACCACACCGCACGGCACCGCACTGCACCACACCATAACAATCTGCGGGCATACATGTAAGAGAGTTTCTTGAGCAAGGAGAGGGTTTCTGGGATGCTTCCCGTGAAATGGTTGTATTGAAGCACACTAATGGAGCGAAATGATAGGTGTGGTGGGGTATGAAGGGGTGTAAGGGGGTATGAAGGGGAGCGATGGGGTATGAACGGGAGGGTGGGGTACGCGGAAAAGCGGGACAGAGAAGTGTTTTATGAAAACAAGTCGAGCACGGGGAGCAGAAATGAGTCTTTGAGTTCATGGCCTGTGTTTCAAGCTCATAATGGAGTAGCAGCAAACCTGAAGTAAACGTTTAAGCAACAAAGGAACGCTTTTGAGTTTGTGGCCTTCATTTTTGCATGGACGTCTTTTCAAGTCGTGTGACGATTCTTGCATGGGGAGCAACGTTGACAAGAATCCTAGAGTCACATTCTGCTATTGAGGCGTCTACTTTTGAGGCGCCCCACAGTAATACTATAGTCAGATTCTGCTACTGAGGCGAGGCGCCTCAGAAGTTAGCTTCTTACACGGTCTGCAAGTAGGTGAGCCTGCCAAACTCCACAGGGATAAAACCTGAAAAAATGTTGTAGGCAAGGTTGCTGCAGGGATGGAGAGGTTGAGAACAAAGAGCGAGAAGAGACTGAGAAGAAAGTGAAAAACCGCAGGTACAGAGGGAGCCAATGCAATGCAACCTGTAGGGATGGAACTTGAGATCTTGTTGTAAGCAAGGTTGCTGCAGGGAGGGGAAAAGAGGGGGTAGAGAGAACAGAGAGAAGAGTGAGAGGAGAGAGAAGAGTGAGAAGAGTGAGAAGAGAGAGAATGCGCCTGAGATTACAAAGATGGAAAGAGATAGATTCTGTAGGCGAGGCGAATGCACCCTGGCGCTCCCAGCGTAAGAAATAATCCCAATCTCCTAGCTGGGTGAATGAACCCAGCATTTAAGGCGCCTCAGAAGTCATCTCTCTACCCGCAATAATCCCAATGTTCCAGCGTACGACACTGCTAGCTAATGGTCGCTACTGCTTACACAACCACCAAGCTGCTGAGGGCTGCCACTGCTGGAAGGATTTCCCCCTCGAATTTGTTGTTTCCACCTAGATTGCTGCGCCCGAGGGGGAGAACAGGAATGAGTCAATAAAGGTCAACGCACGTCCACAGAGGTCAACAGAGGTCAATGCTGGTCAGCAGAGGCCAATACTGGTCAGCAGAGGTCAACGCAGAGGCAGCGGGGTCAATACCGGGCAGCAGAGGTCAACACAGGGCAGCAGCAAATGTCAACGCAAGTCCACACTGAATATTTTTCAACAGGTGAGCGAGACAGTGAAGGAACTACTCTATTGCTTATACGCTGCAGACGTATTCTTGGCATACAATGCTTGGAGCTTTCGAGAGGCGAGGGTAAGACCCTATTACTGACATACTCGTCAACAGCAGCTATTGCTTGCAGTGGAGGCTGTTGACTACTCTACTCTACTCCGACTTCTATTACGTATTTTTAGCATACAACGCTTGAAGATTCGAGAGGCGAGAGATGGATGAGGGAACCGATCCTTCAAAATTGTTGTAAAAGAGCGATCTGCACAAGCACAGGTCATGTCATGTCATGCCATGTCATGTCAGGCACAACAAGCCAGTCACAACACAAGCGAGCCAACCAAGCCAGTGACACGTAAGGCACACGTCGCTCACAATCACCCACATGTCCAGGGCTCAAAATGTCAGTCAGATGCAGCCCGCTTCGTACGGTCGGAACGGTTCTGTACCTTAAACTTTTAAATAAACTCTGGCCCATTAACTTGTTTCAGAACTCTGGCCACCCAAAAAATATGAAAAAGGCCGGATACCTTTGCGATGACGACCAGAAAGGGAAAGAGGGAAGAAAGGGCCAGCAAAGTTGTTTTAACCTGATAAATAAAGTCGCCTCACTGTGATCCCATAAATTGGCGCCCCTTGATTGAAGAGATTGTTAGCATAGGTGCATGGGTTGATGAATCAAGTGTCATCACCGTGGTCACATGGGTTGGTGCCTCCTTGGGTTCTACAAAAGAGATTGTCAGCATAGGTGACACTTACAGGAACGAGAGCTGAGTTAGTTTTGACACGCCAGTGGGGAAGCTTCCTGAGAATGCATTGTTCCCTAGGTCACTGATTGAGGGAGCAAGGGTGGTTTTGGTGCACGCAAGGGTTCCCAAATCACAAATGTTCGTGAGGTGAGTGAAGTGGCTGGTTAGTAATGAAAGTTGAAAGCAACGAAGGCTCTGGTATATGGTGGAGAGGAGAAGAGAAAATGTAGAACTGAAGTTATGTCTGTTGGGACAACTCGACGTCCACAACAAGAGAGGGAAGTGAGGCAAATCAACAATAAGTCTCATCTCTTGCTGTGTACTTCAATTCAAGGGTGGCTTCTTCCAGACACTCAAGGATGCTTGGTATTGGAATTTGGATTGAGCGTACTAGACAAGGCGGAAAGAAAGAGTGAAAGTGAGAGGGTGAGCGAAAGAGTTGGAAATGAGATGGAGGAGGGTGACGAACAGGAGAACCAGATTGGTGAGTGCACTCAAAGACAGGGGTACTGCTCCGCTCATTTTGTTGGAGTATAGATCACTGCGATGAAGGGAGGAGGATGTTGATGAGAGGAGGGGGAAAGACACGTGATATAAGTGAGTTATAAATCACTGGTCGAGAAAGTAAAGCAGAAATGAGTACAGGGTTTTAAGGCGGGATAAGGAGCCGATGGCGGGAGGCAAAGCGCCCTCAATGAAGTTGGATGAGAGGCCGCTGCGAGCGGTAGGGCGGAGGGAGGAAGAATGGGAGGAAGAGGGTAGGTGAGATTTGAGTTTCTTAGAGGTGCCTCAGAGGCCGTTGGTGGGAGACAAGGCACCCTTTATTAAGTTGGATGCGAGGTCGCTGTGAGTGGGACAGGGAGAGGGAGAGGGAGGAGAGGGAGAGGAGGAGGAGGGGGAGATATGAGCTTTGAGTGTTTTGGAGGTGCCTCAGAGGCCGATGGTAGTAGGAGGAAAGGCACACTGGCCAAGTTTGGATGAGAGGTCCCTGTGAGTGAGAGCGGGAGAGATGTCGAGAGGGAGGAGAAGGAGGGGGCAGGGAGGGAGGGGGCCAGGAAGGGAGGGAGGGAGGCAGGGAGGGAGGGAGGGAGGGAGGGAGGGAGGGAGGGAGAAGGGAGTGGGGCGGGGGGGGGGGGGGGGGGAAGGGGGTAGGGAAAGAGGGAGGGAGACATGCGCACGGTCTCAAGAGATAACCGTTTAGTGGCAGTGCAGGCAGCAGGAACGCGTGCAGGACTTGATGGTTTAAAAACTCATCATTCTAGTAAGTGCAGAAATGTGTGCAGCCTCATCACAACATAACAATTCAGTGGTGGTGCAGGCAGGAACGAGTACAGGACTTAAAAGGACTTTAAGGGTGGATAAAAAGGCGATGATGGATGAACGATTTATTATTTGAGACATCTCGAACGGCATTTATTGTAACGCAATTTAGTGGCAGTGCAGAAAGGCGTACAGGAGTTGAAGATTGGATAAAGAACCGATGGTGGAAGGCAAGGCACCCTTTAGGTCGTTGTATGAGAGATCGCTGCGAGCAGGAGGAAGGGGAGGGAGAGACGGGGAGAGGGGAGAGATACGGTGGTGAAAGAGGGATGAATTATTAGTTCCTCTAAGGTGCCTCAAGAGCCGATGGTGGAAGGCAAGGCACCCTCTCAGCCGTTGTATGAGAGATTGCTGCGAGCGGGAGAAGGGGGAGGGAGAGATGAGGAGAGGCGAGAGATACGGTGGTGAGAGAGGGAGAGATGGGGAGAAACATGGGATAGAGGGAGAAAGGGGGAGAGAGGGAGAAAGAGAGAGGGGGATAGAGGAGGACCACACTTCTTGGCTAGGTTCACTGGTTGTAAAAACTCAATATTTGTGTGTTGTTTGCTACATTGAGTTGGACATGGGAGAAGGTTTAGCGAGTTTGGTTTGGGACGATGTCGTGGAATCTATTTCTTGCTCCCAACCATTTTCACGCAACGAAAATTCTATCTCCAAAAATCCCGGTAGGTTCACCATAAACCTGGCAGGCTGTTCCATCCTTCGGCTCGTGACAGACCAGCCACTGACTGGCCATTGTATGCTGATTTGCTAGGTTCACCCCTGGCTCATCATTATTTGGTCACATGTTGGTCATTGCTCATGCAATGCTCATGCATTGCTCATGCATTGCGCATGCTCATCTGTGCACATGCCCATCTCTACATGCTCCCACTCATGTGTGCATGCTCCCACTCATACTCACAGATAGCTCAGCCTGTCCAAGGCACTGATGTAATCTGGAATGGACCCGGTTAAGCCTTTGTTAGACAGATGCCTGGTGGGCAGTGGAATGGAATGGTTGGGGAACATCATAAATCTTATGGTAGTGCTTAGAGCGCTTTCTTTCATTATGAGCCACACAAGCATATTGGAGGGAAACGGAGAACGAAAAGGGGGTTATTAAGTAGGTTAGACAGCATTAACACCTAGTATCACTTACAAATGTCTACCTTCCGTTTCAAATGGACCTTTCGGTTCTGCGGTGACATTTGGAAGGAGAGCATTCTCTGTCAATAAATGGCGAGGGAAGTGTGAATATCGTTCCCACACGCAGTCTTGCATGGCAAATCCGAGCATGTAGTAATCCCTCCAGCAAGCCCCCAGCACATTCAGTACGATCCTTTCCACATGTCTCATATACTCCACTACTGCCTCCCTCCTTCCACACACACATTTTTGCTACTTCTTCCTTAACAAACTCCAACAGAACCTCCTTTCGTGCATGAACCTGCTGCAGTTACCTGTTGCCATGCCCCTCGGCATGCCAACTAGTTCTCCGACTTGGGATTGTTAGAACTACTAGAACTGTGCCTGTCCTTTTCTTTTCTCTCTCTCTCCATCTACAGAACCCCGGTATCCGATTATTGAACTTGGAATATGTTCCTTAATCATGTTCGAGCATGAAAAACAACTTTAAGATAACTTCATAAATGATTATAAGACATAACAATTCCAAAGGGTTCCAAAACCAGATGATGATTTTGGGTGAGAGGACAGTGGGATAAATTGTTCAAGAAGCGCTCACAAAATCATAGAGTGCAAAAGATATACAATTGTTGTTATTTAACAACAATGGGTTATTTAACAGAGTGCAAAAGATATACAAATAACCACAGAGGCGTTAAGGGATTGCATGGACAGCAAGGGTTCACTCGCTGAAATGCAACAAGGGACTGCAAATACAGAGCACGCAAAATGGGGGAGCGAGAAAGAAAATCATAGAGGCACCAAAATCAAGGTCATCAAGAGTTAATGCGCATATGGGGGACGCAAGACCAGCTAGAGTTGGTGCTCTCACATGCTGGTCACCATGCCTTGATCATCGCAGTCCACATAGTAGTAGGCCAAGCTGCAGTCCCCCCCAGCCACCCAGCCAGAGAAATTCCGCCCCCACGCTTGCTGCAAGTCCAGCAGGACTTGCACTGGCAGCAGATGGTGGGGAGAGGGGGATATGGTGGCAAGAGAAGGGTAGAAGGAGGGTTTGGGGCAGGGAACGGAGGAAGAAAATATTGGCTCCCATCACCGGTGTGCCGCACCCTTCTCTTCCTCTCTCACTCATCAGCCTGTGTCGCACGACTGCGGAATGGACACGTGCGTTGGTGAAGTGAAGTACCGAGAAACCGTGATTTCGAGATTGAAGCTGCTACGGTGATCAACGTTATGCACATGGGAGCATGGGCGGCGTGGTCAATGATTCATCCACTGGCAACGATGGTGCCACTGAAGATTGTAGAAGGCGTAAACAGGAAAGGGAGGTCAAAGAGGGGGTAATCATCGTTGACATTGAGCATCCCTGGGCACCATTAGGTACTCAAGCAAGTGATTCGTGCTGGAAATTATCGTAAATGAGCTGCGGCCCTTGCCATTGCTGCATCAACCCACGCCAGCAAGCCACCCACACATCAGATTCCCGTGCTGGAAATCCAGCCAGCAAGATTTTCACTGGCTGCGCAAGCAGGGAGGAGAGGGGGGCGAAATGGAGTAGGAGAAAGAGGGAGCGGGAGAAACACCCTGCTAGGGTGGGAGGGAAGAAGAGATCAGTTTATAAGCTCATTAACACCGTATGGCCTCAGGAAGGCTTCCTCCCAGCACCGTAGTGGCAAACTGAACGGGCAAGTTTCTCTCTACAAGGACGAACCTTGGGAGGCGGCAAACGCACAGTGGACCGGAGAAACCACTAAGAGACACGCCAGAAAGCTGAGTACGATGAGCCGAATGATTCTTCCCGCGCCGTCCGTTGCCATCGTGGTGCGGCGAGCTTCCAGTAAACTACTACTATTTCTATGGCTTGTGAAGCTGTAAACAGCAGTGATTCTAAGCGTCGATAAAAACGCTTGAATATATGTAGACGGTTAAAGCAAAATTACTGTTTCTGGGAGTGCAGTTGCCAACTATGAGGAGGAGAGGAAGCTAAGACTAGGAGGAAGCTAAGTTAGTTTCGGAAACTAGTAGAGGGAAAGACTGGAAGGGAGGGAGGTGAGGGTGGGAGTTGGAGAGGAGATGGATGTAGTCCCAGTTTCCTGCCAAGATCGCTTCACAATTTCCTGCGCGGCTGCGATTGGCCAACCTGTCGCTGACGAAGCGGAATTCGCGACTTCGCGACATCAAATTCGACAGATGCGAATGTATCGAAGAGTTACCCTGCTCTCACAAGTTTCGATGGTGGCGTGGCATGCCAGCAGGGGGTTTCGAGCTACCAAAAATCTCGCCAGGTCTGCAGTCAGACAAATCAGGACAGCGGCTGACCTTGTTTGACAATCACCGACGTCTTCATTCGCTCTCGCAACACTGGAACAAAGCGAAACCCTAATGAGCACTCCAGCAATAAATAATGCTCCCAGCATACGAGCTAAACATATTTGAAAAGGCTTATCATGGCACTAGCAACCAGTGTCCTGGCGGCTTGGCGGCAAAGCGAAATAGCTGCTCGGCCCGCGGTCTAGCCGCTCAGCCAGCGACCCACCTTATCGCGATCTAGAACTGTCTGTGGTCTAGCGATAAGGTAGAGTTAGCAATGCATAGTTTCATCATCGTGCGAATTTTGAGTTTACTTGAAAATAAGGCAAGATGGCACTGACGTTCCCACTCGTTATGGGATGTCAGAACGTAAGGGGACGTCACTCTCGCTCCTGCTCTTCTCCTCCTTGCCATCGCACCCAGTCCCCCTCTGTGCGACGCCGCCGCCGTCGCAAGAAGCACGAATGCGCATCAGATTCGCTTTTTTTCCCGCCCTCCCTCCCGCAGCTTCCTTCCGATTTCTCGCTCCTCCCAGCGAGGCCTCTAATGGCCATGAATCCGTCCTCGGCCCTTCTTCTTGTAACTGCTCTGTGACGTAATCTCGAAGGATAGTCTCAAAGGAACGTCAAGTTTGCCCAGTCATCTGAAAAACGTATGAGTTGACTCAATATTAGTCCTAATACTGCTGGCCGACATCCTTAATGCTTCGGATTGGCGGCGGCGAGTCGAGCGAACGTCAGGGGCGTCCATAGCTGCTCTGCGAGTGCCAAGAGAGTCGTAGCGCCGCGTCGCAGCTGCACATCGCGAGGCAACGTCGCGAGCATCGCAGGCGTCGGACTGCACGGTGAGCAGCTGGCGATGGTGGGTCAAATGGCGATCAACATTGCCTTCCTCATCGTCGCCTTCAGCGCTGTGGGAGAATTGTCTTCTCCCTCCATGCTCTTCTCCCATGCATGTTCCCCCTGATCCTCACCAATGTTTGTTCCTTATCCTCCTATGCTTGTTCTGAATATCCATTCGTTATGTACCCCTTCCAAGTCATCTAAACTCCCTTCTCTCCTCCAACCCCCTCCTTTTCTCCCCCTTTCCCCCCTTTCTTCCCCCCCAATCCACCCCCTTTTAACCCCCTTCTTCATTTCTCCCCTCTCCCTCCCCCCTTACGCTACATGTCACCCTCTTACAGGCTACGGCGAGTTGCTGAAAACTGGGTCCGGGCGGCCATTTCGTCGTCTTTGCCGCCGACCAGACGGCCCTAGCCTTCGCCACCAGCAGGAAGCCGAGCAGGTGCGTCGTGCTGAGAGCACGAAGGGTGTCCTGCTGAGGTGACGTATGGCTGCGTGCTGCATGGCTGGGTGGCGTTACATGCATGGCTGGGTGGCGTTACATGCATGGCTGGGTGGCGTTACACCCATGGATGGGTGGCGTTACACCCATGGATGGGTGGCGTTACACCCATGGATGGGTGGCGTTACACCCATGGATGGGTGGCGTTACACCCATGGATGGGTGGCGTTACACCCATGGCTGGGTGGCGTTACACCCATGGCTGGCCATCACCTTCCCGAGAATCTCAGCAGCACGGTAGACAGCAACATTGCCTCAGGTGGGGCTGCAAAACGCTGACGTGGGTGCCTTATCTGCCTGCCCACGAGCTTCCACACACGCCTTGTTCACCTCTGCCTCCTTCAGTTTTAGCACCAGTCGTCCCATCCCTTTCACCGCGTTCCTCTCTTATAATGCCTCTTACCCAATTCGCCTTACCCCGTCCCTTCTCCTAACCCGTGTCTGTCACCCCTGCCTCTCACCCCATGCCTCTCACATATCCGTATTCCCCCCTGCATCACTCCCTCCCCCCATTCCTCCTATCCCCTCCCCCATCCCTCATCCCTCCTCCCCCCATTCCCCCATCTCCCTGTCCCCTCATCCTCCGTCCCCCCCAGTGAACCTCGTAGTGTCCCTCGCCGTCACATGCGTCTGCAGGTGGGGCGGCAAAACGCTGACGCGGTTGGCCCCTCACTGCCCAACCTGCTCGCCCTAGACATCACCGGCTGCCCCCTGCTCGCTGGGCTTAGAGACTGCCAGCCGCCCCCTGCTCGCCTCGACCACCCCCCACGCGCGCATGCTGCCGCTGCAGGCGCATGGTGTGCACTGCATGTCCATGGGCTTCCTCGTTGTCTTCCTCGTGCCTGCTCACGTGGCCGCTGTGTAGCGTGACCAGTGGTGATGGCGGCGGTGGAGAAGCTTGTAAGGGGGACGGAGTGGGGGCGGCTGGAAGTGCTGGTGGTGGACATGCCACTTGTGCTGGTGCTGCCACGGGCAACGTGCAGCACAGCTTGAGCGGATTGGCTGTCAGTTGCGTGGCAGACGGATTGCACGGGCGCAGGTGAGTTGGGAGGGAGGGGAGGGGGGGGGGGTGGGGGGGTGGGGTGGGATGGGATGGGATGGGATGGGATGGGATGGGATGGGATGGGATGGGATGGGATGGGATGGGATGGGATGGGATGGGATGGGATGGAGCGGGAGGGGAGGGAGGAGTTGAGATGGGATGGGATGGTATGAGGCCAGCACTATTGGAGGAAGAGGTGGTGTTGGGTTGGTGCATTGCATGTGCTGGTGGTGACCCCACTGAATGGTCGCTGGGGAGGTGCGCTGTCACACCACACTGCCTGCCCCATGCTCCCAGCACTGCTGATGGTGTCCACACAGCACAGCACCCTGCCCCCACGGATGCCTCGTGACTCGCACTCACTTTCTCGCTCCATCTGCTCGCACTCCTCCACCCTCCTCTCCTCCAGTCGTCTTTTCCGTCTCACCATCCACTGTTCTTTCCCCACCCATTCATCCACCCATGCCCCTCACCAGGAGCGGTGGTGATATCGACACCGCAGGACCTTGAACTGATGGATGCGCGGCGGGGAGTGACCATGTTCCGAAAGCTCAACGTGTTGGTGGGTCATGGTGGAGGGTGACAGGGTGGTGGGTGATGGGGTGGTGGGTGATGGGGTGGTGGGTGATATGGTTGTGGGATGGTGGTTAGTGTACAGTGGGAGTAATTATTTTCCAAATTCCGACAAGTCAACGTGCCGGTGTGTTCTGTGTTGGTGTCATGGTGTGATGCTAGGTGTTGCGGTGGTGGGGTGGTGGGGTAGTTAGCGTGTCGGTGGGGTCATGGCTGATCAGTACTCCTCTCTCTCTCTCACGCCTTCTTTACACAAACTGAGGCACAACGATTCATTTTCTGGTTGTGCATGCTCCAATCCCACTTGTCATCACTCTGCTGCCTTTTCGTACGCCCCTCCCACATCCCACACCACTTGTTCATGGTGGCGTTCAGACAATGTGCTGTGGAAGGATGAAGATGCAGTGAGGTGGAGAAATACAGTGCACAGCAGGGTCTAGGGATGCACATCACTGAAGGCTGACGGCGGGTGGGCACATCACTGGATTGATTTTCGTGCCCAATCACATCCCAGCCCAATCACAGCAGCAGATTGTCAGAACTGATAAGATGGGTAAGGATCTTATTCTAATATTACAGGTGGGTAAGGCCATCTGACAAAATGTTTTCTTGTTGTTGTCCGCTACGCAGAAATAAGCATGTTGGCATGTAACGGCAATAAAACATTCAGTAGTAGAAAACCAAAGAATCTCACAGCAATAAATTTACCAAGCCTTAAAGCTCTCTCATCTGTTATTCCTCTGTCATACGTCCCTCTATTCTGTATTCTCCCTCGACCTCCTACAATCTATGAACTACTGCATACCCTTATCCTTCCCTCCCCTCCCCGCCCCCACCTTCCTTCGCTCTTCCTTCCTTTTCTCAACTTTGCCACCAACCTTCAAGCTTTCCTCACTGCCTAGCATTGTCCTTGCACCTGCCCATGCAACTGACCTCGCCAATCATCTTTCCAACCTGCCCGCATATTTCTTTGTCACCACTCTCTCGGCAACCCTCACAACCACTCTCCTTGCCAATTTTCATGCGACCATCCTTGTTCCCAACCCTGCTCCCATCCTTCCCATTCTTCTTCCCGCTGGTCCTGCCGGGGCATGTGAGCTTGTGGGAGGGCCAGTGCGCCTTTTGGCACTCTCTGCTGCAATACGCCACCTTGCGACACCCACCGCATCTCCTCAGCTTCACTCCGCCACCCTCCACCGTCCCACATCCCGCAGCACCGCACACACGGCCTTGGACACCTGAAGCAGCAGCAGCTGTAGCAGCAGATGCAGCACGGGTGCTATCTGCAGGATGGGTGGAAGCAGCAGGATGGGTGGAAGCAGCAGGATGGGTGGAAGCAGCAGGATGGGTGGAAGCAGCAGGATGGGTGGAAGCAGCAGGATGGGTGGAAGCAGCAGGATGGGTGGAAGCAGCAGGATGGGTGGAAGCAGCAGGATGGGTGGAAGCAGCAGGATGGGTGGAAGCAGCAGGATGGGTGGAAGCAGCAGGATGGGTGGAAGCAGCAGGATGGGTGGAAGCAGCAGGATGGGTGGAAGCAGCAGGATGGGTGGAAGCAGCAGGATGGGTGGAAGCAGCAGGATGGGTGGAAGCAGCAGGATCAGGGCTAATTTTTGGTTTTTGCCAACCCTTACGATCAGTGTTGCACATGTTCAAAACCCTGATTATCAGTGTGACCCCTTGTGGGAAAACTGATTCATCAGGGTTTCTGCTTAGTTTGAACATTCAACCCTGAGGCATCAGTGTACAATGTTCTCGAACCCTGCTGAAATTGTCATTAACAGAGCACACAATAACAAATTTACAGTTTCGACAGTTGGCAATAGGGAATCCCGGGTTACGGGGTAGGGGGGTTAGGGGAAGGGGGGGGGGGGGGGGGGGGGAGGGGGGGAAGGGGGGTGGCGGGGGGTGGCTGGTGCTCGCTTCAGGGTAAAACTCGCTAAGAGGATCGGCAACACTGAGGCGACAGTGTGCCTTATTCGTAAACCCTGGCACATCAGGGGAAATCAAGGTCCCAAAAAAATTACCCTACGGCATCAGTGTTACACCCAAAAACCACCCTGATAATCAGGGTATCAGGGTGATTTACCCTGATAAAATAGGGCCTGAGCAGGATGGATGGGTGGAAGCAGCACGATGGGTGGAAGCAGCAGGATGGGTGGAAGCAGCAGGATGGGTGGAAGCAGCACGATGGGTGGAAGCAGCAGGATGGGTGGAAGCAGCAGGATGGGTGGAAGCAGCAGGATGGGTGGAAGCAGCACGATGGGTGGAAGCAGCACGAGGGGTGGAAGCAGGATGGACAGAAGGGGCAGCACGGGAGGCAGGGCGGTAGCACGGCTCCCCCAGCAGCATCTCTCGCAGACATGCCACCAGATTCACTCCCCCCGGCCACGCCTTCAGATACGCCGGCTCCTCCCCCATTTTGCCCTTCTTCTCACAGCCGCCGCTGCTGCTGCTACCCTTGTTGCTGCTCCCCATGGCAGACCTTCGCTGTCCCTGCAACCCCTCACAGTATCTCGGGATGATCGCCGCTGCAAGAGCCCACGTGATGTCGAACCCCCCTGTAGGCCTCTCCCGCTCTCTGCTGCCGCTGCACTTCTCACTCCCTCCCTCAACCCTCAGGTTCGACATCCATGTCTTCATTGTTGCAAAGTACCACGTTTCCACCTCTTCCCATACCTCTCCACCGTTCGCCTGATCCATCTCACCATCCCAGCAGCCTTGCACCTTCACACTGCCACCTTTTCCCTCCGCCACTCCATTTTTTCGTGCACCTGACTGCACTCCCTGCCCGTTCTCACTGTGCCCTCCCTCAGAACAATCAAGATTCAGAAGAGGACGAGCGCACCACACCGCCATGTGAATGAGGAAGAACAGAGGCACCTGCTCCGCCCGGCTCAGCAGTATATTCAGGTTCAGCGGCCTGGGCAGGCGTGCGGGGAGGTCCAGGCACTCAACCAGCTTGTGGAAGCCAGGGGAGGAGGGAGGGAAGACTGAGAGTACGCGGGAGAACAGCTGGCTGACGGGGCGGTAAGCGAAGTTGGCGATGAGAGCAGCTATGCACACGGATTGCATGAATTCCGCGGAGCAGGTGCTGCAGTGGGTGCAGGCAGGAGGGTCCATGATATACCCGGCAAACCCCACCAGGAAGTCCACGTCTGCCTGGCAGCGAACAATAGGAAGCTTCCTTCTTGGGGGTGGCAGTGTTTCTTTCTGCTCGTCGTTCCCAGATGCTTTGGCTCTTCCACGCGCTCTGCTCTGTATGGATTCCTCCCAAGCTCCTTGCTCTATTGCCCTGGACACTCTCCTCCTTGCACTCCTGCTGTCCCCTCCTGCTTCAGCTATCCTACGCGCCATGCTCCATTCTCCTTCCTGACTACCTCCTTGGCCTTCTGCATTGGATCCTTTCTCCTTTGCACGCCTGCTGTCCCCTCCTGCTTCAGATGTGTGCTGACGAGGAGGATGCCCAATCAGCTTCTCAGCTGCTTCACCACGCTCCTCCACAATCCCAAGCCCAAAACACCTCTCCTTTCGGTTCACAGGAAACTTCACAGCAGCTTCCTCGCCTGCAGGCCACTCCTCCCACTCCAAAGCAATGCTGCTTCCCTCTAGAGGCTTCGGGATGGCGCCGAACCTGACCAGAAGGCTAGGAAGGTCCCGAAGCGGATGGCGCATGGACCTGACCTTGCTCTGAGGGTCGTTTATGAAGCACTGTTTCTCCGAGATGGAATCTGAGCCGTAGACCCGGATCCACTGCAAGATGCATCCAACTCGATAGGTGAGTGCAGCAACCACCGGGTTTGTATTGACAGGCACGAGTCTAGAGTTTGCACTAGGCAGGGCCGCTCCTGCATCTGCCCCTTCTTCTCCATCCATCCCCGTTGTCTGCTCCAGGCAATGCAGCAGCCTCTTCCTGGCCACCTTAACAGCTGCATTCTCTACCTTCATCTTGTTCAAATTGTTCCCATCATGGAAGAACAACCATGCATCCATCCAGTGCTCTGGTTTAGATAATACCGTGGTCACAGCAAGGGCGAAATCGGTCGCATTTACACCACTCACATGCATACCCTTCGGAGCACTGCTGCATCTACTGCTGCTGCCACAACTGCTGATTTTGCTGCTGCTGCTGCTGCCCCCCTCACTGCAGTGGCTGCACCGGAACTCCCTCCCTTCCCCCCCACCATGTTCCAGAATCCACTTCATGCCATCCACATACCTCTCCCACACACGTCCCTTCAGATGCGCCCTCCACTTCACGTCCTTTTGTGCCCTCCCCCACTTGCCAACAACCCCATCCATCTTTACCTTGCTCCCTGCCTCTTCCTCTCCGTGTCTCCCATCCTCCTTCCCATGTGAAGCCTCGCACATGCCCTTCGCCCCCCCATACGTCTTCTCGACAGCCTTCTCCTCAGCCAACCCCATCCCCTTCCCCTTCCCATGCACCTTCTCAGCAGCCTTGCCCCCACCTCCCCCCCTCCCCTGTGCATGCGCATTCTCCAGCCCACCTGACAGCAGTTGTTGCACAAAGAACCCAAACCCTTCCTGCAGATCAGCACTTTCCTTCACCCCCAGCACCTGCACCAGCATGGAAGCGAAATTGTCAATCTCCCCCTGCCTGCTCCCCCCCAGCTCAGTGACAATTGCTGGCCAGGCAGACGAAGACGAGACCAAGTGAGCTTTCCACAGAGTCACAAGGCGAGGGGATCTTGCTACAAGCACAAGGAACGTTGAGACGCTGACAGCACGGCGGTAGGCAGCCCAGCAGCTGCTGCAGCGCCAGCAGCAGGACCACACTAGAGAAGCAGCAGGAGCAGGAGGAGCAGCAGGAACAGGAGGGGCAGCAGCAAGGGCAGCAACAGGAGCAGCAACAGGGGCAGCTGGAGAAGCTGTTGCATCCAGGATAGCCGGCAGACGAGATCTGATCTTCTGCAGGTTCATGAGCACACCCACACAAGGCTCAGCCATCCACTCGAGAAACATCCGTTCCGCGCAAAGGCGAGGCGCCCTGTCGGGTTTCCACGCAAATAGCACCTGAGAAGACATTGCATGATGCTGCTGCTGCTTGGGATCTGCTGCGGGGATGCAACAAGGCTGCTGCGCGCGCAGGTGGCGACGCAAGTCCTCCAGGTTCTTCATGCCAAGAGCCCGCTGTGCTCGCTGGCTCACTGCACGGTCAAAGCAGCACGCGCACAGATCCTCATCCCACCCGCTTGTCACGTTCAAGTAATGAACCATGTCCGCCCGAGACAGCAGCTGAAGTGGCTTTGAACTTTCCTCCACTAATGCTTTCCCTGCTGCTCCTCCGGTTGCTCCGGTGGGCTGTCCCGCTCCATCCGGGTCATTCTGGACTGCAGAACCATGTGCGCTTTGCAACACCCCAGGATTTTTCATCCGCTCTTCCAATTTCATCATGAAGTGCACCAAGCGTGCTATTTTCGCGTCATTATCCTCTTCTTCCTCTGCTGCCTTCTCTGCTTCCCCTCTGTTTGCGCCAGTGAATTGACCACCCTGCTCGTACAGTCCTGGCCCCAGCAAGGCATCCAGAACTTGCAGCCGCTCTTCCAATTTTTGAAGCTCTAACCACTGTTCATGTTTGGCAGCACCTTCCTTCACCTCTTCCTTGCCCTTGCTACTGCCAGCATCAGAATCACTGGAATTCAGCTCTGCTCCACCAGTTCCTGTCGGGACTCCTCTCATTGGCTTGGGCCTCTCGTCTTCCTTGGTACTAGGCATGATGGGATCCAGTTGGGTGAAATAACCAATAAACGTAGCAGCAAGATTCTACAAAGTGAGAGGGAACGAAGGACGACACACACCAGTAGCAGATTCAACACCAGCAGCTTCCCCCAACTGATCAGATTTTGTCTCGCCCTTACCCATGCACTTTTTCCAGTGAGGACTCGTTGCTGGTTGTACCTGCAGTGAGCTTGGATTGCTCAATTGTCAAAGGAAACGGCAAACTTGCTGCCCAAGAATCACGAACGAAACCTGTTGCTTCAAATTCGTGAAAGTTTGCTCTGCCGCTTTATCATGACCTAAATGCTGCTGACGTCTCGCATGGCAGGCAGCAGTAGTGCAGGTGGGACTGAAATAGTCGGGTTGAAAACCGTCAACAGAAGTTCGACAGGAGCAGCAGTAAGAGACATCTACCTGTGCTGCGTTCGTCTTAAATTCCGAAGCTGTTGGGACCAAATGGAGGGATTTCATTCGTGACACATCCTGCGGACTCGCCGAAATTGATATCGCCGAAAGCCATGACGGGAGATGCTGGATTCGAATAAAATTGCTAATTTCAAGTTCAAGCAGAAACTTTGCTGATTCAGATCTGTCGGTTTCACTGGAACGGAAAAGGCCCGTTACACGCTCTCTCGATCCCTGACTGAAGTTCAACGAGATTGCCGAGTAAGCTGAAGCTGTGAGACCAATCAAATCAACGCTTTGCGATTCATGCGACGTGCGACGCGTTCTCATGCCCGAGGCAAGCGAGGAGTCGACTGTGACCATCGTTCCGGGGAAGCATCAATCACGTTTAGTCTCATGGGGTAGAAAAGTGCTGGACAGTTCATTCTGATCGCATACGCTGCTGACATCCCACCGTAAATGCGTCCTCTAAACACGTTCGATGTTGTCATGGGAAGTCAAGTCCAATGAAGATGTGACTGGAAAGTGCGATCCAACCGTCCGTTTCCGCACAAGACTAATCGGGTGTGAAATAGACTTGACGATCTGCTGATGTAACCTAGATCGTCTCGATCGAGAGGACCTAGATTGTTGTTCAGTGACCAGCTTTGATGTTGACATGGCTGAAACACCATCTTGTTGCCTGATGAGAGCCTTCGGCTGAAGTCAGGATGGTTGGTTTCCAAATCCCAAGGTCCTGCCGCAGAAGGTGTTGGCGAAGGCGTTGTTCAAGAAGACCTCGACACGTTTTGGGCGAAAGCGAAACGGAGTGGCGAGGAACTACAGCTCTCGCCTCGCCACACAACATTCTTAGTCCTCGTTTGTGAGTCAAATTGAAAAGAGTAGTGACGGCTTGACACAACTGTACCGAAACGTAAATTGTGCCACAGCAAAAACGCCCTGCAAAAAACTTGATGTTGTGCTTGAAAATTGATGGTCTCGCTCCTTGGCCCCTCCCCCACACCTTCGCCCCCTCACTTCCCGCCCTGCCTTCCCATACCCTCCCAAGCTATTTGTTCACTCGAAATCAGAAAGTATTATTGTTTCGTTTGCCTCTGATCGTCACTCCCACTTAGTTCCTCGCCGCTGCGGCACACCAGTCGCATTTCAAGATCGCATTTCAGAGCCACTTTTCAGGATCGCATTTCTGACCCTGGTAGGAACAAGGTGCAGTAGAAGCAGCGGATTCAGGGGATGTGAAGCAGATCGCATTTACTTTTGCCCCATGGCATCCGCAAAGAACAGATGAGAGAGGATGAACGGCTGGAACCTTTGCGGCGATTTGCGCGGCGAGGCGCAGCGCAGAAAGCGCAGATGCTGTGCTGAGAAGGGCGCAACGACGGAGAACTGGGAAATCGCAGAGGCGGGGGTTGGGGAAACGAGGGAGTTCGGCGGAGGCGGAATGCATGCGCGGAGGCGGCAGGTCGACGTGGCGATGCGCGCGAGCGGCATGATGGGCGGAGGAACAGGGAGCGCGGAGGAGCTGTCGTTAGAGGCGCGCCGTGGAGGTTGGCGTGACGGCGAGACTGGGGGAGAGGCTTGGGCAGATGGAGGAGAGAAAGAGAGAGGAAGAGAGGGAGAGAGTGAGAGAGGAAGAGAGGAGGTTGAGGGACGAAGATTTGGAGAAAGTGTGAGAAGAGAGGAGGGTGAGAGACGAGAGGAAGAGAGAGGAAGAGTGTAAGAGGTTGAGGGAGGAAGAGAGGAAGAGAGTGAGAGATTACGAGAGGAGGAGACAGGTAGTACGAAACAGGATGAGAGAGGAAGAGAGGAAGAGGGTGAGGAAGGAAGAGAGGAACAGAATGAGAGAATAAGGAAGGAGACTGGGAGAGGAAGAGGCGAATGCGAGAGAGAGGGCGACAGGAAAGGAAGGCTAGAAATGAGGACGAAGAGGAGTGAAGAGGTATTGAAATCAGCGTAGAGTGAGGCGGAGAGGGCGGTGGTGGGGTTGGAGGCGAGCATTGATCAGAAGGTGAACAAGATACTGCTGCAAGCAGTGATGGCTCGCCGCTCCGTGGAGGCGGGGACGCCGTTTCAAGCGGCTGGTACAGGGCGCAAGCGAGGTCGCACGGGGCTCATGACTCTGCTGCTGCACACCGCATAAGGGAGGTGCGTGCTGTCGGGCCTACCATCCCATCCCATGCCACACATCCGATTGCTCCCATCCCGTTCCCCCATCCCGTTCCCCCCATCCATTCTCCCAGTCGGTCCCCCATCACTCCCCCAACACTCCCCCATTGCTCCCCCATCGCCCCCCCATCGCTCCCACATTGTTGCCCCCATTTCTCTTAATGCGGCAGCACCTGCTAGCCCATGCAATCTCCCTCTTCCATAACTACCGCACTCGTCTGCCCCTTTCCACTTCTTCGCCTCTCCCCTCATGTGCGTTTCTGGCAGCACCTGGCAACGGTTTCAGTCAGCCGATACAGAGGTGGCGAGAGGGGTGGTCCCTCTCATCACCTCCCATTATTCCCATTAGCCCTTCTCATCGTTACCGATTTTCAACCCCTACGACTCTTGTGTTTTCCCTGGCAGCACCTGCCATGCAGAGGCCGCGAGAGGGGCAGACATGCAGCTTCTGTCATCGCTCCCCTTTGCTACCAGTTCTCAGCGCTCGCAGGGGTACGGCAAATGATGCAGACGATGCGGCAAAGCCAGGGGCAGGCGCAGGGAAGCATGCGGAAGCTGCGCGGGGTCAGCGGGGGAGATTGCGTTCGCGGCGGAGCAGGTGCGAAGGGCGCAGAAGGAGCGGGGTGCGGTGATGAGGGGTGACGGCGGTGACGCTGGCGGAACAGGGCAGGGGCGGAGAGGAGAGGAGGGCGCGGAATGTATTTGGGGGGGATCGGGGGGGGACAGGGGGGTGGGTGGGGGAGGAGCAGGGTAGCGAGGGCAGAGTAGTGAGGCAGGCAGGCAGCGCTGGGCAGTCCACGCTGTCGGGGCCAATGCAGTTGCAGGGTGGTCGCAGCCTGGTGAGAAGCACCTGCAGCCGCAGTGGTCACAGCAAAGGGTGCAGCAGGGGCAGGGTAAGGGGGGGCGTGAGCGTTGGCAGGGTGTGTTAGCGGGAGTGGGCGGCGGAGAGGCATGGGCGAAAGTGGCGGAGGTGGGTTCGCAGCTTCCGCAGTGGCTGCTGGGAAAGGCGGCGCCTGCGCCCCTGTCCCCATCCCCATCCGCTCCCTCGCGCCCATCTCACTCCGTCAGCACAAGCCACGGTATGCCATCGCCGCCCCTCTCCTCCCCAGCCCCCGCCTACCCCAGCTTCGTACCCGCCAGCCACACCATGCCGGTAGGGCCTTCCGCACCCCGGGGCCACGCCATTCCCCCCTCCATCTCCGCTTCCCCGGCTGCCCCCATGCCCGCTCCCTGTGCGGCCACTGCTCCCAACGCCCCTCCACACACAGCGCGTTACAAGGCCGGCCAGTGGCAGCAACAGCAGCAGGTGTGGTGAGGAGAATATCCCTGTCAATACCACAGCAGCCGCAGCAGCCGCTGCGGGTTCTTGTGGAGGCAAGCTTACCACTCTCCCGCTGCCGCCCCTCCTTCTCTTTCCCCGTCCCGGTCGCCCGTCAAACCCCTCCCCCCCCTTCTCCTACCACCATCCCCCTGGTCCCTCCCGCGCATTCCCCATCTCCCTGCCGCCACGCCCCTCCCAGCCGACATGCCCCTCCCTGCCGAGCTTCCCCTGCTGGAGAAGGAGCGCCTCAAGGCCGGGCTGCGGCGTTCTCAGCGCCATGGCTGTAGCCTCCTCCACCCGCTCCTCATCCTGCGGCAACTTGCCGGAGCGAAGGGGAAGGCGAGAGGGCATGGGAGACGGCGGCGGTGGCGGCAGCACCGCGGTGGCTGATGGACGAGCTGGCAGTGCAGGGCGTGGACAGCGGAGAGAGAGGGGAGGGGGGGAAGGGGAGTGGGGGAGGAGATGAGGGGGAGGGGGAAGGGGAGAGCGCAAGGGAGAAGGTGCGCGGGAGCGGGGCGTGCGAGTGAGTGGGCTGGAGAGGCGCGTGGTGAGCCGGCGGTCGCCGACCAACGAGCAGTGGGCGGTCGAGGTGAGTCCTTGCTGCTACTACTGCTGCTACCGCCACCGACGCTGCCGCAGCTGCTGCTGCTACTTGTGTGTGAATCTTGCTGCCTCTCCTCTCTGTCCGCCGCAGTTTCAGGCCCCATGCGCCACACCCTTGTTCAGCCGTGTCTGCTTCTCCAATCCCCTCTCCCCGGCCCCACTGCTCTCATCTCATCTTCCTTCTCCTTCCCTCCCCCATTCCTTGCCCTTCCTCCCTGCTTCCCCCTCCTCTCGCTTCTCCATGTCCCGCCTCCAGCTCTTTGCTCTCCCTGCCTCACCACTCTGTGCCGCTGCCCGCCCAAGTGAGCCCAGTGGCATCCGCGCGTGCCTGCCGCCTGCTCCTTCTTGGGACCGCTTCGTCTGGGCGCCGCAAGCACCGGGGGCGAAGGAGGGGCAGTCAGAGGGAGGAGTGAGAGGCAGCGAGCGTGGGATGGGGTAGCAGGGGGGGGGGGCGGGGGGGCGCGGGCGAGAAATGGGAGGAAGGGGGCAAGAGTTGCAGGGGGGGACGCGTATACTGGCGGCCGTGGTGGCGCAAATGGTGGCGGGGTTTGTGTCAGCACGTTGCTTCATCGACCGCCCTCCCACGCTCCTGGGGTATGTTTCGCACATGTAAGACCACTGTGACTGCCCCCCACGCATGCATCCCGCACCACGTGTCTGCAGTCTACTCAGTACCAGTTTCTCCACTGTGCCTCGCATTCGCCCCACCCGATCCTCGGCTCCCCTCTTTCTCCCCCCGCTGCCCATGCCAGGCCCCTTGCATCAGCCCCTCCGCCGCACGCCTCGCCCGCACCAGCAGCATTAGCTCCTCTGCTGCGTGGCCCCCATACGCTGCTGCCCTGGGGGGGAACACAGGCGGGAGCACAGGCGGGAGCATGGGGGTGGGGGGGAGTGGGGGGGATGGAGGGCAGCTTGGGTCAGAACATGTGGGGGAGCATGAGCAGCATTTTGATCAATAGGAGCATGCGTGCTGGCATAGAGGCGGCGGGTGTGAGGGGAGTAGCAGCGGCGGAGAGACAGGAGCGCTCGGGCATGGAGGGAGTGCGGCGGCCAGCAACAGGCTCGCCCCAGCCTTGCGACTCATGAGCCACCTCGTTCCAAACTCCCCCGGGGGTAGTCCCCCAGGTCAGGGGATGGATTTAGCATGTCTTACGCTCCTCGCCAACCTCAACCAACGGAGAATCTCTGAAACTGAGGTCTTGAATGCATGCGATTTGGCTTGGAACGTGTGTAATAGAAAACCTGCACAGCCCGAGTTGCTCTGGTTTCCTATCAGCGCCATGGTCTCAAGCTGACCCGAGTTGCGTGCGAGTCTACTTCAGGAATCTTCGTTTTCAACTCAAAGAGCACCTCAAACGGCCAGGCCACGAGCCCCTTCGCTCACTCATGGTATAGGATTCCCCACCATTTTTCTTCTCCCTTGCACTATAACTTCAGGTCCCGCGTGGTGTGCTCACTCCGTCTTCTCTCACCCCGCCTGGCTGTGGTAAGGAGAAACAAGCCACGGAAGCAACCAATAATGGATTCGGTTCTATCCAGTGTGAGGATGTGTATTCGCTGGGTGAGGTTGCATATTTCATGCCATGCTGAGCTGAGATCTTTGACTCGTCGTCATTCCTGGTCCGCATCCTCATGCAGCCTCGTATCTTGCTCACTTCCTACTCTTGGGATCCCTTCTGGCCTATCCATCGCTGCCGCGTTTTGCAACCCTCACCTACCTACTTGCATTGATGTAAAGGTGTGATGGGAGCGTCAAATTCTGCTTATACAATGAAGACATTTTTGTTTGGAGAAACTCGAAACAGATAAGGCCACTCTGTCTTTGCTTTTCTACTTTTCTTTTTCTCTCCCCTCCTTTCTCTTGCACGACAATTCCCTTTTCAGAAACCGTTTTTCTGATACCACCGCTGTTCTTGGGACCTTCTGGCTGCTCTGCTCATTCAGCTCGCGTCATTTGGCTGATTGTTCATCACCTTCGTACCAGCCCCTCTGTGTACCTCTCCAACCTGGTCATCTTCTCCCTTGCCTGACCCTTTGGTTCCTCTCTCTGGGTCCGCGCTCGCTTGTTCTTAAGCTTCCTTTTCACCCTTTCAGCAACTCTCCGCTTGTCTCTACTTTCCCATCCCCTTGTTTGTGTCCTTCATGGCTCGTGAGTCGGAATGAACCATGAAGGAGCATAGGGTTCATTCCGACTCGTGTGTGACTTCACACGACTACCCTATGCAGTCCTTTCCGCCTCATGGGTCGCCTTCACTCTTTGTATTCATTTCTGCGTGCGTGTGTGTATGAATGTACTAGAATGAAAAAACTCACCCATGCGGCCTCGCCCTTTCTGGCTAGCTTCTGCTGGCGCCTACAGGAATACATGGGCGAGAGGGGCACCTCCTTAACCTGTAACGGATGGGTATGTAGGAAATGAATATAGGGGGAGAAGACATACAGTCTATTACATATATAATGCTTTTAAAGGAATGAATATAGGGGGAGAAGTTCTAGGAGGGTTCCCAATTTCAGAATTAGGGAATAGATTCCATGGGTGGGAGATCCATAATGGTTGTGCATGTGTGGTGTACATCACAACCACGACCCTGTACTGGGAACCAAAGCACAAATACAGTAGGGAACAAACGGATCTGGCCCCTGCGGGGTGAAAGTGTTATCAGAGCGAGGTTTCGATACTCGGACCTGTGGGTTATGGGCCCACCACGCTTCCGCTGCGCCACTCTGATGTGTTTAAGACGTCCCTTTTTTTTATCCCTTTTGGGACTTCTACTCTCCTTGCTCCTCCTGGCCTTCCCTTGTTCTAATGCCGTCTGACTTCATGCCAAATGCATGAGTGTGCTTGATCCAGACTTGTGTTCTACCTGCTCGACTTGTGTTCTACCTGCTCGACTTGTGCTCTACCTGCTCGACTTGTGTTCTACCTGCTCGACTTGTGTTCTACCTACTCTCCATTTGCTTTTGCTCTTCATCTCCTCTCTTACCCACATTAACCCATCCTCCCTCACGTCCATGAGATGTCTGTGCATTGACTTCCCCCCTTCTCCCCCCTATCTTCTTCCAGTTTCCTCATGATACTTGACCCTACCCTACTCGGACCTTGGCTGCATTCTCCAGGCTGCAGAAGTGGTTGAATGCAAGGATAGGTTATTGAAGATATGGCTGCTGAGAGGGTGATGGGTACACTGATTGATGTGGTCAAAGAGGCAGTTCTGGCAGCAGTGAGGGAGGAGCTGGGTGCACACAAGGAGGAGGTGGATGAGCTGCGGCACATGTTGACAGCAGTGGAGGAGAGGAATGGGGTAACTGCTGCTGCGATGGAGGAGAGGGAGAGAGAGTTGGTGGCAGTTAAGGGGGAGTTGGCAGCAGTTAGGGGGGAGTTGGCAAAACACAAGGAGCAGTGGGCTGAGAGTAGTAGGGCATCTGATGTAAGAGGGCTGAGAGGGAAGAATAGAAAACGAAGGAAAGAAGTGACAGCGGAGTGTGCGCGGGAGGAAGAGAGGAGGAGGGAGGTGCAGAAGTTGAATCAGCCATGTGCCACGGAGGAATGGACAGCCCATAAGGAACGGCAGATGATGCAAGATCTCAAGATGGATATTGAGCTGGAAATCAGTCAGAGTGAAGGGAAGAAAGCATTGGAGGTGGGTGCTTACTGAGCATGCATTGCTTGCTATTTCTAGTCTCTGTAGATATCCCTGGCAGAGTTAAGGCGATTGAGTGGAAGGGGGGTAGATGGAAGGGGGGAGATGGAAGGGGGGGGAGATGGAAGGGGGGTAGATGGAAGGGGGGTAGATGGAAGGGGGGGAGATGGAAGGGGGGTAGATGGAAGGGGGGTAGATGGAAGGGGGGGAGATGGAAGGGGGGAGATGGAAGGGGGGTAGATGGAAGGGGGGAGATGGAAGGGGGGGAGATGGAAGGGGGGTAGATGGAAGGGGGGGAGATGGAAGGGGGGTAGATGGAAGGGGGGTAGATGGAAGGGGGGAGATGGAAGGGGGGTAGATGGAAGGGGGGTAGATGGAAGGGGGGTAGATGGAAGGGGGGTAGATGGAAGGGGGGTATATGGAAGGGGGGTAGATGGAAGGGGGGTAGATGGAAGGGGGGTAGATGGAAGGGGGGTAGATGGAAGGGGGGAGATGGAAGGGGGGGAGATGGAAGGAGGGGGGATGGAAGTGGGGGAGATGGAAGAGGGGGAGATGGAAGGAGAGGAGATGGAAGGGGGGTAGATGGAAGGGGGGTAGATGGAAGGGGGGTAGATAAAAAGAGGGTAGATGGAAAGAGAGGAGATGGAAAGGGGGGAGATGGAAGGAGGGGAGATGGAAGGGGGGGAGATGGAAGAGGGGGAGATGGAAGGAGGGGAGATGGAAGGGGGGGAGATGGAAGAGGGGGAGATGGAAGGGGGGGAGATGGAAGAGGGGGAGATGGAAGGAGAGGAGATGGAAGGGGGGTAGATGGAAGGGGGGTAGATGGAAGGGGGGTAGATAAAAAGAGGGTAGATGGAAGGAGAGGAGATGGAAAGGGGGGAGATGGAAGGAGGGGAGATGGAAGGGGGGGAGATGGAAGAGGGGGAGATGGAAGGAGGGGAGATGGAAGGGGGGGAGATGGAAGAGGGGGAGATGGAAGGGCATGTGAAGGAATGGGAGGAGGACGAAGGGGAGTTGAAGGAAATGCGATGCATGAGAGGCGACGTATGAGAGGCTGTGTGCGAGAGGCTGTGTGGGAGAGGCCATGAGCAGTCGTCGATGTGGTGTGGGGATGATGTATGCGGGAGTCACTGGAAGGACTGTGATGGACCGCTGAAGGCGGGGGGGGGGGGGGGAGGTGGGGGGGGAGGACGGGGCGCTGAAGGGGGGCCTGCTGATGGGGCTAACGGAGAAACAGAGCAGGTCGAGCATGCTTTAGAGCTCCGAGGGGATCTCGGGAAATTCTCTCAAATATCCATTAAGTCCCCCTTCCCGTCCCGCTCCAGTTCTTTTGTTCCCATTTCATGCTTACGCTTTCTTCCAGCCTTCCCCTCATCCGTGACCCCTCCAGCCCCGCTGTGCTCCTGCTTGCTTCTCAAACCCACTCGCACAGGCACACTGCTCGCCAAGGCACCACCCTTGACTTGAACCATCTCGAATTCTTCCCTTACGCCCCCTGCTTACCCTCACGCGCTCTCCTTTCACTCACCCCTTCCACCTCTTTTTCCCCCTCGCCCCGTACTCCCTTCCTCTTATCTTACCCTTTCCCCTTCCTTTACCCCACCCCTCCACCCTCCCTTTACCCTTCCCTTTCCCCTTGCCCGATTCCACTTCCCTTACCCGTTTCCCCTTCCCTGACCCACTCCCCTTCCGCTCACCCCTTCCCTGTCTCCTTTCCCATTCCCCCTCCTTTTACCCCCTCCGTTTCTCCTTACAAACTCCCCCTCCCCTTCACATGTACCGCCCTTCTCTTTTCTCCTCTCCTCAACCCCTCCCCTGACCCCAATCTCCTACCGCGACGCCAGGCTCTGCCGTGGCCCATCTCGCGACCTGTCCCTGTTGAATCCGCGCGATTCGGTTGGATGTGCATGCACAGGCGTCAACACGAATGTCAAGCCGGATGGTGACCATGCCTCGACTCACGAGGATGATGCCTCACGAGGAAGATGCCTCACCAGGATGATGCCTCACCAGGATGATGCCTCACGAGGAAGATGCCTCACCAGGATGATGCCTCACCAGGATGATGCCTCACCAGGATGATGCCTCACCAGGATGATGCCTCACCAGGATGATGCCTCACCAGGATGATGCCTCACCAGGATGATGCCTCACCAGGATGATGCCTCACCAGGATGATGCCTCACCAGGATGATGCCTCACCAGGATGATGCCTCACCAGGATGATGCCTCGCACCCACCGCTGCACCACCGCCAGCGGCGCTGCTGCCAGAAACGTAATGATTGCCCCCCCCAAGTGGTGCACTTGCGTCCTCCACACTCTTGTCCCCTGCCTGCTGGAACCTTCATGTATTCTGGACCCACTTCATGTATCCCGCCCGCACTTCATCTCCCCTCCTCCGCCCCAGCTCCGCACATGCTTTTCCTACACCCACTCGCTCCCCTACGGCGCAGGCACATTGTTCACTCTCATCATGGGCTCATCATGGGTTAGCAGTGGATGCGTAGCAGGTCACTGTCAGGTCGCTCTCAGGTCGCTCTCAGGTCGCTCTCAGGTCGCTCTCAGGTCGCTCTCAGGTCGCTCTCACGTCACTCTCAAGTCACCCTTGATCTCATCTCCCCGTCATCCCAATACCCCATCACCTCATTACCCCATCACCTCATTACCCCATCACCTCATTACCCCATCACCTCATTACCCCATCACCTCATTACCCCATCACCCTATTACCCCATTACCACTCCCATTATCTTATCACCCCATCACTCTCTTACCCCGTCATTCTAATACCCCGCCCTCCTACTACCCCATCCTCCCATTACCCCATCCTCCCACTACCCCATCCTCCCATTACCCCATCCCCCCATTACCCCATCCTCCCATTGCCCCGTCCTCCCATTACCCCAGTGAGGAGCTTTGCTCAACGATGGCAATTTCTGACCACGTGGATGCTGCTGAATGGAAGTCTGCTGCTGCTGTTCTCCAAAAGTGACCGCACGATCTTATCCTTCTTGTTCTTGCCCATTGTTTTCCGAGTATCACATCACAATACGACACAATTCTTCTGCTGCTGAACAACAGTTTGCTGGTTTTGTCTCCCGGGAGCTGCGGCACGTTCGCGTTGTCACAACCCACGGATTTCTACGGCATTTGCTCATCTGGCAGTAGGTCAAGAACCTTGTCTTTTGAATTGCAGTTGTAGTATCTGTTCTGTACTTTCAGTTCAGCATGATTTATACGCCCATCCAGCAGCGAGCGAACCTTCATTCGTCTGCATTGAACTTGCAACATCTGGCACCAGATGACTAAAGTACCGTATGTACACAATGCAAGCAAGTCACAGGCATCTTGCGAGTCCGCACACTTGACAACTTTGACATGATGCTACGCAAGCAGTGCGATTGCACAAGTCCAAAGGGAGCAGAGCACAAGCTGGCATGTCAAGGGATGACCGAGGCCTGCAGGCAGAGGGGAGTAGGGGGAATAAGAAGAGTGGGGGGGATGAGAGGAGTGTGCAGTGTAAGAGTAGTGATGGGTATGAGAAGAGTGATGGGTATGAGAAGAGTGAGGGGTATGAAAAGAGTGCTGTCTGTGAGAGGGGTGGGGGATGTGAGAGGAGTGGAGGGTGATAGGAGTGGGGGGTATGAGTGAAGTGAGGGGTGTGAGAGGAGTGGGAGGTATAAGAGGAGTGAAGGCTGTGAGAGGAGTGGGGGTTATGACAGGGGTGGGGAAGTTGCAACAAGGGACTGAAGGCCCACTATTGCACGCATTGGGTGCTTCAGGCCTGTCGAGAGCAAGAGTGGGTGAGGGATGAAGGGGTTAGCACGTGCAGAAAAATGTTAAGTGGTGAAAAATGCAGGGCAGGAGGAGACAGGAATGGCAGAACGGGGATGGAGAGAAGGGCGGGTGAGGGGACAGAGGAGGGAGACGGACTCGCGCTATATGACCCACAAAATTGAAACGGACTCGTCCATAAATCGATCCCATCAGGTGCCATGCAAGTGACTGCCAAGACACAGACATAACAGCCAACTCCTTTGCAAAAAACACCAAGCAGGAGCTAGTAGTTCAGAAACAGAGCCTGTACCACAACAATTACATTGAACAACGATTCTAACAGCAGGAACCCCGCACATCCTCCCCACTTGCAAACAGCCAAGGGGCGTCAGCAAGCACATGGCAGCTCAAGGGGCGTCAGCAAGCACATGGCAGCTCAAGGGGCGTCAGCAAGCACATGGCAGCTCAAGGGGCGTCAGCAAGCACATGGCAGCTCAAGGGGCGTCAGCAAGCACATGGCAGCTCAAGGGGCGTCAGCAAGCACATGGCAGCTCAAGATGCGTCAGCAAGCACATGGCAGCTCAAGGGGCGTCAGCAAGCACATGGCAGCTCAAGGGGCGTCAGCAAGCACATGGCAGCTCAAGGGGCGTCAGCAAGCACATGGCAGCTCAAGGGGCGTCAGCAAGCACATGGCAGCTCAAGGGGCGTCAGCAAGCACATGGCAGCTCAAGGGGCGTCAGCAAGCACATGGGATCACTGGCTTAGGTTCCTCTTGTCACACCTGCTAGCGGATCTCTGAGTAAAACAATGGAATTTGCGCATCGCAGATTTACGGCAAAACGCAGACCTGCCTTTTGCATCCGGTTCATCTCTCACCTTCACCTTACCTCCCTCCTGCCACTCCCTCTCACGCCTTCACCTCCCTCCTGCCACTCACCTTGCCACTGTTCGTCCCACTCTTCTTGCTGTTGCTCCTGCCTAGGCATGTGAGCTTGTGGGAGGGCCAGTGCGCTTTTTGGCACTCTCTGCTGCAATACGCCACCTTGCCACACCCACCGCAGCTCCTCAGCTTCACACGACCACCACCCCCAACAGTCCCACACCTCACAGCACCGCACACACGCTCCCCACCAGCAGCAGAACCAGTGCCTCCTGTAACCGAAACAGGTGCACTTGCATGGTTTGGCGCAACACCGGTGGGTGGGGCAGCAGGGGTGGACGAGGAAGCAGAGGTGGTAGGAGCAGCAGAGGTGATAGGAGCAGCAGAGGTGGTAGGTGCAGCAGAGGTGATAGGAGCAGCAGAGGTGGTAGGTGCAGCAGAGGTGGTAGGAGCAGCAGAGGTGGTAGGAGCAGCAGAGGTGGTAGGAGCAGCAGAGGTGGTAGGAGCAGCAGGGGTGGTAGGGGCAGCAGAGGTGGTAGGAGCAGCAGGGGTGGTAGGGGCAGCTGGGGTAGAAGGGGGAGCGGGGGTGGAAGGGGCAGCAGGGGTGGACGGGGCAGCAGGGGTGGAAGAGGCAGCAGGGGTGGAAGGGGCAGGAGGGATGGAAGGGGCAGCAGGGGGGCCACGGCGGTAGCACGGCTCCCCCAGCAGCATCTCTCGCAGACATGCCACCAGATTGACTCCCCCCGGCCATGCCTTCAGATAAGATGGCTCCTCCCCTTCCTTGCCTGTCCCATCATCCCCCCTGGTCCATCGATTCCCACTGTTTCTGTCATTTTCGCGATTATTGCTACTTCTTCCGAAGCTGTCGCTGCGATTGCTGCTCTTACTATCATCCTGCATGTCTTCAGAAAACCTCGGGATGGCAGCCCTTTTCCAAAACTCAAGCCATTTCTTACTCGTAATCTCCTTCTGCTCCCCTACATCCCGACCGGCCTTCTCCTTTCTTCCCTTGCACGTGTCACGCAATGCCTCAGCCTCGAGCTTCATGCCGCCCTGCCATGCAAACTCCATCGCCAGGCACCACATTTGCACCTCCTCCCACACCCTCCCGTCCTCTTCCTCTCCGACTCGCAGCCTGTGTAGATACTTCAGGTCAGTGATTCCCAAGATAAGGGAAGCACATTTTGGAGCCACCGCCACCAGGAAGAGCACAGGATCCTGCTCTACCCGAGCCTGCACCACAGGCGACCTTAGAAAGCCAGGCAGGCTGGCAGGGAAAGGCGGCAGACCCATACGAGCAGCGAGCCGGTCGAATTCGGGAGAGAGAGGAGGGAAGATGGATACGAAGCGGTTGAAAAGGGTGGTGACAGGTCAGTAGGCGTAGTTGGCGATGACCATGACAAAGGGGATGTTACGGCTATAGACATCAAGGCAGTGCTTGCACTGCGCACATGCAGGTGGCTTGACTAGATTCCCGGCAAACTCCACTAGGAACTCGGCATCGGCAGTGCAGCGAACGATGGGAAATTTCCTCTGCACTAGCGGCAGCAGCCAGGTGAGAAGCTGCTGTAGCAGCCTCTCGTCTTCGCTCCTCCCCAATTCTCCGATTCTCTCTTCTTCCCTTTTCCCGCTGCTCATTCCCTCCCGCTTGCCCTTCTCTTTGTCTCTTCCTTGCCCCCTCCCAGTCCAAATCTCGCCTCTTGCAATTGACCCCTGTCCGCCCTTCTCTCCTGCCCCACGCTCCTCTGCTGTCCCACTCGCTTCCTCCAATATCCCCAGGTGGAAGCATCTCGCACTAACGTCATCAGGAAGCTTTGCAACGGCTTCATCTCCACGAGGCCACTCTTCCCACTCCAAAGGGAACTCGCCTTGGTCCAGAGGCTTGGGTATGGTGCCGAGCCTGACCAGCAGGCTCGGAAGGTCCCGAAGCGGGTGACGCATGGGCCGGACCTTCCTCTGGGGGCTGTCCTTGCAACACTGACTAGCAGGGACGATTTCAGACCCATAGGTGCGGGCCCACTGCAGAATGCGGGCAGCACGATACGTGAAGACTGCAACGACAGGGTTTGTGTTCACAAGAGTGTTGGCAATTGATGCTGCCACTGCTGGTGGTGACACTGATGCTGGTGGTAGCGCTGATGCTGCGGTTCCCACACCTCTGCCTGCTGCCCCTCCTTCACCCCGTGCCTTCTGTCTCAGCCTCTCCCTGGCCGTCTCAACAGCTGCATCCTCAACCCTTGTCTTACTCGCAATGTTGCCGTCCTGGAAGTAAAAGTCACTTTCCTTGCAGTACTCTGGCCTGGACAGCACAGCAGCAACGGAAAGAGCAAAGTCGGTCGCACCCACGCCACTCACATACATGCCCTTGGGATATTTCGTCGCGCCCACACTGCTGCTGCTGCCACCGCTACCAATGCAGCTGCTGCTGCTGCCCCCTCTCACTGCAGTGGCTGCACCGGAACTCCCTCCCTTCCCCCCCTCCGTGCTCCAGAATCCAAGCCATGCCATCCACATACCCCTCCCACACACGCCCCTTCAGATGCTCCCTCCACTGCCCACCCTTCCCATTCCTCCCATCCTTGCCACCACCGTCCATGCTTCTCCAAGTCCCTTCCAAACGTCCATCCTTCTCCATCTGCCCTGCTCCTCCTACAACTCCTCTCCCGCCTCTCCCCTTTCTCTCTGCATGTGCATCCTCCAGCCCGCCCGACAGCAGATTCTGGATGAAACTTCCAGATCCTTCCTTCAGTCCCCTGCCTGCTCCCCCCTTCCTCCCTGCATGCGCCTTCTCCAGCCCGCCTGAAAGTAGATTCTGCATGATAATGCCAAACCCTTCCTCCAGCTCCCCGGTTTCTTTCACTCCTAGGATCTGAACCAGAATCGAAGCGAAGGTGTCCGTCTCATTCTGCCTGCCTGCCCCTAGCGCAGTCACAATGGCTGGATAGGACTTCGATTTTGCAGCATGAGCTCTGCATAGAGTCACGAACCGGGAGCACCTTGATACAAGCACGAGGGTGGCAGCGAAGCTGACAGCACGGCGGTAGGCAGCCCAGCAGCTGCTGCAGCGCCAGCAACAGGACCATGCTGCAGCAGCAGGGGAAGATGCAACAGCAGGAGCAGCAAAAGCAGCAGATGCAGCAGCAGCTGTAGGAGAAGCAGAAGCAGCAGCAGCAGCAAGAGCAGCAGGAACATGAGCAGAAGAGGTGGAGGCCTCGTTAAAAGCATCTCCAGCGCCCAGAATGTCAGGCAGGCGGGATCTGATCCTCCGCAGGTCCATGAGCACGCCCACACGAGGCTCAGCCATCCACTCGAGAAGCATTGCTTCTACACAAAGCAAAGCGGCCATTTCACACTTTAGTTTAAACTGCCCATGAGGGGACGCCTCCAGCTGCGCGGCTGCCTCCGGCAGGGGAACCTTTATAGAAAATTCATAGATACCCCGGGCCTGGCGGTTGGGAGCGAGCGGGATGGACGAAGCCTGTTGCGATCGCACATAGAAGCGAAAGTTTTTCAGGCTCGTCATGATGAGGGCGTGCTGTGTGCGCTGGCTCACAGCGCGGTCGAAGCAGCACTCGCACATAGCCAGGCCCCACGCGTCGCTCACGTCCAAGTAGTGAACCATGTCGTCCCGACACAGCAGCTGAAGCTTCTCTGAGTCTTCCTCAGCTCCTGGCATCTCTGTCCCCTCTCCTTTCCGCCTTCCCACAATTCCCGCTCTCCCCGGCAACTCTTGGGATTCCCGCTTCAGCTCTTGAGCGTTTTCAAACCTCAACCTATCCCATGGCGTTCCAACGAGCTGAGGTACCCAAGTGCTGGCGCTGGCAGCAGCGCCGGAGGCAAAGATGTGGACATTGGCCTTCCCCCCACCATTGCTTCTACTACCCTGTTTTCCTTCTTTCTTCCGCTTCTCCTGCTCCTCCTCCTCCTCACTGCTGGAATGGAAATTGTCCCATTTGCTATAGTCGATACGGCGAGTAGGACCTGGTGCTGCCATGGCAGCAGGAGCAGAAGGACGCAAACCAGTAGCCGGTAAGGCAGCGTGAGCTCCGAAGGGTGAAGCAGCAGCATCAGTAGCCGCAGCAGGAGCAGTAGAAGTAGCGGCAACATGAGGCACAGGGGCAACATGAGGCAAATCCACCGAAGGCGCCGCAGCTGGACCATTCATACCTGCTGCAACGCCTGCTGATTCAAATTCACCCAAGCCGTCTCCATGATCCACTGCTTTTACGGGGAGAACTAGGATGGTTGTACCCGTTCTAAGCTTGGCACGCTGTACTGTTGTCTGCGGAGAAAGGTACGATACCTGCCCAAAATTCATGAAGCGGACGTGCTGCTTCTGCTGCTGCGGCCGAGCGACATGATCCGTCCCCGGTTTCACCCCGACGTGTGCTCCCAACTGCTGACGTGTCTCGCACGGTAAGCAGCAGTGTGGCAGATGAGTCTGAAACAGTCTGTTGAAGACTGACCTAAGAAGCTCCTTAGGGGAAACCGTAAGGGTGGCGACAGTGTGGGATGATGCGGATGAGTTGTTTTCAGCGGAGCTGTTGTGGCTTCCTTTTATGACGTCACTACCGGTGAGGTCGTCACTATGACTGCTGACGTCACTATTACGGATGGTGCAACCCTCTGTGCTACTGTCGTCATTTCTATTGTCGTCTGATCCGCGCCGGATCAAATCGGCTGGAATTCGGAATCTGACCTTTAACGCCATGTGCGAGAATTGCAGTTAAAACTCGAAGAAGTGCCTATCCATTAGGGTTTCATGTTTTCGAGACGCCTCAAAAGTCGCATTGAATCAGGTCAGCTGGGATTCTGAATTTAACATCGAATGTCATGTGCGACAGAGCAGGCGATACTCGAGTTAAGTGCCTATCGGTTAAAAAACCCTACTCTATTCCACTGTTACTCATTGTCATACGACTTTCTGGTTCTGTCACGAATGCATGTCGACAATGTTGCATCTTGAGACTTCTCCGCCGATGTGTACACGCGCTAACGCGAGGCTACAGCTAAGAGGTTGTCATTAGTATCGCACTGGGAACTGATGCAAATCTTGTACGTGAGCAACCAGAACAGGTTTTCGTGCGAGAGCGGTTTATTCCACCACGCTTCCCTAATGACCGCCTTTGCCGCGTCAGAGACGAACATTGGGATCGTGGAATGCCGGCGACACGTTCTACAAGCTATCGCTGTATTCTTTAAGTGTTTGCTAACGTCTGGCCTGGGTCAGCAGCTCTCGCGAATCAATAGCATTGAAAGAGCCTGGTAAGGGAACACTTAGTTCTGGCAAAGCTGTGAGTTTACATGACAACGCCGCTTTGCCAACTCCACTGACGCAGAAAAGCCTCACAGAATCATGGCTGGGAGCCTGTGCATTAAAGCTACGGCAAAGAAAGTGCAAAATGTGTAGAACATTTCCGTTGGTTTTGGCGCGAAATCCAGGCTCTTGGGGAGTGAATTGATAACAACGCCACACACAAACTCATGCAAGGAGATGCGCGAACTTCTTTCAAGATGAGCTCGTTTCGTCAGGCATGTGTAACCTGAAACGAAGTTTCAGATTCTCTCGTTACTGCACAATTGATACTAAGGACGCGTCACAATTGAAACATCGATCCTGCGCAGGATCGGTGTTTCGCGGGTACAGTACTTCGTTAAGTTGCGAATCGGTGGTTACTTGACTTCGTTATCTGTCGCCAATATACAGTTGTCCCCTCAGAGTCACGCGATCGATTTGCCCTTGCCACACATCGATCGTGCAATTTCGTCCAGATCGGGCGATTTTGCCCCATGATTTTTCAAATGTGTCCCTTGAGAATTGCGGTGAGCCCGCGATTGCAACAATGCAGTCGTGGCACACCGATGTGGCGATCGATTTGGCAGGTTCGGCGAACACCCCCGATCATACCTCGGTATTTCAATTGTGAGGCGTCCTAAGGGTGTGTCCCACGAGTTCGCTTTCGGCCCGTGAATCACTGTTCAGACTGGTGGGTCACGGTTGAAAACGGTGGAGCAAGAAAACCGTATTAAAACGCACAGAGCCTTTCTCCACCGCATAATTTGAACCAAAAAAGAACTCGTAACACTCCCTAAGGTGGGGCAAGTTCGTCGGCGAAGCTTTTGCCAGATTGCCTTGCTGGATACATGTCTGATTCGTTGGCTTTCGCAAATGCTCCCTCGCCGATTTCGACTTCCATTTTATCCTTCTCGCTTCTCTGGTTTCTTGTACTGGCAAAACCTGGACACACCTGTCATGGTACTAGTAATGTACTTGTCTAGTACGACCGCACAAACAGCTAGATCTGCGCTACTCCGCATCCAACAGCCGGTAGTGCTGTCACGTGTCGTGAGAAATTATGCATGTCCGTGCGTTGAACGCTGCGACTGGATTCAAACAACACGATGTCTCTCTCGTCAGTCTCCCCATAGCGCGCCGTGAAGGCGATGTCGCCGACGCGCAACTCCGAGGGTTCGCCGTGTTATTGCACTGCCGGCGTGCGAGATTCAGCGACGTCGCTGCGCGCGTTGGGACTCATGATCCCCTCTTCGAGAGACCCCAACGCCGCCAGCCTAGTTGCAAGGATGTAGTTATTGCAAGGTTAGAAGAAGGCGATGGGCGTGATGGCGAAGCGATGTTATCGTGCCATTGTTTTCGCGTGCGCCCGCACTCCATCGCTGCCTCGCAGCACTGCAAATTGCCTCACGCACTCGCCGCGGCGTACCGCTGCGCCGTAGCAGCAATCGGAATGCGCGTCGTCGCCTAGAGCGAAGCACGTAACCTCGCATTGCCAGGTTTCCCATCCTCCGTGCTCCTCGCCTTGGTTTCCCAGTCTTTCGGCTCTCGTGCAACGCGTCGCGTCACTTATGCAGTTGTTCCGTTTCCCCCCCGAGGGCTTACACCGCCATGGGGAGCTCACTCTCGCACTTCCTCCCCCGCCCCATCCTTCTTCTCCTCCTCACCATCGCACAACTATGTGACCCGGAGCCACCGTCGCGAGAAGCATGAATGCGCAATTGACATTAGAAGGCATCAGAGAAACGGCAGATCCGCTTTTCTCCCCCCTCCACCCGCAGCCCCCTCCTTTGCTCTCCCCAAGGAAACGCCTTGATTCTTTACTCAGCCCTTCTTTCTTAAAACCGGGGTGCACATTCAGCTGAATGTGCATCAAAGGTTATCCCTTGACTGAGTGGGTTACGAGGTGTGCTTTCAACCCCTTCAAGTCGAAATTCGTTTCCCCCCTCCCCCGCAATTTCGTTTCCCCCCCTCCCCCCAATCTGTTTCATCCCTCCCGCCACCTACGAAATGCCCGAAGCTCTAGCGGAATCATTTTTTTGTCGCCCCTCGTGAGCCAATCACTGTTTTTCTCCGAACCCCCTTCCCAACATCTCAAGCCGAACCGCGTTGAATGTGCAACCTGGTTTTAACTGCGCTGTGATGTAATCTCAAAGGATAGTCTCAGGAGGAACGTCTCTCTTGCTCAGTCGTTTGGATTCCGGATGAGCTGAGGGCGCAATACACCAATACTGCTGTTCGTCATCCCTAGTGCTTCCTACTGGCGACAGTGACTAAAGCCGACAAAGTCGGCGCCGCGTGGATTGTGAGAGGCGAGAGGAGGTGAAGCGAGCATCGCAGGCGTCGGAGCTGCACGAGCAGCGAATTGAATGGCGAACTGCACGAGGCAAATGGCAAGCGGCACCGTCATTTGACGGTGCTGGTGAGAGAATTGTCTTCTCCGTCTATGCTTGTTGTGGGGAATAAAAATATCCATTCACTGTATACCCCTTCCGATACATTCAGAATTATAAAAATTTCCTACTCTCCTCCTCCCCTCCCCGTCTCCCCCTTTCCCCCTCCCCCCCCTTCCCCTTATCAATCCACCCCCCATCTCATTTCTCCCCACTCTCTCCCCACACTCATGCTACCTGTCATCCTCTCACAGGCTACAACGACACGCTGGAGGACTGGGCGCTGCACGTGCATGCAGTGGGTCCCTGCCAACCAGACGGCCCTAGCCTTCGCGACCAGCAAGTAGCCGAGCAGGTGCGCCCTGCTGAGAGTGATGTATGTCTGGGTGCTGCATGGTTGGGTTGGGTGCTGCATGGTTGTGTTGGGTGCTGCATGGCTGGAAGAAGCTTCCTTTCCTTCTCACACCCCTTCCCGTTATTCTGATTCGGGTCGTCATGCATACGCATCGTTTGCAATGTTCCTTGGTTGTACTATGCATTCATCTATGAAAGCCTTTTCTCCGATCCCTTTTACCCCCCTCTTCCTCTCGCCTCCGCACACCCTCCTCTGTTTCACTCCATCTGTGTCTGATTCATCCCCCTGTCTACCGCAGCACTCTTTCCCGTTTCCGCTGACCCTTCCAAGTTCCTCCTCTCCCTTCCGTGCACCTTCCTCACCACCCTTCCCTTATGAGGCGCCTCAAAAGTCACCTTCCTCACCACCTTCGGTCCATTCTGTGCCTCTCCTGCCAATCCTTGCTTGGTTGGTGCCTTCATTCCATCCGTTCAGGACCTTTCGTTTGGCGTGGTGTGGCAAGTGGTAGTGGAGTGCTGGGGGGTATGCAGACGTGTGGAGTGCTGTGTTGTTTCCGTGAGAAGGGGGTGTCGAGCACGGGAGGATGTGGGAGAGGGGCGTGGGAGAGGGAGGTGAGGGGGAAAGGAGGGGAGAGAGGAGAAGGGGGGACGAGGAGGTGGCGAAAGGAGAGGGGGAGAGGAGTGGGTGAGAGGAGAGGCGGGGAGGGGGGGATGGGGGTGGGATGGGGGAGAGGACGAGAGGAGAGGGACGAGAGGGATTAGGGAGGTCGAGTTGGATAGGAACGGAGGGGGACGAGGAGGGGGGGAGTGGGAAGTGGAGGAGAGGAGGATCTGGGAGAAGGCGGAAGGGTTCTGGTTTTCCGCTCGGTGGAGTGGAAGTAGATGGTAAGTAGGAGGGTGTGGGGAGTTAGGTGGCAGAGGCAGATGCGCTGCTGCTGGCTCGCCGTTTCTCGCCGTTCATGAGGGTGCAGGTGAGTGATCTTGTGCTGCTGGATGGTGAATGCAGATGGGCGCAGGGCGATTAGGGAGAGGCTGACCATGCTGCACCCAGCAGGACGTGCAGCTTCGCCTGCCTGGGGGGACTGGGGGGGAGTGGGGGGATCTGGGAGGGGGTGCGAGAGAGGCGGTAGGAACGCAAGAGAAAGAGGGAAGTCGGAGCTTCCCAGTAGCTTTCTGAAATGGCAGACGAAGGAAGACGTGCTATCTAGGCCGATACGACTGATATCGCCCTTTAGTTGTTCGGCGACAACGAGGGTGAGTCTAGTTGAGCGAGTGTAATGGAATCGGAACGAGTCTCCTTGTCGGCCGATGTTGATGCGATCATTATCGGGTGTTTTGCACTGATTGACCATGTGACCGCTTGCACCCTGTGTGTGTGCAATTGAGTATGTGACGGCTTGCCTCTCCAACCTTTGTCCTGTTACACTTCCCCTCCGTGCGGACGTTCTGCTGCGCCATGGCAGGCGTGTGGGGGGGAGGAACCACAAAGGATGAACGAGGGATGGGAGAGCTTGGAAGGGTCGCAAGGGCACCTCAAGGGAGCAGCATCAGCAGCAGCGACACCCGGTCCCCACAATCGCCCTCCCGACAATCACCACGCCCGTCCCATGGGTCCATAAGAATACCTCTCTGCAGCACCTTGCAGCAGCGGCTTCGGCTGGTTGCAGAGCTGGAGTGCTGCAGGGAGAGGCGCAATCGGTGCGACCGGAGCTGATGAGAGCCCGACGAAGGTGCATGCTGCAGCAGGTGGGGCAGCAACGGGGGCAGGCAGGGCAGGTACGAATCAAGGAGGCGTGTGCTCCTAATCCTCCTGCTGCTGCTTCTTCAGAGGCTGCTGCATGACTTTCACCCACCTTCCCCACCTGAGAACGTCACGGCTACTGCTCCTGCTGCAGCAGTGGTGGCACCGTGGCATGAGTGGCATGAGAAAACAAGTGACTGTAAGGATGGACACAGGGCTGGTCGGGAACAGAAGTAGCAAGCAACAGCAGCAGTGTGAGCGGCAGTTGAGCTGAAAGACCCCTCTGTAGGTCTCCCTGGCACCATCGCTCCTCGCTCCCACGCCACCTCCATTGCTGCTCCTCGACCCCTTCTTCCCGCCACCTCCTCTGCCTTTGCCTTCCGCGTCCTGCCACACCCACCTGAGGACGCACCTTGGGTGGCTGCCTTTCCCAGCACGTGAGGCCTGTTCTCCGGTCTCAATGATCCCTCAAACCCTAAGCCGGTCTCATGGGGGCCTGTACTAGCGTGGAATTGGTGCCGGCTCAAGCTAAGCTACAACCCTTCCCCCCTTGCATCAACCCCCAAATGCCCCCTTTCCTTGCTTCCCCTCATCGAATTTTGATAGCAGGAGCATGGGAGCACAGGAGCACGGAGCATTAGAGCATGGGTGCATGGGAACTTGCACATTCCTCCCAAGCACTTGCAGCTGAAACAGTGGTGACGGTACCAACATGGTGAGTGGGGAACGAGAGAAGGAGCTGACCACCCTCCTGGGTTGTCATAACAGTTGTCGCATAACCCCCACCCCCTCCTTTTCTTCCTTTTTCCATTCCTCTCTCCTCCTCCCTATCCCACCCTCCTCTTCCTTCCCCTTTTCCAACCTCCCTCTGCATTTCCCTTTCCATACCGTATCCCTTCTACACCATGTTTGTGGCCCCATGCCTGCCTCTATTGATGTCCTTGCTGTCTTACGTCTTCCCCTCCCCCCCCTCTTCCCTCTCGTCCTCCCTCTCACACCCAGCCAGGGTTGGGCACGCCCGGCCCAGGTCGGGCCGGCCCGAAACTGGCCCGGGCCGTACCTTTAAATTGGGCTGTCAGACCGGGGCGGGCCGGGCAGTCCTGGCCCGCCGGGCCGTCGTCGACCCGCTTTTGGTCCGCCCTTTTAGGGGCGGGCCGGCCCAGCCCGGGTCGGGCCCTAGACTTGTTTGCCTCTCTAAAACAGGCCCAAAAAACAATGTATCTATAACGGAATTGCACCCGGGCCGGCCCATACTCAGCCCGCCCGGGCCCTTTTCGGCCCGGGTACCCCCTGGGCGAACTCGGGCCGAAGTCTAGCTCATTCCGCTTGGGGCGGGCCAGGCTCGGCCCGGGGCGGGCCGGGCTGGGCCTGGCCCGCTATTTTGGGCAGCCCGGCACGGCCCGACCTGGGCTGGGCCTGGGCCGGTCCGGCATCCTTCTTCTCCGCCCTCCCTTCCACCCGCATGTACCCCCCTGGACACTTCTCAAGCAGCTCCTGCCCTCTTCTGACACTGATAGTGTGTTGGTGGACGACCTCCCAGAGCCACTGACGCAGGAAGAGTAGCCGCAAGCAACCTCCCTCATGTGTTTTCCCGTCCCCTTCCCCACCCGGAACTGCCCCTTCATTTAACAGCTCATGTGTGTGGGCACCGACAGCATGGTCATAGGCACTTGGCACAGCTGTCGGAGACGCCGAGGCAGGAAGAGCAGATGAGGCGAGCCAAGGAGGCAGCAGCGGCAGCAAGAGACGCATCCCGCATTCCCATGCATGGTGAACGGGGTGGGTGGATGGGTGGATGGCTGGGTACTATGTGCGCGGATGAGCATGGTGAAGAGGGTGGGTGGGTGGTGTTAATGTTAGCCCTCAATCTCACACTTCGTACTTTGTACTTTGTATTTTCTATATCCTAGAGTAGTGTAGTTTGCACTTTGTGTTTGGTTGGGTGTACACCTACATCCCAACCAAACCCAAAAGTAATCTCCAAGCAATCTCCAACCCACCAATTGGAGATTGCCTTGGGATTACCCCCAATCCCTAGGGATTGCCCCCGATTCCCTTTCCCATCCATTCCCTACCCTTCTTGGATGTACTTAAAGAGCTTCATGCTCATTACTAATGTATCACTTCTAAGCCTAAGTTTTGACATGGTATCAGAGCTCTTCAACCGCACATGCGGATCGTGATCCTCTCATCTTTGCGGATGCTCGTCCCGCAAACCTCGGCGTAGCCACCTTCAATCTCGTCGCCGGTGATTCGCGACATTCGTGGGCGGAAATTCTCCCGCACCACCTTCCCGTCAATTTCGACGACATCTACCTTATTTCTGGTAAGCGCATCGTCAGCGCCGTAACCATCGCTCCTTTTTTCGTCGAACGCATCCTGTCATCTCTTCTCCTCGTCGGGCCGTCGCCCGTCGCCCCGCAGCTTCTCGTCGGGCCGCTGCCCGTCGCCCCGCAGCTTCTCGTCGGGCCGCCGCCCGTCGCCCCGCAGCTTCTCGTCAGGCCGCCGCCCGTCGCCCCGCAGCTTCTCGTCGGGCCGTCGCCCGTCGCCCTGCAGCTTCTCGTCGGGCCGACGCCCGTCGCCCTGCAGCGTCACGTCGGGCCGACGCCCGTCGCCCTTCGGGCTGCCGCCCGTCGCCCCGCATCTGCACTTCTACCCCCATCCCCCCCCTTCCCGCAGTTGAACAGGTGCAGCAGCGCAGGCGAGCAGCAGCGTAACCGTGAAGCAAAGCAGCCGTGTAGCCGCGAAGCTGAGGGTGGTGTGTGGGGGGGTGTGTGGGAATAGGGTTAGTTTCACTGAAATCGGCCGATTTAACCTAACTTCGGCGGCCTGAAAAATCCTTCTACGAGGCATCCCGACGCGGTCGACATTGACGATCTCCGCTATTTGGATCCGTCGGATTTCGAAATCGCCGCGCTGCGCGGTGACTTAAGAGCGACGCTTCGCGCGAGACACCAAGGGGTCTTCATTATGGCCTTCACCTCGTCCACCATGGCCAACCCCATCACCCCACTCCGCCTTGAAGCCGATGGCTCTAGCTCCAACTTCAAAGCTTGGAGCTATGGGGTTGACAAGCACCTCCTGAGTCGTGACGTGCAGGGATTGGACCTCAAGGATGTCCTCCTCAACCGTGGAAAGGGAAAACAGCCCCCTCCCCCCGTTGAGCCGACTGAATCCGCTAGTGATACTGACATGAGGGCGTACGAGGAAGCCGTTGAAAAGTACCGGAAATGGGAGAAGGCCGATGCTGCTATCATCAGCGTCTTCATCGCCTCCACCCCTCCCGAACTTGTCAACACGTTCCACAACTACCCTACCTCCAACGCCATCTGGAAGTATCTCCAGGATCGGTTCATGAACAAGACGGCGGTCGGAGTTGCCATTTTCATCCCCAGCATGTTTCAGATCCGACTTGAGGACTGCTCGGGAATGGCCGACTACATTGCCAAGGTGCAGAGCATTCATGGCGAACTCAAGGAGCTGGGTATAGTCTTCCCCGAACAAGCCCCTGCAGCCGCCCTTCTTGTTGGTCTCACCTCGGCATATGAAGTCACGAGGAAGATGCTCCTCTCGCTTTCTGCGGAAGACCTCACCTTTGCTAAGGTCTCCACCGCACTCCTCTCTGCCGAGAAAGACTCCACGGCTCAGGCCAAGGCTTACGCCATCCGCGCTCCCATGCCCCAAGCAAGTGTCGCAGCGGCCCTCGCCTCGGCGCCCTTCCAGCGCAACCGCTTCCCTCCGTGTACCTACGTCGTCAAGTATGGCAACCGCAAGGGACAAGTGTGTGGTGGCACTAACCACCCCCTTGCGACGTGCTTCAAGAAGAAAGACGACGAATGGTACGCCGTCCACGGAGTTGACAAGAAGCCGCCAAATTGGATGCGCCCTCGTAAGGCAAACCTAGTTGAGGTCCAGGACCCCGCTTCGGCTAGTGCTAGTGATAATGTTCCTGCTGATGTGCGTATCAACCTCTTGTTCTCTGGCACTGCCATGATTAATGAAGCTACCCCTCAGTACATCGGCTCATCACAAGCACCACAATACATAGAGTTCACACTCGACAGCGGGGCCACTCACACTGTCCTCAAGGAGACACTCTCCTTCAAACCCTACGCAACACCCATTCCTCTCTTGGGAGCTGACTCAAGCTTCACCACTCTTGCCAAGGGTACATCCACAGTCCCGTGCCCCGCCTTCCCATCCGGCACTGTCACTGGCATGTGCGTGCCCTCACTACGCCACAATCTAGTGGCTCAAACGGAAATTCAGGACGCAGGGCTACGCACCATCTTCTCGGAGAACGAGGACCATTGCGACATCATCGATCCCCTCACCAACAAGATCTTGGCCCGCTTCACCCTCAACAGCAGCGGCCTCTACACGCTACGCGTCCCTCTCCCACAGGTGTCAACCACCCAAGCACCGGCACCTGTCACACCATGCTCATGTCGCAGCCTCTCCAACCCGACCATCCTTTACCACCATCGGCTGGGGCACCCAAACTTCCGCACGCTTGCTGACATGGCCTCCAAGAAACTTCTTCTCGGCCTGCCAGCCGCACTTCCTCCACCACCTGACTCACCCGCTCCCACGTGCCTTGATTGCACCAAGAGCAAACTGCGCCAACAGCCCCATCCTGCCTCACCCACAGTCGCAGCAGCACCACTTGACCTAGTGCACATGGACGTCTGGGGCCCTGCCCCTGTTCCCGCACGAGGTGGCCATCGCTACTTCCTTGCTATCGTGGATGACCACTCCCGCTACGTCTCTGTTCACCTCCTCCACACCAAGGCTGAGGTTCCCGAGGTCATCATGGCGTGGGTCAAGCAGGCACAGACCACCTTTGACCGCAAGGTCAAGCGCCTTCACTCGGATGGGGGGGGGGGGAATTTTGCAACGACAAGCTCAAAGCCTTCTGCTCTTCAGAAGGCATCCAGCAAAACTTCACCCTTCCTGACAGCCCGCAGCAGAACGGCATAGCAGAGAGCCGCAACCACACCCTGGTGCAGATCACTCGGTGCCTCCTCAGCCATTCTAACGCTCCACTCTCCCTTTGGGGGTACGCCCTCTACCATGCCGCCCTCCTCTATAATCTTTACCCCCACCCGCATCTTCCCGACACCACTCCAACCACACTTTGGCTCGGGAAAACACCCACTGCCCGCTCTCTCCGCGTCTGGGGGTGCACCGCCTATGTCCTCCTCAACCCTCAGGCCAGGCGGCAGCGCGGTGGCAAACTCGGTCCCAAGACTCAAACGTGCATATACCTTGGGCACAACGCCGACTCCCCTGACTATCTCTTCCTCAACCCCTCCACTCGACAGTTAGTCCG